AACAAAAACCCAAAAAAAAAAAAAAAAAAAAAGTCCCGTCATGAAGGGTCGCATTGCCCCCAAGTCACGTAGCAAACTGAATTCCAGAAGCGAGCCCCGTTTTCCCTGAACAGTTATTAAAAGCATCGAAAGAAGGCAGATGTTAGGTTTAAACCATCTTCTGCCTCTTCGCATCGAGCCCGTCCGGCCCTGCCGCCGCCGCCGTCACGGCTCCGTTGGGCGGCACCTCGCTCAGCGGCGCGCGGCCCTCGCCCTGCGCCGCCGCCAGCGGCCTCTTCATCATCGTCGGCGGCTTGTACGAGCTCCTGTTCGCCAGCGGGCTCGCCGGCCCGCCCGGCGCCCCGATCCTGCGCGCGTGGTCCAGGCTAGGGTTGACCGCGTGTCCCCTGTTAACTCCGCCTCCCCTCGCTGCTGCCGACGGCCGACTAGGCGTGGCGGCGGCGGAGGTCGGCGGCTCCGCGGCGGCACCTTGGCTGGGCGGCGGGACGTGCTGCCCGGAGCGCGAGACGGGCTTGGAGGAGGAGTGGTCGATGCCGGGCGTCTTGCGGATCGAGGGGCTCTCCGCCTTGGGGTTGAAGAGCTGCTGCTGCCGGGTGGCGGGGACGCTGGCGCTCTGGTTCGTGTCCGTCGTGACGGCGCGCGCCGAGAAGAACGCGGCGACCGGCTCGCCGGCAGCAGCTGGGGGGGCCGCAGGCGCCGCGGCTTGAGCGTGGCCTGCTGCTGCTTGTCTATGATTTTGGGGGTTGGGGGTCTGGGGCTGCGGTGGCCGTTGATTGGGTTGCTGCGCGGCCTTGCTGGCTTGCGGCTGTTGCTGTTGTCGTGTTTGCGGGCCTGTGGGTGCAGCTGGGACTGGCACAACAACCTCATCGGGGTGGCCCTCTTCAGACACGCAGAAGTCTGCCTCGTCAAAGTCTAGCGATTGTACTCCGTCAGCGCCATTCCCGTCATCGTCTATCCCACCGCGAGTTCCCGCAAGATTCTGCGCTCGCTTCGTGTTACAGCTTCTTCACTTACCTCCTAGAAAGTCCTCAAATGACTCTAAAGCTTCTGCCTTGACTGCCGCCGTCGCTGACGCAGACGACGACCCCGACCCCGATCCCGCCGCTCTCGTCACCACCGCCGCCGCCGGCACCGGCACATCCTTCTTGACAAAGTCCGAGTGTCTATGCAAGTTGTCCTGGTCAAACTTCTTGACCGGCTGCGCCTTGATCTTGGTCACCTGCTTGACGTAGTCCTGGTCGTAGATACAATTCCCCAACACGTTGCCAAAACTGCGCAGCGTGCGCTTCAGCGCGTCCGTCGTCCCCTCCTTCTTCGCCTTCTCAAACGCCATCGCCTTGCCGCGCGCGTTCTCGATTGACCCGTACCCGATATCCTCGTGGTACGTGCCGTCCCGGAGCGTGATGCGCACGATGACGCTCAGCCCGATGCTCACGCGCTGCGTCTGCGGGTTCTCGTCGGCGAAGTCGACCTGGATGTTCTGGATCGACGAGGACCAGCCGTTGAAGCCAAAGATCTCGTTGGCCAGGCCAATGCACTTCTCGGCAGTCAGGTAGTGCACGCGCGCGCCGCCGGGGCCGGCGCGCGAGGAGATGTACTCGGGGCCGAGCTGCTTGTCGAGGCGGACGGAGATGGTGGCGATCTCCTTGGCGGTCCACTCCGAGATGCGCGGCTTCGCATCCTCGTACGGGTTGGCCCATGCCGTGTGCTGGTCGCCTGGCCTGTGAAGGGGGTGAAGTAGGGTTAGCTGGTGGGTGAACCGTGAACGGTATACCGTTGGCGTGCGTTTGCGGCGGATGGGACGGGCGACGTACGCAGGCATTTTATGAGGTAAAGGAATATTCCACCATCAATAATTATTGATATATTGTATTCCCCAGTTGATCGAGCGATTGAGGCGTGCAAAGGATATCTTGGTGGTCGTCCTGTCGTTGGGTTGATATTCACGGTCGTTGTAGAACGTGGTCGCGTTCACGTTGTCGCGCCTTGACAGGTAAACACGTGAGCTAGGACATACTGTACCTTGTTAGTGACGGCGGGTACGTACAGCATGACAGTCGCCCCCTGCACTACGTCAGCAACATCACCCATACGAGGAGCCTGTATTACAGAACTTAATTTAAATAATGTTTCATGCTGCTTTAATATTCCCTTGATGTCTGACTTGTACAGAACTCGCTATGAATTTCGGCAGGCGCTAAAATGCCGCTATATTGTGCTCTCGTAGAAGAGAGGTCTACTGTATTGTTCCACACTAGTGGCGCATCTCAACAGAGAGTAGTGCAGGTGGGAAAAGCACGAGAACCATCCACAAATAGCCAGAGAACAGACAAATCCTGAACAAGAACCAATGGCTTCGCCAAGAAGTATCAAAATCAAACACCTAAATAACAAACGCCAGAACTATTCCGTAGTGCGCGCAGAAAAGCAAAGTCCAAAAGTCTATGCTAGAGTCCGTGATGCTAGATGAAATCTCATAAAAACGTGTCATGTCATGCCGCGGGTGCCATATTAATTATGTCCAGGCCCCATTGATATCTTTGCGTGTAGGGGGTTATGTGTCGTCCGCCAATATGTGCTATGAAGTTGTTGCTTCCAAGTTGCTATATGTTTACCACGGTCCGACTCGCACGGGTGAGCCGAAGTTGCCGGAGATGATCTGGTTGAGAAGGGAGTTTTGGTCATTGGAGTTTTGGTTGGGGCCAACACCCATCCATCCAACGCTGTTCATCATGGCGGAGATGGCTCCGGCCAAACGATCGCCGGACTGCTGGTTGTGTCTGTTGAGAGCCTGGTCCCAGCCGTTGGAGTGGAGATTGAAGCCGCCAGCTCGCTTGCCAGCTTCGTTGATAACGAGGGCCCAGGCTTTCGAGATATCATCGTAAGCGCCGTCCTTATGGTGGCGGTACGCTTGTGGCTCCCAGTCGGGCAACTCATGAATTAGCTTGGTAGCTTGATCGAGGAATTCCAAGGACCTGGTTGGCTGTGTTTCGGTGGGAGGCAGAAATTGAGGCGTAAAGTCGGCGATGGCATCGATGAGGGCCACGAGGGGTTCTTTGACGCGATAATAAGTATATTCGGCGCTGCTGTTTCCGTAAGGGATGGAACCGTTGAGCTTGTCCTGATATCTACGCAAGACCTCAAGAGCGGCGTCGACCGACGGACGAGGAGCTTGCGTGACGACTTCGAGGCCGATCTGAGGATGCGTGTCGCAAATTCTTTCGAGGACAGTACGAAGTTGGTCGGTATCGAGAGTTTCAAGGAGGCGAGGCAGGTTGAGCGGACGACCGGTCACATCATTTGACCGTACTTTCTTCGAAGGTCGAGAAATGCTGCGCGGCTGCACGGCCGGCGAATTGAGGGGCGACATATTTTCGTCGCCATCGCCGTCCTCCTCCGCTTTTCGTTTACGGTTGGCCATGTTGTGAAAAGGGGATACTGGAGTTGTTTGTTGTCAGCATGAGGAAAGACTCTTATGAATGTTGGACCCATGCTTGTGGCGGCCCAGTGCGTGCACGGGCGGAGAGCTAAACAGGGTTGGTCGACAGGAGAGAGAGGGGATGAACTCACGAGATGGTTGAGGAGACTGGCGAGGACTTTGGTGGTGGTGAGGGAATACGGGCGGCTGCGGTGACAGAAGCAGGTTCATGTTGCAGTCGTGGTGGCGATGACGACGACCGGAGAAGAAGCCGCCCAAGGATCGAGGCTGTGGTTGCGTGGCTGACTTTGTACGAGGAGCGACGAGGCAGCGACCGAGTGTGAGCGTCTGGCCTCTGCTCCTCAGCGCCAACAAGCGGTATGTGACAAAGTCGAGGAATGATGCGGCGATGAAACGGACAGCGGGCGCTCGAAAGTTTGTCAAAAGAGCGGAGAGAGGGAAGGGAAAAAAGGGCTGAAAAGACTGGCGACTCAAGGGCAAGAGGACTGGATTATGAGAGGCTTTTTGGCAGTGGAGCAGCATGGTTTGCCGCGGTGACAGGAGACTGCTGAGTGGACAAAGTTGGCCCGTGGAGGGGCCGCTGGCCTGCCCGAGTGCCAGGCCAGCCCGTCTGGGGGAACCTTTTGCAGCCCAAGCGCTAAAAATGAAGCCACACGTGACGGCCTAAAGGAGGTTCCAGGTGGTAGCATTCAGTGTCCATTAGTGCTAGCACGCCAGTTTTGTACCAGTACAGTAGCACGGTCACAGGCGGGCGCCCGCTAAGCTTTAGGTGCTGTCCGGCTGTCCGGCTGTCCGGCATGTACCGCCTTTCCAGTCTCAGGTACCGTACTCCGTCTCTTCACTGCTCAAGGTTATCCGTCCATAACTAGGTAGTTACTAAGATACTTCTGGGACGATGAGCATTAGCACAACCTAAAACTGTCAGCCATGCAGCTCACACAGGCGTGGCGCCAGCTCCCGGCAGTTGCTGCGCTGCCCCATGTCAAGTCCAGCGTAGCGTCGCAGCCACTGTGGCTCGCTGTGGCTGGCATACACTGTGGCTCCTGACTGCCTGACCTACCAGTAACCCGCTGCCGTCGCCTTGGACTTGACACACTCACACTGACGCAACCGACACGATTCACTCAGACGCCGCCCCCAAGTTTCCAGCTATCTGCTGCCCTTTCCGCTCCTAGGATCGCCGCCGCCATTCACACCTCCGCTCCGCTCCCGCTCACTAGTCGGTATCTCGCATCCTACCGACAGACAAGTCTATGTAATTCGTCGACCTGAAACCAATCCCGCAAGTTTGTCTTGCAGACAAGATATCCGCCAATGCTGTTACCAACCCGACCCGCTCGCCATGTGACCTTGACCTGGCATGTTGGATAGAGCGGCGGTCATAACTCAGCCGTTACGTCGAATGGCCTGCCGTGACTGCTCAATCCTTTTGCCCGCCAATGAGCTGCACTCTGGATACACACCATCTCGCATGCTGGACAAGGAGGAAATCGACAATCTTCGCAAACGATGCAGAAAATCGCGACCAGCATGCGGTCCTGCGCCATGGCCAAAGCTTCCTCCGGACCCAATACTGTGCTTGAGGGCAGACTTCATTTGTTATTGTAACATGGTCGTGCCCTCGAACGACGACGCCGGGACGGGAAGTACCCCGTCGTTGCACATCCGTGACACCGGAATCAGAGATCTGCTATGCACTGTCAGCCTCTATTGCGTCCAAGGTGCTAACTTTATAAGCGACGGACGTGATGGCGTTGAGACGAAATCTCATTGTGGTTTCTGTTTGTGAGACCGCCATTGCGATCAGACGCTTGCCTTTAGAAACTATCGCAAGCAAGCTGCGTGTCGGGACAGTCGGTCCTGCGGCTGGTTGGCGCGCCGAGTCACGGCAGATGGGCAAGACTGCTTCCCTGGCTATCGACGGCGTGACCGATGACTGCTGAAACCTCTTGATAATCGGCCATCTTTCAATGTGCATGCTCTGGTCCGAAGAGACTGCTCATATTGTCTCCCGACGAGACGGCATTGCCCCAGCCAAGGTAAGCCACATTCTCGTTCATCTAGGGGTCATATTAGCCCTGTCAATGAATTCAATGACGACAGACTTGGTCAAGCTTTTGAATCGTATCCAAGCGCCCGTCTTGGTGGCTACCATCGACGGAGGGATTCTCTCGCAGACTGCGGAACGACAAGCAAAAACTTGGTGACTGGGCGACGTAGACGTAAACACCAGTTACCATCGGAATGTACCGGACTGGCTGCTCGCTGGAGAGTCTGATGCTCGAAGAATCGGACTTGAACCGGTTTGAATACTTTTAGGCAAGACGCGGGGACGACAAAGATCTCTTGTCAATCGGCGAATGAAACTGCTTCAAGCTAAGCTTATAAATAGCAACCTGGCCTTGACCTTGCTGGGGTCCGTCGATTATGCCTTGCCAGCCCGACAAAAAGAATATTAGTCAATTTGCTCCAAAAATGGAATTTGCTCCAAAAATGGATGCCCGAGAGCCGCAAGTTTTAAATATTCAATAATCATTCGCTTCGCAGCTCAACTATGTCGCTGAATGACGCCTCATACCCAACTTCTGACTCGCAGCGGGCTCGGCGTCGACACCTTAACCATGTCCACGACGGTGAGGAGGCCAACAACACAGACGGCACTGTCGACTGTTCACATCGGGGTCTGGAAAGAGCTGCTCGCCACGAATAGGCGATGCAGAGTCGCGCTCATATTGCACTTGGTTTGCTGCTTTTGTATAGGACGCGCAGTGCTGTCGTCAGCAGTGCAGACACCGTCGCCGGGCTTGGCACTGGTTCTGATCGCCAAGCTTACATGTCGAGTGACTTGGCTTGGTAGGTGGACTACTAAATTTGGAGGCGGCCATGCAGGTTTCCAATTCCAGAATGCTACTCTGCCAATGGTAGATGTCACCCTGTGGATTGGGTTGGCTGCCTCCCACGACTCGTCTGCTCGCGTGCTACTCTGAAAGTAGGGAATCATTATTCGGACAGGAGCGAAGACCACGGGGACATTGGGTAAGATGAATATAGATTATAATGAGGCTTTCTATGCCGCAACAAGCTGCGCCACGCAACCCATTCGCTGCTACCCAACCCAGAAAATACGCTTGGCCGCTTGAGAGCCCTCCCTCCAGCCTGCATTCTCCCGGGAATCGGGTTTCCCATCGTCGCCATCGCCGGTGGGCTGTCAAGCTTATTATTATTGCCTTACCGGGCAAGCCAGGATATCCTGTTGAATCGTGGCTGGACAAATGCTTCAAGACTTGACAGCGACCTTGCCAAGGTGGCTCAGCCTTCACGACAGGGATTACGGGGTGAGGCAGCTCCACCATCTTGTCACAGTCGGGCGATGATGGGCGGACATGCTGTCGCCCATCAGATGAGATGCGTTTTTGCAGCGGCGATGGACCGGATCATGTCGCCAGCTCATCGGTAGCAGAAAAGCTAATCCGACGACACACGTAATATTGTCTATTCTGGGGGACGGCACGCCTAAGATGGTGGCGGAGCATCGCCGATGGTAAGTCGAAGTTGGATGCAAGTCGAAAAAAGAAGGAAGCCAGCCAGAAGGACGGATAATTCTAAAATTAACAATCTACAATGAAACATGGATTGGGCAGATGCAAACTATGCAAATTACCTTGTACCCCAGGCATCCACCCCCTTCAGTTGCATTGATTATCATTATCCATGACGCATAGGCGGATGGAATATCTGGTACGTATTATTCTTGGCCAATTGTGCCTTTCGTCTATTTAATGCTTCCAATTCCTCGTCAATTTCCGTCATCATTCCATCGCTAATCAGTTTCATCTCTTCCATCAACAAGATAAGCGAAACCCAAGTTAAAACAACCAAGCACTCCAACGCTCTTCACCCACGTCGCCCAGCATGCGCCACTCAACTTCCCTCGCCCTGGCCGTTGCCCAGTTCGTCCTCGCCGTCAAGGGAGACGTCGACCTGGACATGGACGACGTGTCCGCGCCCTGCAAGGCCATCTGCCAGCCCATCGGCACCCTCTCGGACCAATGCGACGTCGACCTGCGCAGCGACAACGACCGCGACGAGCGCCTCCTCCAGAACCAGTGCATCTGCACCAACAAGAGCTTCAACGTCGCCAAGATTGCCGCCCTCTGCGCCGACTGCATGCGCCAGTCTCCGGGAAGGGACCGCGACGATAGAGAGGGTATGGAAAAGTGTGATCCCTTGTCAAGACCGTGTATATGGCTAACGTCGGACGCGACATCGTCAGATATCAATGAGCTCATGTCTGTGTGTGGCTTTACCAGCACCACGTACAGCTCGGCTGCTGCCAGCGAGGCCGCCACCGTGACGGTCGCGGCCACTCGTCCTACGGACATCAGCCAGCTTACGACCACGATTGATCGCGGCACCCCTGCCACTGGAGGCGCCGGCGGCAACGGCGGGACGGCGACTTCGTCCGGCCAGCCCGGGCAGTCGGGCCAGCCTGGACAGCCTACATCGAGCGCCTCGACCGGGGCTAATCGCGGCAGCGCACCGGGAACTTCAGTAGCTGGCCCGTCGAGCGCTGCAACTTCGTCACGGACTGGTAACGCTGCCCCGGCCATGACGGCCCAGGCAGCCTACGCCGTCGGCGGCCTGGTTGCCGCGGCGTACCTCATGGCTTAAGGTCGGATCGCGGTTGCGCATGATCAAAGTTGTTGGCGCAGGAAGTTATAGAGTTATGATGCTTCCATGTGTTTGATTTTGGCTGCTCATTTCAGAGTTTTGTTGACGAATTCACGGCTCTATGTAGTAGTTTCTGCTTGATGATAGTTATGGTTTAGTTGATGAATGCGAGTATGTTGCTAAATGAACAGAAAGAAACACAGTCGCAAGCCGGGCCAATCGGTCGACTTCTTCTGGGCAGGTGAAAATAGCGCATGGCATAAATCTTGTACAAATATATTGACATTATTTGTAAAGCTTTTACAGTTGAAACCTTTTACACAGCATCTGAGGACTTACGGCAGTGGCTTGTCTGGGTGCTGTACAGTTACAAGTGAGGAACCCAGCACAGGATTGTTTAAGCTGTGCAAGTAGCACTGGGAAAGCCGACAAATATTGATAATAATTCTGCAAAAGAACAAAAAAAGACTTCTGAAATAATTCATTCAGTTGATGGATTTCTTTTTCTTTTTTTGAAAAGGTAAAAGTCTACGTTCAGTCTCCAGTGGCCAAGCATTTAACCCAAGCACAGTACACTTTGCGATAAGCCTTATCGGCCGCAGACCCAGAAAATTTTCTGTAAATGTTGGCGCCGTGGAATTCGAGACTTGCGAGACGACAATCAAATCATTATCCTCTCTACAAAGACCTTCCACGCCAGGTTTCTCTCTGCACTGGTCTCATGTCTTCCGACGAAAAGGAAATGTCCCCCGTGGACGCCGCCCCCGAGACAAATGCCTCGAAACGCAAGGCCGACGTCGAGGAGATCGAAGTCGACCTCGCCGCCCCCGAGCCCCCCTCGAAGCGCGCGCGCCGTGCGATGAAGAAGGGCAAGAGCGTGACGTCGAAAGCGAAAAAGGACAACAACAACGACGACCTCGAGGACGAAGACGCCGCGAGCAAGGACAACAAGGACGACAAGGACGGCAAGGCGGCGGCCCGCTCGGAGCACGGCGTCTGGATCGGCAACCTTCGCTTCACGGTGACGCCCAAGGAGCTGCGCCAGTGGCTGGTCGACAACGCTGGGGGCGTGCTTACCTCGGAGATGATCACGCGCGTGAAGCTGCCCGCGTCCAAGGCCGGCCCCGGGGGGCGCGCCAAGGACGAGCCGCCCACGAACAGGGGCTTCGCGTACGTCGACTTCTCCGACGTCGGCGGCAAGCTGGCCGCGATCGCGCTGTCCGAGACGGAGTGGCACGGGCGGCGGCTGCTGATCAAGGACTCCAAGTCGTTCGAGGGCCGTCCGAAGAAGGAGCCGGAGGAGAAGGAGGGGGGCACGGCACGCGGCCAGCAGGCTGCGGCGGCGGTGGATCCCAATGCCAGTCGCAAACTCTTCGTCGGCAACATGAGCTTCAAGACGACCGAGGAGGACGTGCGGCGCAACTTTGACAAGTGCGGCGAGATCGAGTGGGTCAAGGTGGCGACGTTTGAGGACACGGGCAAGTGCAAGGGCTACGGCTGGGTCAAGTTCAAGGAGGCCGAGGCCGCGGCGTGGGCGGTCAAGGGCTTCGTCAAGATCAAGGAGGCTGTGGAGACGGAGGACGACTTCCGGGATGATGATGACAAGGACGGCGGCGACGAGGACGATGACGCCGCCAAGGACGAGGAGGGGGACGATGATGACGAGGCAAAGACGAAGAAGAAGAAGCCGGCCAAGCAGCAGCAGCAGCAGAAGCAGTTCAAGACGCGCAAGTGGTACGTGAACCGCATGCTCGGCCGCGAGCTCAAGCTGGAGCTGGCCGAGGACGATCAGTCGCGGTACAGGAAGCGCTTCGGCAAGGAGCGGCCGGCCGACGCGGCGGGGGCGAACGGGCGGGGACGCGGACCGCGCGAGAACGGCGGCGGCGAGGAGAGACGGCACAAGAAGGCGGACGGCCCGGTAGATTTGCAGGAGGCGCGGTTGATGGGCAAGGTGGTTGAGCACACGGGTACCAAAGTCACGTTTGATTAAATGTAAAGAGGGTAATAGGGGAAGAGGGGTTAAAACTTTTTCATGATTATTTAGCGATTTTACAAGGAATAAAATTAGCATATGAGAACGATGATTATGACCCAGGGAATATATGAGCTGCGTGCGGATGGTAAAGCGCGATGCATGTATTGAAAACTTTGTAGACTAGAATGAGATAGGAAAAAGTACATGTTAATGACAGGAATGGTGTGCATTCGAACGAAGCAGAGTGTCAGTCAGGAAGAAGAAGAAAAGAAGGAAAGAAGAAAAGAAGGAAAGAAGAAAAGAAGGAAAGAGCGCAAATATCCAAGGCCGTCAGTCGCGATACATCGTGGTTCTCATTACATGTGCACGTAAACTTCATCGGAGAGAGTCCGCCCGCCGCCCTCACGCTCGGCTAAACATGAGCGGGACGTGCATCGCCGACGGACTGCCCATGCCGCGTCTATCCTCGAGCACAAAGTCGCTGTTCCCCGTGTAATAGCTGCCGCTTCCCGCGAGGAGGTCCCTGCCGGCCATCAGGCGACACGCCGCCACCGCGCCGTTGTTACCGACGCGGCCTCCGCCGTGACCATGGCCGGCGTTACCACCACCACCACCACCGCCGCCGCCGCCGCCGCCGGTCGCCCGATCTTGGCGGTGCTTCTTGGAGAACTCGCGCGTCAGCTTCGTCATGACCGCCTCCTTGGCGCGATGCAGCGCGCTGACCCGCGCCGCCGCGTCCTCCGCCAGCAGCCGGTGCGCCTCCTCCTGCTCCAGGTTGCGCTGCACCGCCGTGATGCCGTCGTCGGCGGTCCCGGGGCGGGACGGCGCGTGGGGGTCGTACACGGTGGGTTGGAGGAGCAGCAGGACCGGCTGCGGCTCCGCGGAGAGGATGGGCGGCGAGATGAAGGGGTCGGGCAGGGTGATGGGCGGAGGGGGAGGAGGGCGGACCGAGGAGGGCTTGTGCGGGGAGGAGGACAGGGAGGAGCTGGGTGGTGGCCAGGAGGTCTGCGACGGACGCCGCCGGCGCAGGGGAAAGGAAAAGGAGGGGAAGGAGGATGAGGAGGACTGCTGCGAGGAGGAGGCGGAGGAGGAGGAGGAGGAGGAGGAGGACCCCAAGCGGGGAAGCGACGGCGGCGGCGTGGTGGCCTTGCGATCGGGCTCGCTGGCGCTTCGGCCGTGCTTGCGCCTGCTGCGGTAATGATCCTCCTCGCGATCACCGTGCTTGGCGCGCTTCTTCTTCCTGATCCTCGCCGTGAAGCCGCCGCCGCCGCCCTTGCTCCGCTCTCGCGTCGTCGACGCCACCTCCTCCGTCAGCTCGTCAATGACCGTCCTCTCATCATCGTCGAACCCGTACGCGCCAACGTCCATCTCCAGCAGCTCCCTCGCGACCGCCTCGACCGCCGCGCTGGGGCTCTGCAGCCTGTCGTCCGCGTCGTCGCTCGACACCATGCTGCACCGCGTCTCCGAGGGGCCCGCCGCAGGCACGCCGCCGCTCCGAGACCACTGCCGGCCCTCGCTGACCGGCGCCAGGGCGTCGTCCCACCGGTCGCGCTCCGCGAGGGCCACGTTGTCCAGGTCGAACTCGCGCACCGTCGCGCGGTGCGCGGCGATGAGGCGCCGCAGCTGCGGGGCGTTCATGGCCGCGTTGCGGATCTGCAGGTAGCGCAGCGCCGGCATGCGGATCGGGGCGCGCGCCGAGGTGGACGCCGGCAGCGGCGGCAGCGGCGACATGGGCGACGTGACCTCGTGGAATAGCTTGCGCGCGGACGGCGGCGACGGCGGCGGCGCGAACAGGGGGTCGTCGGCGAGCGCCAGCGGACAGGGGCCCCGGTCGGCGCCCGGCCCGCCGATCCAGGAAAAGGACAGCTTCTCGAGGTGCGGCGCCAGCGCGCGGACGTAGTCGTCAATGATCTTGAGGTGGTCCAGCCCGCCGGCGGCGCCAAAGTCCCACGCCTCGACGCTCATGCGCAGGGACCTGATCTGGCGCCAGCGCCGCCCCGCGGACGGCACGCTGCCGATGCCGTTGACGTGGCGCAGGTACGCCAGCGCCGCCGGGTGCAGCTGCGAGAGCGACAACGTGCGCAGCTTCGTCAGCGGCGCGCGCTCCACCGCGATCCTCAGACTGATGAGCGCGTAGTCGACCACGTCGCGACGGTAGCGCTCCGCCGGGTCCTGCCCGGGGCACCGCACCGTCAGGTGGCGCAGCGCCGGCAGCCGGCCCAGCGCGTGGATGAAGCTCGGCACGTTGGTGGCCGCGTGGAACAGCGGCGGGTACTGCTGGGTGAGCGCGTCCCCGAGCTCGGGGCAGGCGTACTTGGGGCGGGGGGGGGGCTGGTGTGCGGGGTGTACAGGAAGGCGAGCTCGGCGCCGGTGCGCGGGTCGACGAGCGGCGGGAGGAAGGTGGCGTCGGAGTGCGGGAGGTGGAAGGTGAGGTGCTCGACGTGGTGGCCGACGCGGGCGAGGGCGGCGACGCGGGAGGGCTTGGTGAAGGTGGCGGCGGAGAAGGTGACGTGGAGGCGGGTGAAGAGCCGCTTGGTGAGAAGGTTGCAGCAGGCGGAGGAGGACTGCCGCACGGCGCACAGGTCGTGGGTGCTGAGGAGAGAGAGTAGCCGGTCCTTGATGGACTCGTCTCTCAAGAGGGCGAGAAACAGCTGTTCGGACGACGCCATGTCCGTCTCATTGGGTGGTGGGATGACAGGACAGAGGGGTTGGTACGGTGTAGACGGGGTTCCAGGGTGTTGGGAGCAAGGTGTTTGATAGTGTTGTGACGATATTTGTATTGTTGATGTTGTCGAGTTGTCGTTTGCGAGTTGAAGAGTAGCAACGACCAACTTGTGATGGTCGAGTCAAGATACTTGATATCAAACCACCGTATCTTAATCAACTACCGGTCATCAAGCGTGAATAATAAAGAATAAAGGCCCCAGAAAGTGGCCGCTCGAGAAGGGGAAGTGGCAGGCCGGTATATATCCCGACAACGTCCCCTCTCAACTGAGTCCAGACAGGCTTTTCCCTCTTCCATCCCAGCATCGTTGCCCTCCCTCCACCTACCTGCATAAGGCTTGCATCCAGCCACACACTTTCAACAGGTTAAGCTTGTTTCTTCCAGCATAGCACAGAAAACGAAACGAAACGACCCTGCCATCTCGACCGGGAGAGGTTGTGTAGTGTGTAGGGCGACAGGGGTACGGGCACAGGGCAGGGAGGGGGCGGACGAAGGAGAAGGCGCGCGAGATTCGCGCATCTACTGGCTATCGATACACTCACTTCCCCCGGTGGCGGACAAGGACTTGCAGCATCCTCGCCGCGAAGACTGGCCATTGAATGGTCGGTGAAGCGACGTTGATGAAGAAACCCTGCTTCTGCAGTAGCTCCCGGTCGTGCAAGCAGTCTCGATTTGCCAATCAGCCCTGCAGGGCAGCGGGGTCACAGAGCTCCCCTTTCGCCTCGCGCGCGACTTTTCCCCCCCGATGGCTTGCAGGCCACGCTTTTGAGGTCTTTTGGTGGCGCCGCCCTCCGCGATGCGTGTGGCATAAAGGCGTGGTCCTCGCGTCAGCGACCAATCAGGAGCGCGCATCTCGACGCGGGGCCGGGCGCGGGGCGCGTGTTGTCGGATCGCGGATCGCGCCGCAACTTATTGCTTTGTCCGTCCCCAAAACCGGGCTGGCAACGGCGTTTTTTTTTTTTTTTTTTTTTTTTGTGAGGCGAACATGGCGTAGAACAACGACGGCAGTTGGCTTTTGTTCCGCACGACACCCACACCGGACTTGCCAACGCCGTCGCGACGTCCAATGAGCCGCCCACCGCGCGACACACGCTGAAAAACCGATCTGCACCCTCTTTCGTTTCGCATCACATCTGGTGGCCCCTGGACCGGCGAATGGTCTCTCTACCACCAGCTCCTTTTCCGTGCCACCGTCCACCATGCCCGTCGATTTCCCAGTCCAAGGACGATGGATCGGAACGTAAGCGTAGCCCGTAGTCTTGTGCCGTTGTCAGACAAGAAAAGCTCTCGTCGCCAAAGAAAGAAGAATTCACTCACCAACTCCTCGCGCTCAAGCAGCAACCTGTAATGATCGTCTGGATTGGGGGGTGTGCGACGCAGCTGTGGGAGGGCTCCCGTGGGCTCTATATATCTTGGTTGCCACGAGGCGTCACTGCCCAATCTTTAACCACATGAGCTGGTTCGGCTTCACCGCATTCACGCATGCTGCTTTCCCACGGATCAAACGGCTTACCTTGGCCACCAGTGATCTCGCGCCTGGCTTGCTGCTCGGCCCGGATGACGAAAGAGGTCCCGTACAGACCATGACGTGGACACTGGATAGCGGCTTCTGTGGCGCCATATATGCAACTCATATTACCTACCGCCTTTGGTAATTAACAGCGAACATCAGCAGCATATGGATATTTCCTAAACAATTCGTCAAATGTCAAGGACGAAACATAGCCAATTATATTCCTGAGTGCTCTCAGCTATGATAATAGTGGTCCTAAATGGTATCCTTTTGATTCCCTTCTATACGCCGAGCGAAATGATGATAATGATACACGCTATCAGAGGCTTTTCGAGCATGCTCATCGTTGTCCTCGTCCTCGTCCCCGGCCCCGTCCACCTCCACCTCCACGCCCCCCTCGCCCACGCGGGGGACCACCTCGTCCGCGGCTGCCACCACCGTGGCGGGGCTCTCCTGGGGGCGGAGGCCCGCGGTGGTTGTTCCGCGCTGTCGGCGGCTTTGGGGGCAGTGAAGGCGGCGGCCCGTGCTGGTTTCTAGAGTAGCCCGAGGTGCCGGGAGGCGGGGGATGGCTCTGTGGAGGGAGCGGCGGAGGCGGCCCGGGCGGAAGCGGCGGCTGGACGACGTGACCTCCCAGCGTAGGCATCTGAAGGTTGGTTGCCACCCGTATGGACCCTGCCCGTGGCGCCCTTTGCTGCTGATGCTTTGGTGCGGCTCTCTGGCCGAGCAGCTCGATATCATCAGAGTCGTCGCTCTCTGAATAGCGCACATTCATGGCGCGCGCAGCGGGACCGCGTGGCGCCCTGGTCTGTCTTTGGCTTGTGTTAGGTTCCGCACGAAGGTGCGGGCTAGCAGCTTCCTCAATAGACTCATTGCCGCAGTTCGCATCTACAAAGAGATCCCGGTTTCGTAGCGTCCATGAAGGGTTAAAGGGGCGATTGCCCTTCTGCGAGCAGTCCGACGCAAAGTGGTTTCGAGAGCCGCACACGGCACATGATGCCTGGATAGCAATAACGGGGAAAACGACATCTCCCTCAGCGTGGAACGATCGCCATGGCTCCGTGCAATCACCTTCGAGGTGGTGTTGCAGGCCGCAGTAGGCGCAGGCCAAGCCCTCATCCTTTGTGAGAGCCAGTTTTTCCACGCAGGACGAAGTCTCGTGGCCAAGTTGGCGACACTTTCCGCATCTGGCCTGGATGGCTTTGCAGCTAAACGCCCAGTGACCAGTTTCGCCACAGAACTTACATTTTGTGTGGCTGCAAGAGCCAGCTACATGGCCTTTGTGGCCGCACAAAACGCACATGTCGGCGGCGTTTTCCGCAGAAGGAAAGTATCGGAGCTGCTCCGCTGTTGGCTGCCCTTCCGGTACCGATACACCATTTGTCTCTGCGGCAGCGCCGCTTGCGTGGCTGTTGGCAGCCTGGCTATGTTCTGGCAGCACGGAATCACTCGGCACGTACTCTGGTGAGTCGGGGACTTGACCATTTTCCACCTCGTCCGCCGGTTCGGGTGACGCAGCGGCCGGCGCAGGAGCCGGCGCTTGTGTGCTTCCGATAATCGTAGCAAGCTTTCCCGAGTCCTCCATAGCACAAACAGTCTGCTTGGCTGATTTCCTTTTTGGTGCTTTCAGACCGCTGTGCACGTCAACGTATTGACCAAAGGCGGAAACAACCGTTGCGGGCTTGATCTCGGCCAGGGAATCAAAATTGATCGTACACAGCACAGTAGTCCAATCCGTGACGCGATCCACCCAAGATCCTTCCTTCCTCCGCGAGAGCGCTGGTAACTTCAGGTTGACCGTGTCAGTCGTGAACAACGGCGGGTCCCAGGGAACGAACGACTTGGCACGTGGCCGGAGGCTCGATATGCTGGACTGGCTGCTGAGGGACTTTGATAAGCTCTCTTCTATTTCGCCTTCCTCGGAGACCTTGCTTGCGTCGCTGCTCGGCGATTGGCGGCTGAGCTTTGGGCGCTTGGCGGCTTTCGAGGGTTGATTCTCTTCGCCGTCGGGGCCATCAACATCAGCTATTGACCTCTTTTCGACGTGACTGTTTTCTTCTTCGCTATCGCTTTCCCCCATGCTAATAACATCTCCGGGTATTTGTTCTTCCGATCCCATAGTGAATGTGAGTGACACTGTAGATGGCCGTCACTCATGTGACACTTGGCCTTCGGAGTTTGTGGCTAAGTGAGGTCGGGATAAATCAATACGGCAGATGCGTTACCAATCACTCGAATTCTCGGGGTCACGAGAAAATGGTAATTTCAATGAGAAGAAGAGCAACACAAAACAGCAAAGAAGCAGGGCAAGTATCGCAGCATCACCAAGAAAAAGTCGACGCGAAAAATAAGCATCGTCGAATCAGCGCAAAAGAGGCAAGGGCCCCACTGTAACCACAGGAGCCACCCAGTCCTGCAGCGCAAGGCCGAGAGCGGGTGCAGGTTATCCCGTGCCGATACAGACTTCGTACTCGGGAACAAGATCCCTGGCCCCTTTATTACAACAGTTTAACTAGTGTTTACGAAAACATAGAGATTTCCTGTAGTCGATAGCCATCTTTACAAGCGACATTTGTGGCGGAGTAAACACGATCTTGAAGTCTTGAAAGCGGAAGTTGCCGCATCGCAGCCCAGCTCTCGGGGAACACCAGCTGAATACGGAATACTCGTCATGCCGCTGGACAGCCTGGTGCCACTCAGCATTTGACAGATGGATCATCGGGTTCAGTATTCGTATATTATTTGTCTCCACCTTTAGGCTGGCTGTGCAGGGGATCAAAATGTTGGGTAATTTAGCAATCGTTCCTAGTTGCTGCCAGCGAGGCGAAGAGATGGGGAAGTGGGTAGGAACGTACAAACAACTGATGCTTTCCTGTACTGTGCTACCATATCCGACCACCTCTATGAGCATGCAAGGCCTGGAAACTAGAGGAACTGTGTGGTATCTCTACAGGTCTTAGGCTGTTGATGCCTCACGGGTAAGTGTCCTGGGATCAGCAGTGGGACTGGCGGCACCGATAGTGAAGACAAGCTTTCCGGCCCTCCAGCGTGCGTGGAGGCTCATGCTAGTCTCATCGACGCCGGCGCATGTGTGTTGTGCGTTTGTGTTTGTTCTGTGCATGATGGAAGAGAAGTCAGTGGCGCAACGGCTGTCGTGGTGTCTCGGATACACAGCAAATAGCATGGAATGCATTGGGGGCCAATGCATATGTATTTTTAATTCACCACCAAAAACTTCCCGTCAGACTTCAACCATGACTGGTGGGAAGCATAAATTTCCAGCGTGGCCGAGGCGAGCTGAGGCCACAGTGGCAGTTGGCCACAAACGAGGTTCTGGACAGGGCCGATCCGTACTAGCGTCAAGTCATTTACAGCGCAAATGCCACTAAACAGACCGCTGGGAAGAACATCACCAGCGCATTGGTCCCTTGAGTCTGGTGGCTTTTTCAAGCAAATTTGCTTTCCTCCGTTATTTCGTGTCTGATAATCTAATTACAACAATGAGGTGTAATTATTATTCGCCTACCCGCTCGCCAAATCGCTGGAAACCTGTCGTTCAAGCAACTGCCTTCACTATCCAATCCACTACAGGCGCCAGTCCCTGTTGCCTCCGACTGGTCGCCTGCCCACTGCTGCCCCATACACCCGGTTTCCTGTCACAAGGGCCCTCGCCACCACGCAAGCTCCTCTTGCCTTGCCTTGCCTGGCCTTGACCATTATCCATTGCTTTTCCATGCCTCGTTCGTTTCCTCCCCCAATCTCTCTTCTTACCAAAACTGCTTTTTTTCATCTCCATCAACATCATCCCACGACATACTTGTTTCGTTTCTGGCGCACGCTCGACATTTCGCCCGCGCCCCCCGACAATACCGAATTCTCTCCTGTTCACGCCATTCCACCCCCCCGAATAGCGCCGCTCGCAAGAAACCTGCCCTAGTGGCCAATCTGTCCTGTCCTCGCACCGACATCTAGCAGACAGCTCTGGCCTCGTCGTGTGTTTTCCGAGTCGCTCGCCAGTTTCACCACGTCACTTGACATTGTCGTTCGCTACACACCTCCCCGCCCTGACCCTCGCCGACGCTCCCGATATCACTTGGTCCCGTTCCTCACAGACCAGGAACGGCCCGCGATACCTCGATCCGTAGCTTGCGCAGAGCCCTTTTGAACACCGCCAAGCTGGCTTCTCCCACCCTTCTCCAGCCCACCGTCTCTTACGACGCTAGGACGAACCCTCCACGCTCTGGAAGCGCTTACCTCGACATGGACGATAAAGCGACTGGTCGTCGCAGACGCTCCAGCAGCATCCTGCAGGTCTATCACGAGCCCCCCGAGACGCTCGAGCAAATCTCTGACCAGGCTGCTCTTCCCAACCTCAATGCAAACTGGACCAACGCAAAGGGTATGCCCATATTGCCCGTCCCCGAGCTCCTCGCATTCGTCGTCACACAGCTCCATACTAACCATCATCTACAGGAGCGTGGACCATTCATTTTGTCTTGATAGCATGCCTCAAAATCTTTTACGACGTCATCCCGGGAGTCTCGCAGGAGACCTCATGGACCCTGACCAACATTACCTACATGGTCGGCTCGTACATCATGTTCCACTATGTCCGAGGAGTCCCCTTCGAATTCAATAGCGGTGCCTTCGATAACCTCAACATGTGGGAGCAAATCGACAACGGTGCCCAGTACACCCCCACCAAGAAGTTTCTCCTCAGTGTCCCCATTGTGCTCTTCCTCCTGAGCACCCATTATACCCACTACGACCTGGCCTACTTCATCATCAACTTTTTGGCTGTCTTGGCCGTGATTATTCCCAAGCTTCCCTTTGTAAGTAACGCTCGGCCGTGTCGTGGGCGTGGCCGTGAGCTGTTCTGCACGTGGACAGCACTGGCCTTGGTGATCTCGGGCAATGACCGCTAACATGTTTGCAGAGCCATCGCATGCGCTTTGGCCTTTTCTCAGGTCTCCCCGAGGAGGAGTAAACGATGGATAACGGCGTCAAGGGCCATTGTTGGCGGTGTGTCAAAATGTTATAATTCAAGTGTGTTGGGCTGGCAGAAATCCCTGATTACGGAACACGGGGAGTTGAAAGAGTGGCATTTACATATAGCGAGCATTATCCTTTTCGTGGCTTCTATTCCCCACTAGAAGAAATTTTCCATCCAGCTTGCCTCTGTCTGCCGCTCTGTGTTGATGTGCTTGGCTGATTTCAATGACAGCATCGGAACCCGTTTACACGTCCAGAAGTCCATGAACGACTTGAGAGACGACGCGTACACGGCCCTTGGCGCAACCTGGTTGGTCCGGACGCGATGGTTTAATGTTTGAACGTGCGTTTGGGATACACGCCGGCGCCTATATAGCAGACGCTATCAGGCTGCCGGCCGACATCACAACGTCATCCATGGGTGGTTGTGCATTGGTTATTGGCCCCTACCCACCACTTCGAAAAAGCTAATTGTCGAGCCGGCGTGCTGTTGGCTGGGAGGCTGGTGTTTACGATCTTTCCGATCTTTCTCGATCTCAACCACACCGTCCAATCCCATCGCGAGAATGCCCAAGACTATAGGCGGGCCGGGCGGGCTAGACTCGGTGACGGCGTCAAGACGCTCGGGTCTAGACAGCTCTTGTTGCTCTGTCGAGGGCAACTCTGCTCCCCAGCATTGAATTCCCAGGGGCTAGGAGAAATAGCATCTTGGTCTATATAAACCTGCCACCTCTTCTCCAAGCCGGGTTTGCTTTCCTTTTCCCTTTTTCCTAACCACAGCTGTTTGCCCGTTATTCGCGTTCGAGTCACTCGTTACCTACCTACCTTACCTACCCCTTCTTCTCTCCAACCAACACACGTTGATATCAAGATGCGTTTCAGCACCACCGCTGCCGTCCTGGCCCTCGCCGGCTCTGCTGCCGCTCACGAGGTGTCCTCCCGGTACACCACCACTCCCACCATGTCGGTCGCCGCCACCTCGACCCCGTGCACTCACCATCACCACCCTCACTCCTCCTGCAACGACCAGCACCACCACGCCACCTGCACCCATCACCATCACCACCACACCAGCTCCTACCCGGCCACCCCGAGCGTCGCCCACCACCACTCCTCCTCCTCCTCCAGGCACCCGCACTACACCTCGCCGGTGAACCACCACCACCACCACCACACCACCGCGCCCTGCCCCGAGTCCTCGGGAAAGCCGCACCACCCGCACCACCACCACTCGACCGTCCCCGGCGGCGGCGGCCAGCATCACCACCCGAAGCCCTCGGGCCCTCACGGCGGTCACGGCGGTCACCACCGCAACAACGGCACCGACAGCGGCAAGCCCGGTCCCTCCGGCCCGGTTGTCGTGAGCACCAACGGTGCCGCGCAGGTCGGCGCGGGCGCCGCTGCCCTCGTGGGTGTCGCGGCCCTCTTCGTCACCTTGTAAGGAAGAAGAGGAGGCGCCTCGTCGTGCGCCTCCTCGCATGGCCTGTCACTGCTGAAGAGCAGCGGCGCGGCGAGAAGAGAGATCAAAAGTCCCGCGAAACTTGCGAGGAGGCGGGTTGGTCTTTCATTTTGCTCGCCTTCTTGGGGCGGCTGGCTCGGTAATGAAAAAGCTCTTCGTCTTGGGATGGGGAAAGCGGTTCTTGGAGTTGTAATAACTTGTGTGGATATAGGTGGGAAAGGATATATGGGAGGGAGAAAATATTGTTTGACAAGAGGCGGTAGTTGATAATGTTAATGCGGTAGATCAGTTTCAGAAGTATCGTCATTCCTTTTAATACCATCTTCCTTGTTGACAAGTTGATATTTGCGGTTGTCGCGGTGGTGTAAGTGGCACTCCGAGTTTGTAGTTCTGTTCTGAGCAAGCGACTGTCGGCACATCGGGCCGATATTCACGAGCCCTGATAAAGAAGGGAGAAGACTGTACGCAGATTATTCATGAGATAATCTTGTGTCCATTGGCTGACGTGCAGTCGAAACTCAGGTTCGTGTCAAGGAGTGTACGGTCAGATATGAACGACGAAGTGGGCTTGGCGGAGCTATGATGCCGAGGCTAACGAATGGCGTAGAGAACGATTCCAAGTTGGATGACCGGTGGTAAATGTTCATGTTCATGTTGCACTACGAAAAGCGCGCCCTGTGACAAGTCTAGATTGCGTGCGGCCCGGCCACGAGTTGTGGTCGGCGCCGGCCAGCCACCCACCGGATTTCCTACACTATAGGGACCTCGTTCTGGTTCGCCGTTCTGGCGGTGGGCTTGCGCGTTGCGTACGGCAATCAAGTCAAGGTGGGCATCGATTTGAATCCCGAGTTCTATCCGTGATTCAGCATCCAAGACATGCATTTGTTCGTTGCTCCCTCTTTGCTTCCGCTCCCACGTTTGACTGTAGTCACATGGACAAGAGGCGGGGGAGAAAGCACCACTCGCATTCCTCAACGGCCCCCCGCGCCACCCTTCCCTTGCTCTTACGATGGTTTGCCGGCGATGGAACCCTTCTCTCCAGGGCATGCCGCTTGGTATTTTCTGACGTTGGAATGAAACATGTGCAAAGGCTCGTCTACGGTTCATGCGACGCGTGATCAGCCTGCGCAAGAACGGACCCGTTGGCAAGGGGCAGAGAGGTCAAGATAAAGTTTGAGATGACTAATCGTGTCGAGGAAATTAAGACGAGGGATTGCATGAATCTCGGAAACTCGAAACCTTGTGCGCCAATTGGCTCGTCGCATGTTCCAGAAAGCCCACCGTTTTGCACGGAACGGATCAGAACGGATCATGTCAGCCGTCTCGGCTGCTGAACTGCCAGTTTCGGAAAGCTATGCAGATGAGGGGAGAGAGGGTTCGCTCGAGGGTGCCACGAACTGGGGAAACTCAACATGATGCAGCGCCACGGGACTGATGAATCCTACCTAGCGATCGGAAAACGATTGGTCAAGTTGTAAAAAAGCCACAGGGGTTTATGTGTATCAGAGTGGTGACGTAAGGGTCGCACCGTTTGAAGAGACGAAAGAGGAAAACAGATAACTTCAAGACATGTTTGTTATTACTAGCAGTGTATATAGAAACTCGCGTTGCGTCAAATGACCAAGTCATGAGTCAATGGGATATCATAGCTTCTTGTACACAAGAACGGCATAAGCATAAAACACTCCAAAACCAGCCGGAGAGACGAGCATTTCATCATGATCAGCAGGCATAACCAGAATTAAATTAGTAACCATTACCACATCCACGTTTTGTCGAGCACCAGGGATCAGAACAGCTAGGGTTTAGCACAGTCGTAGTAGCTTGACTCGTCTCATGGGAAGCCCGCTAGAGTTACAAGTCAAGACACGGCGACGCACCACCCTTTAACGGCGCTGCCAGAACTTCTTCTTAGGGACAGTCGAGTCAGCAAAGCCGGCCTCCTGCTTGGGAACGGGGTCGGGCTTGTTCTTGTTGCGCTTGCTGGCACAGCAGCTGAGGAAGACGATGATGGTAGCAAAGAAGGAGGTGACTACAGCAGCGACGACGCACCACAGGGCGGAGCCGTAGGTAGCGTGGTTGTTGCGGATCTCGTTGACGCGGTGGTGGACGATGCTGAGAGCGGTGAAGTCGCAGGCGAGGGCGACGACGGTGACGATGAAGGTGAGGCCGGAAAGAACCGAGGCGGTGAAGGAGGAGATGACGTGGGTGCCGATGACGGCGAGGAGGAAGCCGACGAAGGAGAGGACGGCGCCGACGGGGTGCAGGACCATAACGCGGGTCAAGCCCGAGGCTGTGTTGCGGCCGACGGAGCCATTGTCGACCTGGCCGTCAATGCCGCGGATGATGCGCAGAGGGTTGTAGCCGAGGTGGCGGTTGCAGTAGTCGGACGAGCCACTGGGAAGTTGTTAGCGATTGGAAGAGTAGAGAAGCGCGTTGTTGGACCAGGAACGTGGGGAGTAGACATTGCTCGGGCCGTCTTGGCGCTTGAGCGGTTGATTTCAGCTGGTATGGTATGCCGTGGACCCGTCGAGCAGCGCAAATCTTGCGCCGTGGCTGGGCCAGCAGGTGGGCTTGTCCAGAATCCAGATGAGCTCATGGTGGAGCACGACAAGCTAGGCTGAAATGAAGGCCAAAACAAGGAAGCTAATTCGCTGGGTCAACTTACTCGTACATCTCGCAGTAACCAAACGAGCCAAAGGTGACGCGCTCTGCGCTGAGGCCGTCACGGAAGTCGACCTTGAGAAGGGCCAGGTTGTTGACGACCGGCGAGGAGATGGAGGCGACCAGGAGGAGAATGGCCGTGACCAGGAGCAGCAGCGTGCCAATGTGGTGAACACCGAGGAGGAGACCCATTGTGATGGTTGTGGTGGTGTAGTTGAGAGAGAGAGGTGTTGTTGCGTGGTTGTTTTTTTGGAGGCTTTCTTTTTTGTTTAGGACGACGTCAAAAAGATGCACGAGGGAGGACTGTGACAAAAGATTTTGCGTGACAGGAGAAGGGAAAAAAAAAGACAGAGGTGGGAAGATTTTGGGGAGGAAGGAGCTCATATAGCAGGGCAGATTTGGGGGCAAGCAAGAAATGTTTCACGAGCCACACGGATGGAGCGATGAGCCACACCACGCACCAAGGTGGCTCGAGCTACTGGCTTATCTGGTATAGCCAGCAGCGAGGGTGTACTGGTAATGAGACAAGAAAGCTACTGACACTGCGTTAGGAAACAGATTTGACTGGGGAGCCGACCAAGCTGGAAGAGGAGGAGGTGGAGAGGCGGCCTCCTAACTTTCTGCTACCAAGGTACAAAGGTCGGGATGGACCTAGCAACTAGCCCTCTGATTGTTGGCATGACGTTGACACTGACCCAATTGCCGAAGCTTGGGCATGATGCAGCCACACGTATTAGATCGACCCTGGTTCCTGTTCTCGTTGTCACTCCTCGGTGCAAGATGCACAGCGCAGATACTTGACAAGCCTCAATCAATACCAGACACAGAAAGATGCAGCCAGTCTGGGCAAGCAAGGGTCAAGCATCCGCCATTGTCCAGTGAGAGCGCAGGCCTGCGACCACCCAGTGCAACCGGCCAACGCACCGCCTTCCTCTCATCGGGCCACACGATCGTTACCAGCCCAAAAACAGAGGGGGGAAGTACCGAAACTGGGTCCCAGGTTCTGCTCCGGCGCTGAGCGAGATGAGAGATGAGCAGCCCGATGGCCGCCCCTCTTTTTGGTGGGTATGAATAGCGTCACAGACGACTCCTCCTTCATGGAACAAGCCACTCTTTCACTCCAGCACTACATCATCGCAGAAACCCGGGGAAAAGAAAGAAGAAAAAAAAAAAAAAAAAAAAAACGTGAGGTTGAGCGGAGAAGTCCGCTTTCGTCTTTCTTCCTCCTTCTGCTGAGGACCAAGATGCGCCGCCATTCTGTGTACACTCTCAGGTTCCTACAGTACCTATCCTGGACAAGATGGCCCCCCCAACGTCCAAGCTCCAATAAGCTTTTCAGTCAACCAAGACTGACTGGCAACCACCCCCCCTGTCCAGCGCAAAAAAAAAAAGCTGTAACAGCGGGACAAGGCCAAGTCATGTCATTGTCGGGTCGGCAGCATGGCAATCACAAGGCAAAAGCCACGCCCATCCATGCGCGTCCCGCAGCGCCACAGCTCCCTGGTCATTTGGGTCAGTTCTGGAAAGGAATCCTCGCTGCTGAGTTTTAGCGATCCCCAGCCCAATCATTATTCAGATTCAATGCGCTGTGTAGGACGCAGCTGGACGCTTGTTCCAAGAGGTTTTAGTTTAATGAGACACGGATTAGCGTGGGTGCGTACGGTTCGAGTCGAGACTGTGAGTTGCCTAGCGTCACTGTGACGACTTGTTCTTTGATTGAGAGTTCCACTCAATTGGGAGCGTGGTCTGTACTCTTCTCTTTCTCTCTTGTTGTCTTTGGAGCTCGACTTTTTCGTTGTGTACCTCACCCCGTGGGCGTTGAGCCAGAACGGAGATCCCGATGCGCCAACCGGCGTAGCAGCCCGTGTCTGTTGATGCACTTAACTAGAGTTCTATTTATATGCTGCGTCCATGCATGCAGTGTGTATTTGCAGGTGAGAATATGTACAGCTATTCATACAAAGATATAATGCCTCTCGGCACACCGTAATTACATCGCCCTCTGGCGCCCACTTCAACACCACCCTGGTCGACCCGAAATGGCCCCATCATCGATTGCCCACTGCACAGTAATTCCGTTGCGCGCCGATCACTGCCTCATTACTACCCACGGCGATGGGCGTTGTGTGTTTTGGCCCCCATTGCTGCTCTCAATGCGCAAGCCATGTCATCTGCTTGCAGACACCGAGGCCATGGCATCCTGGGTTGATCTCAAGCAACTTGAGGTTGCAAGAAGAGAAAGATAAAGCCAGGAAATAAAGTACATCATTCGCCGACATCCGTACCTTATTTCACAACCACAATCACCACCGCCAGAGCTTCTTCTGTTCCCTTGCTGGGGCCTTGCTTCTTGCTCAGCACTATTACGTAGCCAGCAGCCCCGGCCGGGCCGCATGTGCTGAGCCACACTGCCATCGGGCAATCTTGGGCCGGCTGTGGCCGTGCTGCCTTGGAGGCCAACACACCAAACCACAAAAAACCTGTTGATACCCGGAGTAAACCGACCATTCTGGCACCAGACCGTAGCTAGCCTGCCGCCGCCTTGTATTTCAAAACCTTTTGACCCTGGTAAGCGTTCACCACCTTTCTAGATGCTTACCATCTCCGCCGCAGCGCCGGCGATGGCTGCCACGCATCGGCCGCCGCCGCCATCTGCCCCGGCAGCTGCTGCTTGCGCTCCAGCCGCTGCCGCATGCTGCCCCGCGGCGCATCTGGCGACGCGGGCTTGACGTGCCAGTGGCAGAGCCCCTTCTTGAGCAGCGTGTCCGGCAGCGCCTCGCGCAGCGTCAGCGCCGCGAGCGACCGGTCCGCGTCGTAGCCCTCGGGCCACGCGAGGTGCTCCGTTGCCTTGGTCGACGCGTGGCCGTGGTCGTAATCGCGCGCGAGGCCGATGGTAAGCACGAACTCGCGCGTCTCGCAGTCGTCACCCTCCCCAGAGGCGGCGGCGGCGGCGGCATCGCCCTCCTGCGCTTCCGGAGCCTCCTCGCCGCCGCGTGGGGTGGTCGCTTGCGTCTGAAATTCGATCCGGGGCTGGGCTGTCGACTCGCGGGGGGCCAGGCTTTGCAGCTGCCGGGCGCGTTGCGCCGGCTCGACGCGAGGGATTGACACGCGGCATGCGATTGGGCTCAGGTGCGTGAGCGTCCGGGCTGTGTCTTCGGTTCTCGTGACGGAAATGTATCGATGCGCTTCTAGCTGAGCACGCGTATCAAAGTCAGCACGACAGATGTCCTTTGGCAGAATGGAGCAGGGCCTCGCCGTACATTTTCTCTCTTGAAAATATCCACAGCGCCGTATTTCTTCAGCACTTGTAATATCGAATGTCGCTCGGCGAACGTAGCAGGCGCAGGGGAAATCATGATCCGTATCGACCGGCTGGCCAAGCGGCTGTTGAGCCCGCGAAACGGCGCCGGCACCATCTCGTCTAGAAGTCGTGGTTCTGTGTATGGTATTGGTATTGAGTCGTAGAAATTATGTCTTCAGGGCCGCCGGCGACCGTGGTTGACTAGAAATTGCCATGTAGTCTCGATGATGAATACGAGCGCAAGCCTTTTTTCCTGGTCGCCTACCCGTCTTGAAAAGCTGTTGTGGGGCGACTTCAACACCCGCCAACGCAAACCACCACGCCTTTGGCCTTTGCATCTTCAACGTCCAGGGCCAACGCACATCGTTCCAAGCTGCCAGATCGAGGCTCAATTTGCCTTGGTTTAGCCATCACGCCGGATCTGCTTTGGAATCTTCAACACTATTTTGCGCAGTCACCTGGTGGTCTTTGTGGCCGCCGGCGCGTAAACCCGTCCGGCCTCGGCGCCCTCGAGTCGATCCGAAGCTTCATCAACATAATCACACCCACACAATGTCGACGCCGACGCCAGCGGCTATGAAGCATGCGACTTCGCAGCAAGGCCGCACTCCTTCCGGCCAGCAGGGCCGCACGCCGTCGCACTTTCCCGCCGCTACGCCGCCCGTCTCCACGCCCTTCAACGCCGCCCAGGCTGCCTTCTCCCCGCGCGGCCAGCATTCGTCGCCGCAGCACGTCAAGAAATCACCTGCTACCATGGGAATGACGGGTCAGTCAACCATGGCCGCTCTCAACTTCGACAGCCCCTCGACGGCAGCAGCTATGGGCGCCCTCGTGATGGGAAACGGCTTCGATATGGGGCTCGAAGGCGTCGCGGGCCTCGACGGCGTCGGTGGTGCCTACGCCAGCGAGGAGGAGAAGCTGCGGCGACTGGAGAACATTATAAAAATGTTGAACGTACGGGTTTGTCTCTGGGCTGTGCCAGGCGCGTATTTACTGACAAGGGGACACAGGAAAAGAAGGGCATGGTCAGCGACGCAGGCCTCGAGCGACTCGCACAACGGCTGGGGATGGAAATCCTGTCCGAAGAACATTCTACACCCGGAGGCCACAAAACGAAAACGTTAGCCATTGCCGGATCTGCTATTGCCCTTGATATTGTCTTGGACAACAACATTGTCCAGAATGCGACACTCTCGTACCATGGAAATGCAGACTCTGTCACAAAACACATCGATGCGGCGAGTCAGATACTTCTCAAGGATCTGCAGCTTTCTTCTGGCCAGAGCCCTCTGACTAAGACGCTGGAGAGGTTCGCCATCAACTTTGAGCGTCTTGCGAGACTGGACAAGCTCAGCATTGTGCCTGGGTTGGATTGCCACGAGGCGCTGTCGAGCATGCATTCTAGCCTGGGGCGCTTGTATGGCTGGGATCTAGAGCAGCTGCGCCGAACCATGACTGGCAGGCCAGATTCCTTGATAGAAAGTTCTGCCATGTGCACCCGGCACGGCAGACCAGTCATGCACGAGCGCGGCCAGGTCGGGCTGGCTCTACAGTACTGGAAGGAGAGGAGATTTATCGCACCGCGAGCGGGACAGGAAGCGAGCGCCCAGAACAAGGTATGGTCCATGCTCCTTGGCTGCGCTGCCATTGATGGCGTGGGACTACCGCCCGTTCGGGTGTCAGAGAATTGGATCTCCAAAGACATTGTCAAGCAGGACGACATGAGCGGCGCGTTGAGTCCTCCCCTGGACTGGCAGGAGCCTGATAATGTTTCATTACCCCAAAACGACGAAAATAAGGACGCTGGCATGGATATGCTCCAGGCTGACCTCTCCACCACCAGAGTGCCGCGCGTCATGTTCACAGCTACTTTTGATCCACCCATTATTCTCCCGCAGAGCGAATGGTCGCGCTTCTACGCGATTGTCGGGCTCGAGCCACCGATGATGACCATGATCAACGAGTTCAACCGCCAGCCTCCCACCTTTGACCAGCTCTTCTTCCCGGTGATGCCAGGCACGAAGCAAGATATCAGCGAGCCACGCACCATTGTTCGCAGACACCAGGTGCCCATGATCAACACATACAATGACTCCCTGACCAGGACGCATAAGAACAGCCTATTCATCTACAAGCCCATATACTCACAAGAACTGTCAGAGCTTCCATTTGGGCATCCCCGCCAGCTTATCGAAATGCTGCCGGTGCTTCGTCAATATGCATTCTTGTCGACGTTGTTGGAGAGTAGCTTTGGCCGAAAGGACGAGTCCACGGCTGAGAGTGGCGGAAATCACAAGGCGGAGGAAAATGAGGCCGAGCAGTCGGATAGCTCGACCATGAAGGATCAACTCGCCGAGTTTATGAACCTGGATAAATCCGATGCGAAATCAAACGCCGGGATGCCGGTTAGCGTTCCGGCAGACCTCTCGCTGGACGTCATCCTCTGGGTACATCCGTCGCCGCACATGCAGGTCGTCTTTCCCATGCGTGACACGACGGCCAACATCACGCTAAGCATCCTTGAAGGAGGCCTGGTGCAAATCATTCATGAAAATGTCATTGGTGAGGAGCCGGGCCCTGTCAAGGAGATTAACGGGAGCAACGTGACGAGGGAGCAGCTGGCCAAGGTGCTGGAGCATCTCGAGGACCTGAGCAAGTGGGCGGAATGGATTCGATCCCGGTTGTAAGATAAGCCTTTTGGGCGGCGACTACGACACAATGCATGATGATACCCCCGTCTTACCGGGCTGATGAAAGTTTTGGTGAAATTCTATCGCTTCATTATGTGTAGATGGAAACAAATGGATATCTCGCTTTAAAAAAAATGCAGGAGAATACACGAACGCCTCCCCGACAAAAGAAACCAACCCTACGAAGACGGTAACCGCGCCTTGGGCCACGTCGGCGTGTCGGCGAACCACCGCGAACGGTACAGCTCTTGGGGATACGTCAGCCCCGCCTGCAGCTTTCCGTCCTGCAGCAGGTTGATCTGGTAGGAGGTGACGCCCTGCCAGGCGGCCTGCACGTACAGCACGTTGAGGTTGCCGTCGATGCTCAGCGACTTGATGTCGGACCGGGGCAGCGATTTCCCGTCGCTGCCGACCCTGCTGTCGACGGGCATGAAGCCCGGCAGGTAGTTGCTGGCGACCTGGGCGCCGCTGGCGAACGTCTGCGAGTCGATGTCGAAGACGTGGAGGTCCGTGTCGGTGGAGAGGAGCAGCTGGCGGCGGCCGGGTACGCCGGTCATGTCGTGGCTGCCGTCCCACCAGCCGTCGTACTGGGTGCCGCTCCACTCGGTGGAGAGCAGGAGCGCGGCGCTGACGTTGTGCGAGTAGGTCGGCTGGGTGGAGAAGGCGCCGCGGGTGTATCGGTAGCCGTTGAGCGTGGGCGCGGAGGAGACGCCGGGGGTCGCGCCGGAGGGGTCGGAGGAGCTGCCGGAGCCCCAGAGGAGGCTGGCGCGGTCGTCCCAGACGAGCCCGTGCACGCCGGGCAGCTTGTCGAGGGACTGGACGGGCTGCGGGTCGGCCTGCAGACCCGCGGACACGTTGAAGACGTGGATGGTGGCGTCCATCTGGGAGGTGGTCGTGGCGACGGCGAGCTTGCCGTCGGGCACGAGCTCCAGGCTGTGCGTGTTGCCCATGTTGCCCTGCTGCAGGCAGACGCCGAAGAGGACGCGCTTGTCCTGGGAGGCGTCGCCGGGCGCGCGGCGGATCATGACGGCGGCGGCGTTGTAGATGGCGAGGACGGCGCGGCCGCCGTCGGCCCACTTGGCCTCGGGCACGGCGGTCGGCGTCTGCAGGCAGGCGAGGAGGTTGGCGGGGAGGTCGGCCTGGGCGGCGACGTCGGCGGCGCTCCAGGTCCAGGAGGGGTTGCCGTTGACGTCGTGGATGGCGATTTGCGCGGCGGCGGAGGAGTTGGCGTAGAGGCCGGTGATGACGGGGGACAGGGCGAGGCCGTTGGGGACGGACTGGAGCGCGTGGAAGGGGTGGCCGACCGCCGGTGGCGGAGGGCGCGGCGCGGCGGTGGATGAGCCGGCGAGGAGGAGGAGGAGGAGGAGCGCGGCGAGGAGGAGTGAGGGTATCCGCGGTGTTGTTGTTGAGCGAGGCATTGTGTGGTTGGGTGACTCGTCGGCCGAAAGTCGAGGGCGGGTTGGTTGTGTAAGTAGCCCGCCGAAGAGGTTGCGCAAAGACTCAGGAACCGATGATCATGCGCGGGGAGCAGACTGCAAGTTGTATGATTCCCTGAACTGACCACGGTGACTGTTTTCGTTTTCGACTCATCAACACCATCTGGGCTGAGACTCACGGGCGGTCGCCGGCATTTTATAGAACCCACCATGTTGCTCGCGGACGGAGGGACAGCCGGCGATCCCAAGCCCGAGAGCGGCGCCATCGAACTCGCGAGCCCACGTCTGATCAAGTTACCAATTGCCAATCTCCGGCATGGAGTTGCCGCTTGGGCATACGCAATCGAATAAACAAGCTAGGTTGTTTCGATTGGGTCCTCGGCAACAGACCAAGAAAAAGAGAGCTGATGCTCACGCGACAAGGTCTGCCCCCCCCCTTCCCCCCTCCGGCGCTACTCCGAGCTAAATGGTCTGCAACAAGAGTCAAAGTGCGGATGAGCTGAAGCCACCACCTCTGACCCGCCACCCCGTGGCGCCTCTTTTTTTTTTTTTTTTTTTTCCGCCTTGGGCAGAGTGCTTTGATGACGACGCCTGCAAGGTGCTGCAGCTGCGCTGATGAACTGGCGCAAGGGGGGGAGGGGGGTTGTCGTTTTGTTTCTCCTTTGAGCGAACTGTGCAACGGTGGTGGATCTGGCATCTGCGCGGCTATCTGGCAACGATGGACAAAAGGGGAATTAAATTGTTTGAGATTCAGCGCACGTACATAACTAGTTCACCTGGCCAATGATGACATGATTGAAACTTTTTCTTCTCTCTTTTTTTTTTTCCATCTTGGCAGGAAGAGATGTAAATCAAGGAACTGGTGACGGACGGGGCAGCGGCCGAGGCGGCGCCGGGATGTGGCGGCGGTACTTGTGGCTTGACCCAGTCTGTATGTAAGTGTTAGTTAGCATCCAGCTCCCCAACGCCTGACGTGTGTTAACTAGTTATTTGGGGATTTACTTGTTGATTAGGGGGCCGCGTCAGTCAGACGCCGGCGTGTCACGTCACTGGCTGGATGGGGCCGTTCTTCCGCTGACGATGCCGATGAAGCCGGTGTGGCTTGCGATTATCAGCATTTCTTGCGCCCGTCCATTCTAAAAACAGACCCCGCATGTGTGTTTCCGCATCGTGTTGCCCTTTTTTTTTTGTTTGTTCCGCACATGAGGGGAAACAAGTGAAAGGGGGGGGCCAACTTCGTGTGACCTTGGTGCCGTGAAGATGAAGCGCGCTTGGAAGTTTCGGCAACGGAACTTGTCAAAGAACTACAATACATGTGGTAGTTCCTCGTGTGACCGATCGCTTGGGGTTTATGCTTTGCAGGAAGCATATAGTGACGTCCGTGGACGCGGAACTTGCGCTGGGTGGAGTTAATTCTCCGAAACGAAAAAAAAAAAAAAAAGGTCCCTGGCGAGTCCGAGACCAGGACATCGCCAAGACGACAAACTCATCACTGAGACTCCGGCGCTTTGACAGGTAAAGGTAAAAGCCGCAGGCAAAAACGCAAAAAACTTGTTTCAAGAAGAAAAAGGTGAGAGATTCTTAAGAGTGTCGGGGTCGTGGTCCATACGTAAGCCGCCGTCCCGCATGTCGATATCCGAAATGATGCGGCTGAAGCCTTGGAAGAACCCTTAAAAAGTTGAGCCTCATCAGCTCAGCCACACCGTATCTTTGACCGGTTCGGATCGAGCTGCCCAAGATTGCCGGCCTTTGCGGGGGGGGGATGAGCACGGGCAGAGCATTTTGCTTCACAATCTGCAGGACGAGATCTGAGGCAGGAGGACCGTGCCAGGACCACAGGGCTGGATGTACAAACATGGAGGCCCGGGGGGCGGCGACTTGGCCATGGGGATGATGCGCGCGTCGCTAGGTTGTCATCGTCGACTCTATCATGCTGTAATATACAAGGACCCCCCATCCCCATCATCGCCGGTGTGCCGTTTCAAAATTTTTGTTGCTACGCGACGTCTCGGAACAGCGTCCTCAGCGCCGCCGCCGCATCCTTCTCCCTCTCCCCCTCCAGCTTCGCCCTCTCCACGGCCACCCACGCCCCCTCGGCATCCTCGACGTAGCACGTGCCCGACGCTTCGTCGACCCTGACCCTGACCTCCCTCCCACCGTCCGCCGCCCCCTCCTCGAAAACCCGAATCGTCCGCTCCTCCTCCTCCTCCCTCCCCGCCACGGCATCCGCCGCGCCACCTTTCGTGAACAGCACCCTCTTCTTCTCCTGGCCCGCCGCCGCCGCCACGGCGCAGCGCGTCCACGCCGCGCCGAACACGCTCATCCGTCTGCGCCAGTCCTCCGCGCGCCACTCCGCCCAGCGCACCTCCGCGTCCGCCTTGCTCATCTTCGGCGCGTGCACCAGGCCTCCTCCTCCTGCTCCTTCTCCGCCCGTGGCGACCTCGTGCGGCGGGACGTGCACGCGGTCGCGCAGGCCCTGAACGAGCATCTCGGCGCCGCGCGCGGCCAGCTCGTCCCGGAGCTGCGCGAACGTCTGCCCGGGGGCGATGGGGATGCCCGGCTCGGGCGTCTGCGCGAGGACGGTGCCGTGGTCAAAGGCCCGCGGGTCGAGGGTCTGCAGGGAGACGCCGGTGAAGGGGTCCCCGCGGAGGTAGGCGTGATGGATCGGCGCCGGGCCGCGGAGGCTGTGTTTTTGGTGTCAATCGTGCATGTTCAAGAATAGGGGGTCTTCGAGATGCTCACTGGGGAAGAAGCGAGGGATGGACGTTGAGGCCGCCGTACCTCGCAGAGGAGAGTATCCTCGGGGGCACAAACAGCCCAAAGGACACGGCGACGATCAAGTTGGTGCCTCGAGGGAGCTACTCACCGCCCGTTAGAGCACAAATCTTTCCCCGGGGGGGGTGCTCCTCTCGTGAATCGTCAACCCCAGCTCCTGCGCGAGCGTTTTGCAAGGCACTAAACCACCAAGATCAGCAACCTCGTTCCACATGACATGCTCGGTAAACCTGGAGGTGACTTGGCAATGCATGCATACCTTCTGCAACCTTCGTGAACCCCCTGCCCACGCGCTTCCCCGGCTGCACCATCACCTCGATGCTCTCCACCAGCTCCTCGTTGCGGCGATGCTCCGCGTGCAGCGCCGCGAGCGACGCGCAGCTAAACGCGTCCGAGCCGCAGAATAGTATCCGCAGGGCGTCGGAGTTCCGCTTGGTCAAGGTTCCGAACGTCCTCGCGGTGTGCGGCGCGCAAGTCCGGATGTGCTGGTGGTGCCGCTGCAATACGCCGAGCGCGCCAACGCGCCGCCAGGGGTGTCCTATCATGGGCTGGCGTTTGAGTGTATCCGGGGGGGTTATGAGAGAGGACTCATTGATTCAAGTCAAGATGCAAACCTGCATTACTTTTCGTACCGCTGCTTTGATGTTGAAGTTGGCATGTGTAAGTTGATGGAATCCGAGATGCGCAGAGCGTTAGAGTAGATCGCGTTTGTTGCAAGCCCGCTTTAGTGCATCATCACCACCAGCCAGCCCATCAACCGTTTTGGTCTCTCAGTTCTCAAAAAATTAGAAGGAGAAATTTTTCATAAAGTCGTACATTCGTGGATAAATACACTGCTCAACCCTCCGGTGGCTCTACGCTCCAGTCACACGCCACCGTCCACTCCTCCTCGCCCAGACACACATCCCACGCCGGCCCCGGCCCTATCCTCACCACACTGCCGCTCCCCGTCCCCGTCCCCGTCCCCGTCCCCGTCCCCGTCCCCGTCCCCGCGCCGCCCGCCAGGACGTACCGCCGCACGTCCTCCGTGCCCTCCTCGGCCGTCGTCACCACCCGTCCGCGGACCAGGTGCATCCGCGCGCCCAGCCTCGCCTCCTCCACCCGCAGCCGGACCACGCCTCCCCCTCCTCCTCCTCCTCCCCCGTCGTCGCCGCCCTTGACCTGCGAGAGCAGGCCCTGCAGCTGCGCGGCGAGCCCACCCGCGACGTACCTTGCGCCGCGCCGCGGCGGAGATGAGAAGGGAGCGTCGGCCTGCTCGTGCGCAGCGGCGAGGAACTCGTCCTCGGGCGCGGGCTTGAAGCGCGGCGCTGGTCGAAAGGTCGGCTCCTGCGCCGGGGCGGGTCGCGTGCGCGTCCTGTCCTGCACGTCGTCGTGCTCCTCGTCTTCTTCTCGCTCCGAGTCGTCGGACTGCCCCGCATCTACATCGTACCCGACGGCCATGCCCAGCTCAGGCGACGCGGAAGATGACAACCGGCGTCTCTTCGCCTCTGGCATGGCAACATCTTCTTCATACACGTGCTCCTCCGCAGCCATGTCCATCGCCGCAACCCCCTCGTCCTCGTCCTCCTCCAGGTCGCTCAAGTAGCTCCTACGCCGTCTCACGCCGCCCACACCATCCTCCATCTCACGCTCGCTACTTTCACTGCTCCGCGACAGCCCCTCCTCCCGCAACGCGAGGCTGTCCCTGTCCGAGTCCACCTCGATCGAGTCCGACGCCGCCGCGTCGCGCCCGTCCGACTCGCCGCCTTCGCCCCGTGATGAAGAGGACGCAGACCGCGACGCCTCCGCCTCCTCGACGTCCTCCATCGGTCCGCGCGTCGCGCCCTGCGTCGCGCCGAAGCGCTGCGTCGACGACTGGAAGCGCATCGGCGTGGGCGTCTGCTGCGAGGACGACGTGGAAGACGCGGGGCGCTTGGTCAGAAAACGCCGCGGCGTGGGGGTCTTATGGTCTGCGTTAGCTTTCTGGGGCGATTTGTGAGAGGCGTGGACGTTGGCGTGAAACTCACATCCGGAGGCAGCGGCTTCATCGTGACTGGAAGATGAGTGATGCGCGAGCCAAGGTTGCCGATGCTGCCGACGCCTAGCTAGTATCATCTGTATCGCATATTGTCGCAAAGGTAGTTCAAGTATCGTATTAAGTCTACATCTAGACAAATCAAAAGCCAAAACGTGATAATCGCGCGTTTGGTAAATTCGCGCGGATGGATGTTAAATCCAAGTCCTAGCCAAGTTGCCAACGACCACAGTTGTTAAGTGGGGGGCCACGCTCACAACCGCGTCGACATGCACCAGCAAACGCAGCAACTAATTTGAACTTGTTCTATTTTACAAATGAATCTGCCAACTATTGTCTAATCTATGGCGTACAGTCGTCCTGCAACAAAGTCTATAAACAGAAAGCCCATACATGATGCAAACCCTGGCGTAACCTACTAGGCATGCAGCGTCAAGGAAAAAGCAAAACCCCACCGCCGACCATGGCCGGCTCGAGAGAGATGATGAAATAAGAGAAGGATAAAGAGAAATAAGAGAAAATTGCAGGATGAAAATAAAAACGCCAGCCTGAGCATGCTCTATCCAATCGTCACAGCGTAGCTGCAGATCTTGGTAAAGACGGAAGCCACCTCGTAGTCGATATCAACGACACGTAGATGAAAGAAAGAAAAAGGGTATAATTTTATGGAAGGTTTTGAAGGGTCATATGAAATGCTGCTGATTCAAGGAAACAGGAGTTTAGCCGTAGCCGAGGTTGAAGCCCGACGCGTGGCCACTCTTCGTCGGCTCCGGGTCCTTGACGGGATGGAGCATGATCGAGGGCAGGCATGGACGCCCATGGCGCTGCTCCCAAGTGGCGCCGCCGATCCCAGTGTCCTCCCATCCCATCCAGTTGTTGAAGAGCCGGTTGGGAGGCTCGGCACGGTAGTACCAGGTGGTGCCCTGGTAGCGACGCTCGCGGCCCCAGCCCATGGCACTGCCATAGCCGCCAGCAGCGCCGCCCGGTCCGGCATTGAACCATTTGTCGACGAAGGAGCTCGTCCACTGTCGGTCCATAAAGACGGGCTGGGGGGCAAAGACGGCCTTGAGGCCATGATGAAGCGCAACCGTCTGCGGCGTCATCTCGGAGGCGACATGGTTGCCTCGCATATTCTCCGTGTGCATCAGGTTGAGCAGGCGTTTCGAGATGCGAGAGTGTGTCACTATAGTTGTTCGTCTGGGTACGTCTTCCCTGTTGTGCGTTTCGTCGCTGTAGCCCCATATGTCCCCCCCCATGATCCAAAGGCTATTGACAGGGTTGAACATGGGCCCGACGGTAATGACATCGGCATCTTCTCCGACTCCCCATTCGTAATTGTCTTCAGATGGTGTCGTCGGTGGCTTTGGTCCTTGTGGCTTGATAAAGGGCAAATCCGGAGGACCCCATACAATCGCGTCACCGTACTGCTGTTCGATCGACTGTCGAAAAGTAGTATCGTAGTCGCCGTGATACCCCGGAACATACCAACGCTCGTTTCTCTCCCAGAGGCCCTTGCGGGGCTGTTTTCGTGCGAACTTGTGAATATTGTCAAGCAAATCATAGTGGTGGCCAGTGTAGCGAAAGTCCATTTCCCAGTTCCAAATGTACTCAAATTCAGGGTGGTCGTAGCTGAACTTTTGGACCGATAACCATTGCGCTCTGTGCACGTCTCGTTCCTCGTCATCCTTCATCTCGGTGTAAATATCCTTGACAGATTGGTCGTTCCAGAGGACGGTGATTCCGTGGAATTCGGGCGGGACATGGTCCAAAAGGACTTGCCACCGGTCCTGTTCGTTGCCAAAAACATCCTTGGTCCCATCTTTGACGTGGACGAGGAGAAATACTTCGTATTCGCCGCCTGACTTTAGTGCGAGTTCAGTAATAAGGGCCCGAATGGTTTGTTTGTCGTTTTCGGTGTACCTTTTGCCGGTATAAGACCGCAGCAAAAGGGCAGTGCGGTTCTCTGTCTTGTACTGAGACGTGGCCTCGCTCTCGGGTGCCGCCGTTTCGGATGGAGAAACATCACCAGTGTGAGTGTCGCGGGCTTCAACTCCGTGCGCTTCCTTGCCTTTGCTGTGGCCGTTGATTGCGATTTGCGATTCTTCAGTGCCGGACTGAGCGGGAATAAAACGCTGTGTCTCGGGGTAGACAGCAAGGTACGGATTATCGCTGCTCACGTTTTCTTTATAACGCTTCGCATTGTTCTTGACGCATGTTCTCTGAAGGTTGCCCCAGTCGACTTGATCCCAGTGCAGAAGCTGCAAGCGACCACCGACTTGCCTCGTTTGCTCAAGGAGTCCATACGGGCCGAGCCTCGTGTCGCGTTCCCAACAAATATTGGGATCAAGGTTGAGGGCTTTATAGCTGCCCATTAGGTGCGTGGGAAAGTTTTGAGGGCGGCCTTTGAATACCATAATGTCGTCAATGTGTCTCCCATTCGCACCTCTGCACGAAACGTAGGGTGCGTAGCCCTCAGTCTGCCACTCGTCACTGTTGTAGTTGGGGTAAGGGTCAAAATAGACGGGCTCATCCTTGCTGTAGCCGACTTTGATGTGGGAAAAGGGCTTGGTAACGAGCTTCTCGGCGTGCTCCTCGGTTCGGTTATCCCTGTTGTCGAGTGCAGCCAGGGTCTTTCCATAGATCTGGTTGGAGCTTTTGAGACTTGGGCTAGTCAGTACGCAGAAGAGGAGTCTCGTAGCATGTTCACCTTACTTAGCAGTCGCTCGGTAGAGATATCTCCAAAGCTTGCGCTTGTCTTTTTCATCCTGCAGTCGACTGACTTCGTCTGCATTCCGTGGCGTGCCGTCTTGCTCCGTCCCTGGCTGAACGTTGTTAGGGTCCTCGTTGTCGTCGGGATCGGACCAGTGTTTGATGTCGCTGGCCCTGAGCTCCCAATACGGCGTGGTTTCGTCGATTTTTCCATTTTTAGGGATCTTCAGCGGCTTTTCTGTGCCACCAAACAGGCCGAGGTCGTAGTTTTCTCTGTCGTGAACATACGAAACAATGCGCAAATCAGTAGAGCGAGTGAGGAAGAGAAGACACGTCATGGAAGCCATGACGGCGGCAAAAAGGATAAATCGAGGCCTTAGGCTGGGAAGCCTTGAGCGGCCAAACTTGCTAGGGCGTCGAATCAGAATGCCCATGCTGTGCAGGAACTTGATGCGTCTGGGTCAATGGGGAAGCAATCAGTCGCTCAAGGTCTGCGACCAAGTGGTCGTCGCAGAAAATGTGGTGGACAAAAGGACAAGAATGAGAAGTGGCGACTTGACGATATAGGTGATGATTCGGAAAATGTAACTTGACGGGGTAAACGAGGTTGATGTTGTGCAAACAGCGATACTTGCTGTCGCTCAAGCTTGCAGCTGGCAGGAAGCATGTAGGCGAACAGGAAGGTCAACACCCACCAGGGCCTGACGGCACGTAGGTAGGTAGCAACACGGTTTGCTAGGCCCGTTTGCACAGTCTGTTTTGTGCCGGTTTTATTTGGCTGTAGGGAGATTTAGCCGTGACAATGTTAAACGAATGATGAAGATGTTGAAAAACAGTATCGAAAGGAGAGCTCGCAGTGGCGCCGTTGGGGCAGGTGGTCTTAGAGGAGGCAGCGCTGACGACAAGCAGAGGAAGGATACTTGGCTTCTCTACTATTATGGAAACAGAAACGGAAGATATAAGATATAAGAAATTGCGAAACAATAAAAGCACACTGCCTGCTGGGGAGGTGTCTGTTTATCGTTGTCAAGATCAGACGGCTAATAAAAGCTTGGCCTCCGATGATGTCTTGGTTGGGTGGGCTTGGGAACTGCCATCGGCCAGACGCAAATCAAAAGGGGCGAATGGAGAAGAAGCAGCGATTGCAATGAAATGAGAGGCGGGGTGCAATCAAGACTATTGAAGAAGTGATGACATGGTCCGATTACGTTTTTTTCCCTCGCGCGGCTGTCCACGTAGACGCCCCCTGGTCTTGGTGATGTGCATGGGGGTCGACATACAGTGCTGGTATTGGGATAGACACACGTAAACAGGAATTCACTGGGTCGTCTGCGCTTTGTCTGATAAAGTGTCTTATTTTAGAAATTTGCGCGGCGGATCAAGCTGCGATCAAAGGCACGCCGGGGCGGATGGCAGCGGACGTGTGCGGCGGCGACGAATATCAGCCGGCATCTTCAGACTGAATAACTAACTAATAAGTTACTACGCAGTACAAACACTCTCAATAGTACCGCGCCATAGGTAGACAATCCCACACCACCCAGATGACTAGAGCCCCGTGCCGGATCGTCCTCTCTGGGACCGTCCACAACACCCCCGTTCCACCAAGGTCCCGCTTGCACCGGTCGTACCATGGCTGGCACCGGGAAATATTTGCCTTCAAAGTCGTGGCAGTCGGTAACAGATTGCTTGGCTTGCAGTTTGATTTGCGTGGCATGCAAGTTGGTCACTAATGATGAGTCTCTTACACGGTCCAAAGCCAAGTCCTTCTCGTCTGGTCTGTGTATGTCCAGGTAATAGATGGGTGTAAGTCGTGATACAACGCCATCAAGAGTTCAGTGCAGCCACGTTTCTCCCCCCTGCCCGTATCATAATTTTCTTCTTATTATGGCAAACGCCCCCAGAGCTATGTGCGCAAATTGATCTACAGGGAATTTTTGTGGTTTGCCTCAGGGGAATGTGGCGCCCACGTTTCACTGCCTCAGAGAGTGTGCATCTCACGCAACACGCGCCGATGACTTACTTTTTGACAGAGTGACTGACTCTACAGTGGGTTGGATGTGACCCTCAATTAGTTATGTATTTATATATGTATGTACCAGTAGATTAAACTGGCCAAACTGGAGACTTCTCGCATCATAGATACTGGCTCTTGTAGCGTCACAACAGAAGCCGACATGGAGCTACAAAATTGCTGCAGATAAAATGATAACTTACCAGTAGGCTTCCTTGGTTGGGTCCCCCTCAAACTGTGGTGGAGTTGTCTGCCACAGAGATAGCACCGATCATCAATTAAGAGCAGGGGTTCTTGATAACAAGAGCCGCAAGAACATGTCACTGGTATGTACTGAGCAATGCAAAAGGAACCGGAGGATGGATGATGAGTTTGAACCCCAGAGTATCCTCCTGGCCTGAACCAAGCTTTCTACTTAGTAGCTCGCAGAAACGAAACCCTTCCTTGGCTTACGCACGCCCGTCACTGGATCCCCGGACCTCATTAGTTCCAGACTTATTGCCGGAAAGTTAACTTTCTTTTCTTCCTTCGAATTCTTAATCTGTTACTAACTTTAGCATCCTTCCCGTGCATCTACGGTTAATCGGCATTTATCAGTTCAAGCTTGCGCGTTCATCTCTCGATCAGTTTAGCTCCGGCCGACTACTGCACAGAACTAGCAACGCAAGCCAGATGCAGTGCTGTGTGATGTGATTGATGCACCCCCTCCTCTAATGACGATCGCGTGCCCATCACTGGGTCGCAACATACAACGAGAGAACCAACCTGCTCTGACTCGTCGGACCACTGTTTCGCAGCATACTGGGCACAAGGGGACCACACAAAAGCGCAACGCGCGGCGCGGACAACAGCGACGGCCGCTGCTGGCCAAAAATCATCCAGTGTGCCATCATCATCCTGTTGTGCTGTGGCGCATGCTCCCGACGCCCTCCCGCTATTGTTTCAATGACAATAAAATGCCCCGAGTCCAGGTCGGGGGTGCATGATGCATCTATTGTCTAGAACAGATGCTCGACTACAAGTCAAGCTGGCATGTCCGGCTATGCTGGGAGGGAACCAATAGGTTGCTGTAAATACATCTCAGTGCAAAGGCAGAACGAGGTCGTTGAAGCTGCAACTTTGGCCCCCGTCTTGTTACACCAGCCGCCTCAGCTTATCTCGCTTATTTAGAGCGTTGCAACCCCCAGATGCCAAGATCCAAGGCAGCTACCGAGAGCCTGATTTTGAGGTTCTGATTCTTTAGTTGACTCTTCTTTACTGAGTAGGGGGTTAACTTGCATCGGTAAGAAACGGCCGCAATTAAGCCTGCAGAGCCTCATAGTTCCGGTCTGGACCCTTTTATTGGGGGCATCCGTCACGGCGCATGTTGATCTTCCAAGCAAGAAGCAGACAGACTGGGTAATTACAACCGTTGAACCTGCGAGGGAGTGCAGCTCCAATCATAAGTCAGAGCTGCGCCACATGTCCTGTTACTCAACTGCTGCTTCCAGTAAAGATGGGAGGGACAAAGACGTTGCGTGGCGTCAGTTGATGAATGGGGGCCCTTGTCGATATGCATACTCACAAGCCACCAAGCAGCCACTCATCACAAGTTCCTACAAAGAGAAGAACATGTGCAGTTGCGGGAGCAAAGGGGGGTAGAAGGGCGACCTGAGCAACGTGGCCGCCAGCCAACTTGGCATCAATGTCAAAGCTCGAAAATATTCTGAGAAAAAGAAGGATTGAAAATTTGAAACTTTCGCGATTGAAATGACGCGTCAATTCTTTTCTTTTGGTGGGCAGCCATTGTCTATAGACGGATAGGCCTTTCCCTCTATCCACTAATATGAAAGCCACATTTCCAACGCCTTCCGGTTCGGCGGCGGATCTTTGTCTACCACACGGCTCCCATTGTTTCGCAGAACGTTCTTCGCTTGCAAGAGAGAAAATGAGGGATTTTGGTTGACTGACTGCATGCCCCAGAAAACTTGCCCATGTAAGTACTGAAGCAGGCCATAAATCACCTCTTTTGCGGCTTCCTCATTACCAACAGTTTTGTCTAAATTGGGTGTGGCTGACCGGGGCATCTCCAAGTTTTTCCAATGACTGCGGTTTTTTACTCGAATAACAAGGAGCGAGAAGTTTGTTTTCGCACTTTGACCAAATATGCAGTACCGTCATGGCCCATTTCATAATCTCTCAAAGTGAAAGGCTCTCTTTTCCGCGTGTCGCACGCAAGTCTGTTGTACAATGCCGCCAAAACCCAGTGTGGACCTGCCAAAGAGGTTGCAGATCAACTGGGGTTGCGTTGAAAGTTGACCTGAGAGGGTAGTTAGTTGATTAATAAAGTGGGTGAAAAGAGATGAGGCACACTCGGATCAAGTTTGTGAACCAGTCTCGGTTCATGTGTGGCCAGGGCCATTTGCACCAATCAACAAAGGCGAGAAACCTTGACAATGTTTCCACACTCGGATGAGATTTAGGAGCCAACCCTCAGTTGATGTACATCCTGGCCGGCCGACAAAGCCCACACTCTGGTCAGCTTGCGAACCAAACTCAAATGATGTACAGCACGTCAATGAACATGCACGGAAACTCGAAAGAGAGTCAACGCTCGGGTCAGCTTTCGAACCAATCTCAGTTGATGTATAGCTGAGTCTACACCTGATTCAGCTTTGAGTATCAACTTCAGTCGATGTGTAGCCATGCAGCTATCCACACTCGGATCACCGAATGGAACCAACCTCGTGCGATGTTGTGCAGTCAAACATTGATTCATGCAATCAATAACGAAACCAATGAACAGAGCCGAGTCAAGTCAAGAGGAGAATCCACACTCGGATCAACTTCGAGAGCCAACCTCAGTTGAGGCAGCCCTGCTCTGGGACCACGTCGGCGACAGCTGAGAGGAGAATTCACGCTCGGATCAACTTTGAGTGCCTACTCTCCTTGATGTGTAGCCAATTTACCTCTGTATTGAGGCCGCAGGTATGCATCATGTCATCAGGCAACAGTCATTACTCCTGCTCCTCAGCGTGAAGATGCTTCCCAGGGGAGGATGTCGCACACAAGCAACGCCTTGCTTAGTTATTCATTGTTCACAAACTCGCCAAGTCGAGATATCATCGAACAAGATGTATTTCACTCTCATAAATAAGAGCGGTGCAAGTTAAAAGACGGCGAAAAATAAACCGCTGACCTCGCAAGGCCGAACAAAATGTTACCCAAAATACAAAACCATGCCCCCCTTTCCCTTGCCAGGCCCAAGACAACTCCAAAAACAAAGAATGATTCCTGTCATCATCAATAAAAAATTACAAAGCCGAAGGTCTAAACGGGTACTTCTTATAAAAAGAGAACGCGAGAAAACACAAAACCAGAGAGGGGCTGAGGCAAAGAAAGGACAGTTACCACCTTTCCCTTCCTTTCTCGAATATTATATAATTCCGACGTCGTTGGTTCGGTAAAAACGGGGTATCATAAACCGGACGGTTAAAATCAGCACGAGTCAGCGAAAACGTCGCATCTTGACTGTGCTGTGCTGCTGGGTCCGGCACCAGGGAGTAGCAAAGTATGCAGCGCGTCACACACGTCCATCAAAGACAACCTAGATCACGCCGATGTATGTCATGCGCTTGTTGAGGCGCCCGTAGTTGGCCGGGGCCACTCCGTACGGGCCTCTCTCCATGCCGGCGCCGACGCCGCGACCGGCCTGTCCTCCCCTGCCACCGCTGCTGCTCTTCGGCGGCACCTTGGGCGGCAGCTGGCCACTCCTGCCATCGTAGTTCACCTCGACCGGCATCGGCGACACCAGCACCGACACGGTCCGCTCCACAAGGCGCAAGGCATCGCGCTCGCAGTACGCCCTGCCATCGACCTCGAAGTAACCGTCGGCGAGGGAGACTCTGCACTCGGAGCAGCAGAAGCAGTCTACGTGGTACTTGACGCGAGACTCGTCCTCTGCGTACCGGCCTTCGATTCCCTCGTTGCACGAGCGGCACAGGGTATTGTTGAGCTTGTGGTAGTCAAACTTACAGTACGGCCGGTCGCGATAGACGTAGAATTCGGCCGACGAGAAAACCTTCCTACAATCTGGCGCTGTGCACACAAAGCATTCCTTGTGGTACTTTCCCGTCAGGCGGCCATCGGCCGACGAGATACTGCGGCCCGTGATGGGCTTGCCGCACGCCTTGCAGTCGCCGCGGGAGGACGTGTAAATCCCATCACGGCCTTGCGTGGGTGACGTGCCGTAGCGACCCCCGCGGCTGCCGCTATCAATGCCTGCCTGGATGGCCGGGTCGTGGCGGTCGTCCAGGGGAGACGCGCTGTAGGGGTAGGGAGACTCTTCGACGCGCCCGAATCCGCGTTGAGGAGCCTGGATGGCAGGGTCGATGAGGAGTTCGGGTCGCGCATTCTCACGTCGCGGTTGCGTGGAGTTGTCGGCTTTCGGCGGCTGCTGAAGCTGTCGGGGTCGGGATGCGGGCTCCGACTTGTTTCGCTGCACAAGGCGTTCCGGGCTGCCGCTCACCGGCAGGTTGCTGCCCTCGCTGACCGACGAGTAGCCCGAGGACATGGAGTCTTGGGGGGTATGGCAGGGGTTTTCGGGGCCCCACTCCTTGTTGGCGATGGATGAGGTGTCAGCATTGGGCGGGATTAGACTTCTGCGAGGACGAGGCGGCGGCGGCCGTGATGTGTCCGGGCCTAGGGATGATTTCCGGCCAATATCACCGCTCCCGCTGCGTGCCAAAGGTGCGGATGGACGTCGGTACATATCAGGCTGCGGGCCAAGATCGGATGGTGAACGCGAGGACATGTCGCGGGGGTTTGTAGAGCGCGGAAAGGTCTCTGCGCGTGCCATGCCTCGAGCTCCATTGCCGCTCGATGCAGGTTCGCCAAAGCCGCCGTAGCCATTCTTCCTTACAGGCGGCTGCCGCTCGTCGTTGGCCGAGGAAAGGGACAAGTCGGACGTCGGGTTCAAACTATTCAGGGATTCTCTGCTCTTGTGTGATTCGGCCTGTTTTGGGGCTGATGGTCGACGCCCAGCATCGAATGCAGCACCAGCAAATGCAGCACCAGCAAGACCATTTATACGTTCCAGGAACCCCGGTGCATCTTTAGAAACCTCCGGCTCAGCCTGAGGCTCAGGCTCCGGCTTTGGTTGCACCTCGACGGGCTTCTCTGGCTCCGCAGGCAGCTTGGCAGGTCGAGCGCCAAAGCCTCCATACCCGCCGGCAAACTCAGCCATGCGTTGCAAGACCGAAGTCGCAGAGGTTTCCTTTTGAGGGGGCTCCACTGTCTCGTTGCTTTCTGATTCTGGTGTCTGATTGCCAAAGCCTCCGTAGCCTCCGGGCCGAGGGCCGTAGCCTCGAGATGATAGCTGCCCGTCATCCGAGTTGGCAATCCTGGGTGCATAGTCGTCGTTGAAGCTTCTGTTTATACCTGAGCGTCGGGTTGGTGTCTTGGGTGAAGTCTCGCGGGAGCTGCTGGCGTAGCTAATTGGGGTGATCTGGCCTTGGCTACGATATCGACCTGGGAGCATGTTAGTGGATATGCCTTGTATCGGCCGGGGTTGACGGATTTCCGGGGATCGGCCATACTTGCGACTCCGGTATCTACTGGAGGCGGTGTTCGTAAGGATTTGTTGCGCGTGGTTTGATTCGGGCTAGCGAATGCTTTTTGGGTCTCGAGAGGAGGCGATACTGCAGCAGTTGGGTCAATATAGGCAGGTTGCCAAGGGTAGGAGGGCCTTGTTACATTCTGGCATCGAGGGAGCATTGCACAAGTGCTCTCCCATCATGAAGATTGCCACTTGTTTTCCACATTGTGAGCACTTGATGGTTGGCAAATTTGATTCTCGTGGCAAAGCCATGGTTGCGCTGGCAGCACCGCGCCGGTCGGTACTGAGAGATGAAGACAAAATGGCGTCGTGGGCAGTGTTGTTGCTATGTTAATCCAGGCATCGAATCGTATAAGAAATCGAGTGAATCTTGTCTCTGTCGTTTGAGAAGATGACGTAGTGGTTGATGGCTCGTGTCGGTGGGCGTTTGTACAACGAAGGGGGCTTTGGTGACAGCTTGATGGAAGCCGGTTCTTTATATTCCTTCTGCTTTGTTCTGTGGACAACGCGACAGAAGGGACTGTGAATGACGGGTTTCAAGAGGGCGATTCTTCGTTGTTCAGGACGGTCGAGGCGTTTTGTGAAAGGCGGTTTTGAATATGTAGGTGGGTTGGTGAAGTCTGACGGACAACACCGAGGGGCAGGTTCTGAAGAGGTGATGAAGGTGGGTGTAGGTTGAAACAAAGCGCTCATGAAACGGAGAAGAAGAAAAGATTGATGCCAAGTCCGGCTGCGCCGCACAAGAATGATGACCAAGGTAAAAAGTCAGTGAAAGGGAAGAGAATTTGGAAACACGGCCAGTCGGAAGGACAAGTTTTGGCGATGCGAATCGTGTCTCGAATATGGAGTTGGCTGCTGATGCTTGGCTTTGGTGGGTGGTCAACCTCCAAGCAGCAGTTACAGGGGGGGGCCTACGAGGGTAAGGCACTAAAGTTAGTGGCTGGCTGGGGTAAGCTCAGGCCAAGGCTGGTCCCCTGACCCTGAGGCAGGTGGCTCCAGCGGGCTCCAGTGCACTTTACCGCTTCAAGGCTGCCTGGATTGTGTGGCTTCGGTACCTGGATCAGCCTAGTCCCCCCTTGTCGATAGTTGCACCAGCATATTTTGGCTGTGCACGGATACGACAATGCCATTAAACACTACGAACATCACTTCCTAGGCACCAGTATTCTTGCTCTTATGCTCCGTCTCCATCGAGTTAATTCGTACAAGTCATTCGTATTATGTGGTACAATGCTCAGGCGCTCCGGTGCGTCGCGGACGGTGATAGCCTCGGCGCACCACCTGTTACCTGCAGTTGCCAAATATACCAGTACAATATGCGGATACCTTGACTTTCTAATGAAATGTTTCCCATGGTGGATTGAAAAACATGAATCACAATTTACTTGATAATATTATGGCTTAGCAGGTGTTCCCGTTACCACAATGCTTAGTCGCCGTTACCATCTCGTAACGGTAAAGATATGTGTCCGGCAATATTCACGACTATCCGTATGCTGATACCAGGAAAAACTGGCAATACTCTCAAAGACATTTCTCGTCGTCGCCCTTGCCCCTTGCTCGACAAGAGACAAGACACCACCGCCGAAAGAGCAACGACTCCATGGACTACCGCCAGAATCATCCAATGCCACTCCAGTCATCGCCTTCAGCTCGGGCAAAAGAGATTACCCTTTGAATGGAGAAATTAACCGACAAGGCCATCGTGCCCACCGTTGCCATTTAGCTGCGCTTGGCCCTCAGTCCGGCCGGTACCTGAAATTGCACGGACATGGTGCGCATAGCGCCAGGTCACCAAAAGACCTCTTTTGCACTAATATATTTGTGCCCGTTAAACTATCAACCAAGCATTCTCGCTCTGCGTCTTCTTCGGCTGCCCTTCTTTGGACGCAGCCTCGTGTCGTGTGCCCCAGCGCCTCTTCAACCCCCCCTTTCTATCCAACTGGTTCCAGGGATAACGCCACCAACTCGAGGGCTGTTAGGCAAGACAACGGCAAAAAGGAAATCCTCACCAGTGCTGCACTGTACAACCAGTACGCATTAGCAAAGCTGTCAGCTCTTCTCTGCAGCAAAGCCAACAGGCCACACGTTACCCTAGGTACAAGTCCAACTAGCTTGATTCATCAGTGTCGCATGAATCGCCTCCCTTTTGCCCAGAACAACCACGCGGTCGGCCTGGTCTAGTCGCTGCTCCGTAATGTTGCACACAATAAATTGCCACTTTACATGATAATGTATAGTCACCCCGCAACAGTGAGTCTAGACAGCAACTCACTAGCTGGTTAGATGGCATGGCCAGGCCGGAATGCAATAGTCAGCCTACTGCCCAGATCCCCTCGATAGCATGTTCAGTGTGAACAAGCAGCTGTGGATCGGCCCTTCTATTTTAGTAAAGAGGTGGCAAGGTGCTTATTTCACCCCTTGCCCGTTCTCAACTCCATCACGCCTCGATTCGGATAGCCTCGCCGCCCAGGCCGCCGCCGCCCCGGAATTATAACCATTTAATGACTTGAGGGCCGAGATGTGATGTCATTATGGTTGCATTCTACACGCGATTCAGTAGCATAGTAATGAATGCAGCAAATAGAGTAATAATGGTAACTTGTCATGGTAGCAAACGATATGCTCTGCACACAGCCGCATGAATAGAAGCGGCTCTACTAATAGTTATGCGTAACGAGTTACCCAACGCCGCGTTTCAGTTGGTAATGGACCAACCGGGATGCCATAGGGTCCTGTCTCGTGAAAACAACGCCTGCTGTACGAACCATCCTCCCCGTATCGTTGTCCACAACGGATCCTAATTAGAGCAACACTCCACTGGGCTTTGCCCTGTTCCTATTCCTTGTCGCCAGCCAACCAGCGACCCCGATCCAGAACGACTCAAAGTACCTTCGATTACAGGGGAGAAGAGCCCGCCTGTAACAGGTGTCAATATGGCTGGATATTGGAATATTTATTGTCGCTCTACCGTCGTCTCAAGTGTATGAATTCCAGTGTCCAAAGAAGATTGTTCGGGAAAAAGCTCGATGAGTTCTGGAACCGAGGGCGATTTATAGAGTTAATAACTGTACACGTGGTTTTTTATTGTCACATATCGGAATGTCGCGGCTCCTATTACTGCACGAGGCCCCTCCCTGTCTCAATCTAGATCTCAGTGCAAATAAATACCTTGAGTCGGCGGTGAGTTGTCTTTCTTCCTAAAATAATGATGACCAGCAACTTGCAAGACAGTCCAAGCTCCTGCATTTCCCATCTCCCATCTCCTATTTCCCATACAAGAACAAGCAAATACAAAGTCACACCACCCACCACGACGTCATTCAGTGTATCGTGTATCGACAGCCACCTTGTACGAGTAATACTGGTAAGCACCGCAGCATGCAGGTGAGTAACATGCTCGCTTTGCATCAAAATACCTCCGCCTTGCACGTTTCGCTTCACTTTGTTTACTTTGCCTCTTGGCACACATTACGATCGCTCATCAACCCCCCAGATTCCGTGTTTGTTTTTCTACAGCCTCTCTTGTCACTTTGCATCTTTCGTTGATCGTCATCTGCAATTTCCCCACAGTTGCAGCTGGCCTCCTTTCCAGGGTCCATCGCACAGACAGAAATGTTTCCAGCAAGCATGATCAGCCTCATCGTTGCTTTTTTTTCCCTCCCTAGTAGGCTACATGCTTGCCATGATTACAGAATGCAAGTGGTGTGGGCTTCATGTGATTACAGCCGCGTGCGGAACGAAACTGCTTTTTCCTACCCGAAATCATTACATGCGAGCAAGATGGCTGCGAACATGCGCCATGCTTGGCGAAAAGGCCTAGAATCTCGTCATTTCCATTTTCAGCATCAATTCCGTCATATCGCGATTCTTGTGCCCTGCTAGCGCCCATGCTGCCCATGCAGACAGAGCCTTTGGCCGCACAAGGCGCTTGTTGCCCCATGCCTTGATGCTTGTCGGTTCCTTGTCTTCCCCTACATCCATTTTCGCGAGCTTGTCTTTCTTCTTCATTTATTTCCAGCCGCTGTTCCGTAGAGCAATAAGGGGTCTGGACGCTCACCTATTCTTTCTTCGACTCTACTGCTAACGATGCAGACATGGTCTTTCAAAATAACAGTATGCGGCGAGAGAACCCTTCACTCTGAAACCTGCGTGTTACAAAGTTGCTCCAGAGTCGCTCATGGGCGAGACCGTTTGCTCTGCGCATGATGACACTATTCGTTTGTAAACATTTCACCAAACGTTATGTCACATGGCCATCGACGTAGTGCCCCATGATCAGCCCAGATATGGAATTGGAAACTGTGCGACGTCGGAAATGGACACGAAACGCTGGTATCACAATACACCAAAACAACAGCCAGCGGGGCACGGCGCTTAGATTGCCGAACTTCTGCGAGTCATGATCCTTTTGGAGATTCTCGAGGTGATTCTTTTCAATTGGCCGGTACACACCAGCGGCTAGTTTGTCGTGGCCCGAGAAATCTAACCAAGCGTCCCCCACCGAATGCCGTGGCCGTGCCAAGGTGTGAACCTATGTACGCAGCTCATGAGGCTACCAGTCTCACAAAAGATTGAGCAAGTTCAGCAGTGAGATATGACAAGACGGCGAATGGCATGCTGCTGGTCTCCATGTCATCATCTGGGGGACATGGGACCAACGATCAGGTTGCGCGGGTGGTCGCCAACCCACGGATTCTGCAGCAGCAGTGAAACAAGCCTCTGACGCGCCGGCCTCTCTCCACGTTTCTTCAACACGCACACGAGACATGCACAGTAAATCAGGGTTCATGCATGCGGTGAGCTCGTGATCCATGAGATCTGTAACACCGGGACTTTTTCTTTTTCTTTTCTTTGAGGGAACTGTCGCGTGACGTCACGGGCATGCTTCCGGCTTTTTGTGGATGCATGCCGGCTCCGGAGGGCTCGGCTCCACCTCGCCGGTCCGGTCGGCCATGCAAAAACTCGGAGCCGAATTTCTTTCCCCATATTCGGAGCAGTGGCCGAAAATGGAAAGCGGGTAGCGCTTCCGCTGACATCCCATATTTCGTGTTACTCTTCTTCTGCGCGAGCCGCGCCAATGACAGTCGTGCTATTAATATCCTTCGAGCGGCTCAGCCACGCCAAGGCCGCGTGGGCAGATGCGCGCAGACCGGGGGTTAGACTTCAGCCGCCCACGACGCACCAGATCAACTTAAGCAACACTATTAACACGATCCCTAGCCAGTGATAAGCTCGGGTTTGGTGGCTTAAGAAGCTGGCAGATTCTCGTATATTGGTTGCTGACGCGGCCGAGTCACTCCACGTGGCGGGTTGCCGGATAGGACCTGGCTTGCTTTTCTAAGTATCAATGCGGCATTGAACGAGCCTGACTTTATCGCCTCTGGGCAGATTCGGGATGAGGGACTGTATGTAGGTCATTAATACGAGAGCAAGGACCATCATCAAGGACGAATGAGACGCAGGTTGCGTTTTTGGCAGGCCGCCGCGGTGCGACTTTTGAGCATTTCAAAATGGCACAAACTCTTGTGGTTGCCTTGGCGATGGGCTCATTTGTTGAACTGATTGGCATACTCTTTATGACTTGCCAATTGTATCGGAAGAGTAGAAATATCATCTATGAAAGACAATTAGAGCAGCAGCTTAAGAGTGAGTGGCCAGCACATTAACGCGGCATCGCATTAGCCGCGACAATGTGCATCCCAGAGTTTGTAGATTGCAAACTATTACAGAGAGGATAGCGAATATGATCAAATCAAATGAGTGCGACGCACTAGAACATGGAGGAGTTCCTGGCTACGAAAGCAACGTCCAGCCTCGGAACTGGTCATGTCTCCAAAGCCGACAGACGCCTTGCCGCATCCGACAGCAAGTCATTACTGAGTATCGACCCATCACACTCCCTGAAGCTGTATCGAGAACAAGGGAATGGCCCTTGGAATGCCCCTTCCAACTCAGCTGCCTCGACGCAACTCACAGATAGCAGCAGGCGCTAGCTCCAGAGGAATCTCCGCGACTCGGGCAACAACTTAGCTCTACTGCGGCGTCGCCGGGGAAAGACGCCTCTTGATCACGTATGCGTCTCCTGTGGCGTTTTTTCCTCGACATTTCGTAGACTGGGGGCGAGGGCCCGTTCACAAAACGAGCTAGCTAGAACATCCAAGGCCACGCAAGCCCCCCGAGGAACCGTTAATTATAACCTTACCGGCCACCCAAAGTTTCTCTCTTCCTGTACACCCTTTTTACAATTTCCATCTTCCTTCATCAACAGCAAACCTCTCCATCGCACACAACTCTGTCGAGATGCTTGTCAAGACATCGACGGTGCTCTGCGCGCTCAGCGTAGCCGCCTACGCCGCGCCGCAGCAGCTCCCGATCGCCGCCGGCGGCCGCCGCGCGGATCGCGATCCCGTCACCATCCGCTGCGGCACGGGGTCCAACACGGAGCCCTGCCCGGCTCGCTACAAGTGCACGGCGCCGCCCAACTGCGAGCGGTACTTCCAGGGCGTCTACTACGAGGGCTGCATCGGCACCTGCGTCCCGGACGTGCCCACGATCTGAGCGCCCGCCGCGCGGACAGAGATACCACCACCACAACAACAACGACAAAATTCGCCTTTGGGGCAGACACACTTCACGAAGCAACTCCCAGCTACCTATCGACTTGACTCGTTATCGGGACATGGGCAAGGCAAATCATACAACTTGGGGCGAGATAGAGTTTGGACGCGTCAGAGCAAGGGAAAGCGGCACCATGTGGGCGGGCGCGTAAACCCCCACATCCCGACAGCACAGGATTGTTGGAGACCAAGAAAGCCGGTGCAAGTTTTGCCTGCTTGTCTTGATGAAAACAAGTTTTGCATTTTTCTTCATTTATTTTCTTTGCAGTTTTCGGGGAGGTTGGGCGGGTCTGGTGGCGAACCGGTCATGGATAGCATTGCGTTTGATTATCGAGATACCACAATCATAAGATTTTGCTTCAAACTACCGTGCCAAGTATTCAGCAGGTGCAGTTCTTTAAATCTAGTGAAGAATGGAACAGGTCCTCAACCAGAACTTGGTCATTTACTTATGTCATGAAGGAGCATTGCGAAGCGCTGCTCTGAGGACGGCAGCTGCTGTCGGTAATTGGTTCGGAAAAATGGGGGCGTGCGAATCGTGAAGATGAGATCTCCTCATTTACATGACTTATTATCCGTACTAAAGATATCAATGGCACGGCAACTGTGGGAGACAGTGTGCCTGCCGGCGATGGTACGCAATCTATTTTGCGACAGCTTGTCGGCTGCTAAAAATGGCACACGACATGTTTCCGCATACGCCCACATAGCGGATGACGTTGCCAGAGCCAACAGGAGCTCGGTAGCTTCAATCTTGCCAAGTGTGTCATATCGGGTGTCTTTTTTTAAATCGTGCTAGAATGGTGATTGATTCAGAGCAGCGGCACCCTGCCGTGGTGACGCGGCCTGTGGCTCTCCAGCGTGGACGGACGCCACAGACCAGCCAGATCCAAGGAGCGCTGGCGGCTCTGCAACCAGCAAATTTTAGGTGAGGATGGCACGATAGGGTCAAATTGGCGAGCTGAAGGCAGGGTAGCCGTTTATTAGGTCCGGAGTGTAGGCGATTACAAGAGCTGTAAGAGGTCAGATGGTGTAACAGATTGCGCTGGTCTCGGCAGAGACCAAGATGGCCATGATCGACAATGTATACACTACCAATACAGGCAGGACTGAATGCTGCAAAAGGAAGCGAGAAAAGATCGCACATTGGCGCCTTCGGAGTTGCCTAGATGGCGCTGAATACTAATAGCAGCTAGATGGAACAATACCATTTGTAGCCGGACGTGCAGCTCAGCTGGACGAGTATCTGTAAGTGCAGAGGAAACGCTGTGTTTTACGTGACTGACCTGCACCAGGGCAAGCTAGGGCTTGGCTGATGCGGTAGCTTTGGCGCTTTGAAATGGCCATTGGGCACGCGAGAAGGAAGGAAAATAGGTCGGCATAAAAAAGCAGCGTTGGCCCACACCGGATGTTATTAGCGTTTGGCATGAGGCAAGCAGGCAGCCGAGCCGAGCCGAGGATGGCGGGAGGATGGGGGACACGAGAATAATTGAGGCCGAGTCTAAAGTTGCTTAATAGTTAACATGATGATTTGTATATCTAGTGGCACCAAGCTGTCGTAATGTTTGGTAGCAATTGCTTCTGTTTGCTGCGGTGCATCGTCTTGATGTTCTCGTGTGTGAATAGACTGGAAGCGTTGGGGCAGCGATGGTGAGAGCAGGGGTCTGAATGGTGGTCGCGTGTCGGGGGCTTGCCTGCTTGGGGCAAGACACACAGCAGTGGAAGAGCAGGCAAGGTGACAAGCAGGCACGCAGGCTCGATGGAATGGATGTTCAAGTCCATCGCAATGAAACCGTAAGCCAGCCGGACTGCTGAACTGAGCATGGTGGTGCTGTCTGTCTGCAGGGTTTCTACTGCACAAGTGGCTCCTCCAGCATCTCCAGGATGCCTGCCCCTCGACCCCTCCCTCCATCGGCGGTGGGATGATGGCACAGAACCGAGCACAATTTGTCTCTTGAAGTAGCGGCTTGTTCTACTTGTTGGCCTATAAAGAAGTACCTTAAGTCATTTTCTTTGGTCACCCGGCAGCGACAAACTGAATAGGGGAATAGCGAGCACGAGCAAGTCCTGCACAACCTGTGGTGGTAACTCTGTAGCCATCCGGGCTTGGCTGCACGCTCACCGCTTAACCATCCAACTGCGACATTATTAGGTACAGGTAACATTTACCGATATCATGGCGCCGATAGCGCATTTTGATCAATGACATTCAGTCCACTCCCGCTCATTACTGCTTGCTGGTATTGGCTTAGGTCAACTCGCAATTGGACGCGACGTGGGGCAGCCGAGGGGTTCTGCCAGCCACGACAGGCACCGGTACCCTGTGTTCGTCCGTCCTGGTCTGCTAGCGAGGTACCTCACTCCCATCGAAAAATCACCTTAATCTCCCGCAAAATCACCCCACCATCGAGGTACTCCCCTCACACTTTTCCCCATCTCGTGCCCCATCCGATGCTCCCATGCAGACAGTCAAGCGCCAAAAAGGTTGAGCCCCTCCAAAAAGCGCATGCATGGAGCTTCTGCCATCTCGCTAGGTAGTATATCAACTCAGCCCCGAGCCTCCCGCCCCGTTCCCTCCCGACTTCTCTTCTTTCTTCACCCAAAAACCAAAACACCAACAAAACAAACAGCAATTAACAAGCTATAGTCTCTTTTGAGCACCCTACAACTCAGCCCTCCAACCCAATCCAGTCTCGTCGTCAATTGCCTGTCGCCAGACTAGTCACCGTTTCAACACACCCTAAAAACACCACACACAAATCTTCTGATCGAGGCATCTATTTCCTCGGTCGCTCAAAGTCGCCAAGACGTTTTCCAACCTCCTCAACTCGTAAGTTCATTCATATACAATTCGCCCCTATGAGATTCCCTCTCCAAAGGCCACCGCTAACCCCCCTCTAGGGTTCACCACCCGTTCGCAGGAGCCCGCTGCTCAGCCGATACTGGAGGAGCATCGGACTCGATCGAAACCCAGTAATTCGATCACTGCCAATTCAAGAAGCCCACACACTCCTCTCAATCTCGTCTATTCCGCCTCAACTCAACTAGTCAACCATGGCTCCCCACGCGGAATCCAACAACGGCTCCTCGAACGGGTTGGTTGACGCTGCTAGCATCCCTGCTGCCAGCGTCGCGCCCACCTTCAAGGTCAACTCTCCCAACGTCACCTACACCGACTCGGAGATTCGATCCAAGTATACCTATCGCACCACCAGCGTCGACACGGACGCCAGCGGAAACTTTGTCGCCACTCCCAAGGAGACTCCCTATGAGTTCAAGGTCGAGCGCAAGGTCCCCAAGATCGGCATGATGCTGGTCGGCTGGGGCGGCAACAACGGCACCACCGTCACCGCCGGCATCCTCGCCAACCGCCGCAACCTCAGCTGGGAGACCAAGGAAGGGCCTCGCCAGTCCAACTACTATGGCTCCGTCGTCATGGGCTCGACCCTCAAGCTCGGCACCGACGCCAAGACCAGCAAGGAGATCAACATTCCCTTCCACAACATCCTTCCCATGGTCCACCCCAACGACATCACTATTGGCGGTTGGGACATTAGCAAGATGAACCTTTCCGACGCCATGGACCGCGCTCAGGTCCTCGAGCCTACTCTAAAGGCCCAGGTCAAGAAGGAGATGGTCGACATGGTTCCCCTGCCGTCCGTGTACTACCCCGACTTCATCGCCGCCAACCAGGAGGACCGTGCCGACAACGTCCTCGAGGGCAACAAGGCCTGCATGGCTCACGTCCAGCAGATTCAGACCGACATTCGCCAGTTCAAGGAGAAGAATGCCCTCGACAAGGTCATCGTCATGTGGACTGCCAACACTGAGCGCTACGCTGACCTGGTCCCTGGCGTCAACGACACCGCCGACAACCTGCTCAAGGCTATCGAGCAGGGTCACGAGGAGGTCTCCCCCTCGACCATCTTCGCCGTTGCCTGTATCCTCGAGGGCACTCCCTTCATCAACGGCTCTCCCCAGAACACCTTCGTTCCCGGCGCCATTGAGCTCGCCGAGAAGCACAACGCCTTCATTGGCGGTGATGACTTCAAGTCTGGCCAGACCAAGATGAAGTCTGCTCTCGTCGACTTCCTCATCAATGCCGGCATCAAGCTCACCTCAATTGCCAGCTACAACCACCTGGGCAACAACGACGGCAAGAACCTGAGCTCCCAGAAGCAGTTCCGCTCCAAGGAGATTTCCAAGTCCAACGTTGTGGACGACATGGTCGAGGCCAACTCTGTTCTCTACAAGCAGGGCGAGCACCCTGACCACTGCGTCGTCATCAAGTACATGCCTGCCGTCGCCGACAACAAGCGTGCCCTCGATGAGTACTATGCCGAGATCTTCATGGGTGGTCACCAGACCATTTCCCTCTTCAACATTTGTGAGGACTCTCTCCTGGCCTCACCACTCATCATTGATCTCGTCATCATTGCCGAGATGATGACCCGTATTCAGTGGAAGTCTGCCGAGGGCGACTTTAAGCAGTTCCACAGCGTTCTGAGCGTTCTTAGCTACATGCTCAAGGCTCCCCTGACCCCGCCTGGCACCCCGGTCGTCAACGCTCTTGCTAAGCAGCGCGCTGCTCTGACCAACATTTTCCGTGCCTGTGTTGGTCTTGAGCCCGAGTCTGACATGACGCTCGAGCACAAGCTGTTCTAAGCCAATGCTGTGCTGTTCCACTGATTTACGCCGCGTTGCGGTCCGCAAACGACTGCTTTAGTGACTTTCAATGATGAAACAAAGAAAAAAAAATGCGAAAAAGGGAAATCGAGCAAAAAAAACAATTAAAAAAAGAAAAGAAAAAGATTGGTAGAGTAGTATAAGCCCGGGTCCTGGCTGCACGTCAATACACTGCTTTTCCATGCTTTAAGTTTCCATGTGTGACTGTGTTCTTACAAAATGCGTGATTCTGATCATAATAGCTCAGCAGCGCAAAAGCCGAATCATTCGAAGAGCATCATGTTACACGGAAATCATCTTTAATTGAGGAGCCAGAGTGTTTTACGCGGGACGGTCCACCAGTGATGCGTCGTGGGCGCGTGCCATTAAATGGGGGCAGTTGGCGTCGCTCACCGCGTCGCGCGTCACCCTCATACAATTAAGCCCACCCGCACTTCAACTGCCTACACCTCCATCATACTTTCTACCCAACAGCAGCACATCAACTTTTCCATCCCAAATGCAGCACTGAAAACTTGATTTCCCTCTCCATCTTACTACTTTGTTCATGTCCCTTTCCAGTATTTAATCCTCAAAGCAGTCACTCTATTCTTTGCATCCCTCACGCACTCACGTCGCGCCATGTCCGCTCCGTCCTCGCCCGTGTCCTCCCGCGGAGGTTCGCCAGCTCCCATGCTGACGCCTCGCTCGAAAATCAGGGCTCTTCTCGCTACTGTCGACAGCAGCGACGAGGAAGGTGGCGCTCCTACACAATTGAAACAGGCTGCCCGGCCCTCGGTCCGGTCAGCGCTCGCACAGCTCGACGACGATGACAGCGAATCCGACGTCGAGATCCGCCCCCGAGGCAGACTCGCGGCCCGTATGCAGGCCAACAGCACATCCCCCAGCAAAAAAGAGCCACAAAACGCGCGTGAACGCGTAAGACAAATGCTAGAACGCGAAGACAAGCAGCAAAAGACCGTGGCGGATGATGACGAGGATGAGGACGATTTACCCGTCGCGCCTCGTCGCCTGCAACGTCGTCCGGCTCGTGAACCCACCCCAGAGCAACAAGAGTCTCTGCAACAAAATAGACGCAACCCTTCCAGCCCTGGTCTCTTTGTCTCGTCTCCAGCGCGCTCTTCGCCGTCTCGCGGCCTACAGCACACCAACTCGGATTCGGAGAGCGATGATCTGCCCGCCATCAAGTCGGACCGCTTCAAGGCCCTCGTCGAGAAGAAGCGCCAAGAGCGTCTGGCCCGCGAGGCCAGGGAAGAAGCCGAGCGAGCCGAGCGCCGAGCGCGTCAAGAGAAGCTGTCCTCGGAGCTCGACGCTCTCGACTCTAACGACGACGACGTATCCAACATTGACGACGATGAGGGTGGCCACACCCTGACGCAAAAGTCGGCCCGCCCGTCCCGCAAGGCCAGCAAAAAGGCCATTGAGGAGATGAACCGCGAGACGCAGCGCATGGCCCGAAGCATGCAGCTGGCCCACGAGGCCAAGACACGAAAGAAGTTCACGAAGAGCAGCCTCTTTGAGAGGTTCAATTTCAAGCCGGCTGGGCTAGCTCCTGAACCAATCGTCCAGCCTGCCAGCTCTAGCCGCCCGACTACTCCCCAGTCAGATGTGGAAATGGCAGACGCTGATACGCCCCCAAGCTCGCCCCCGTCCGCCAAGGCTGCCACGGCGGCTCCCATCGCTATTCGAACCGATAACAATGATGACGAGGATCTGCCCACTCTAGAGGAAATTTCTAGCTCTCCCCACGCTCGGCCTATCGACAAGGGCAAGGGTAAAGCTATTGATGTTCCTGAGGAGCAACCCGCTGAGGTCAATCAACCGAAAAAGCGCGTCCATGTCCGTCTTCCCAATCTCCTGAAGACGCTCGCTGCCGACCCCGACGATGAACTTGAAATTACCGCTACAGTTCAAGACAAGGTCAAGGCTGTCTTTGACAATGTTCCCCTCAAGACCGCTCAAGGATCACACTCGCTGCAGGTGCTTCGCGCTCTTGCGCTCGTTCGATCTCCAGACCGAAGCCGAGGACGTGGAAAGAAGACTCCGGTGGGAATCACCAACACCGAGCTTCAGGCTTCACTTCAGCAAAGGGCAAGACAGCAGGCAAAGCTGGAGCGAGAACGTCGACTTGAGCTTCTCAAGTCGAAAGGCGTTGTTGTCCAGACTATGGAGGAGCGGGAAAAGCAGATGGAAGAGGTGGAGGATATCGTGGCCAAGGCTCGTGAGGAAGTTCAACGCCTCATGGAGCAAGAGCGCGAGGCAGCTAAGAAGGAGAAGAAGGAAAACGCCGCCGCTGACCCCCTCGCATGGGACGATAGCGATGACGAGTATGAGGCTTCTGAAAATGGCGCGGAAGTTGAGGCCATCGAACTCTCCGGGTCAGAAGACGAGGGCGAGGAGGCTGACGATGAGAGTGATGCGGCTAATCCTATGTTTGATGACGAGGCCGAAGACTCGCATGGAAAGGAGGAGCCCGAAGCCGGCAATGACGATGATGAGCAGATGGAGAAACCTGCGGTGCAAAGGCGTCGCAGACGAGCCAGAAACGTCAACGCAGTGCTTTCAGATGACGAAGGCGAAACGCAGATCAAGGCCACACCCAAGCCAATCAAGACGACCGACCAGATTTCACCCGTTGCGGCAAACGGCAACTCCTCCGCCCCCGGCTCTGTTCTTCGATCTGCCAAGAAGACTTTTATTCCCGGTATGCCTGTCCAGGGAGCCGCTGGCCTTGGTCTGACGCAGATCTTTGCCGGCACCATGGATGATAGCCAGCTGAGCGCCGCCAATGGCCCTACGCAGTCCATGATGCCCGATTTCGATCAGCTCCCCGACTCTAACTTTTCGGCAACCATCGATCAGTGCGACGACAACATTATTGAGAACTCGCAGCCTCTCGAGACACAAAACGAATCAAACATGGTCCGCCTCAACATGTCACAGTCGCAGATGCACGGGCTCGACAGCCTCATGCGGGACTACCTGGACGAATCACAGACCATTGAGCTATCTCAAGACGGTGGCTTCCAGACATACACGCCCCTCAAGGATCGCTTCGTCGAGCCGCCCTTATCTACCGTAGCTACCGACATTGCCGGGACCATGGAAGATGGCCCACAAGCATCACCGCTCTTGCGACGAGGCAAGCTTCGCCGCAAGGCTGATGTCGAAAAGGCTCTCGAGCCTACTCAACCCATTCCAACTTCACTCTTGACCGCGCCTCAAGATGCGTTCACAAAACTGAAAGAGCAGGCCAAGAGAAATGAGAAGCGGCGCCTTACAGACGCTTTCAACGCCAAAACGAGCAAGGCTAAGGAGATGGTTGAGCAGGAAGCCATGGAATCTGATGACGAGTACGCTGGCCTCGGCGGCGTTGACGGCGAGGACTCGGACAACGAGTCCAACGCCTCTGTCCAGGAAATGATTGACGACGCCACGGCAAACAATGCCAACGACAGCAAGCTAGCTGCATTTTATGCTGATCGTGCGCGTGCAGAGGATGAGCAGCAGGTTGAGAAGCTGTTCAAGGACATTACCACCGGTATGCTGCGTCGCAAGCGTGGCGCTGATTATGACCTTTCCGACTCTGATGACGATGGCGAGGCGCGCCGACGCATGAAGCGCCGCCAGTTTGCCAAGATGCAGAAGGCCCTCTTTTCCGATGAGCGCGTCAAGAAGATGGCCGAGGACCCCGGCAACCAGGCTTTCCTGCGTACCATTGAGGACCGCGGCAGCGATGACGAGATGGATATTCTGGAGATTGTCGAGTCGCCTTCGCAGCGCGACTCGTCACAGTCCCCAGCTCCCGAATCGCAGAACGCTGCGCCTCAGACAATTCCCGACAGTCAACCTAAGCAGCCCGCTCGTCCGGCTCTCGCCTCTCTCGCCTCCGCACCCACAGGTGCCGAAAGCAGTAGAGCGCCTGCCAGCATGCGCAGGACCAAGAATGCCAAGAAGCCCTCCAACATTGGCGAGGTCCGCGAGACGCTGTCCAACCTGCTCGAGGAGCCCGACGCTTCGTTGATAACGGCAACCGAGGCTGGCTCCGACAGCGAAGGGGAAGACGGCGCACCGCGCAGCAGCGACAAGGAGAATCGCTCCCCGCGACGCGCAGCCGTTGGCGTCGTCGACCGCATCAGCCTCAAGAGAGGCAACTCCAACGCGTCGACCAGCAGCGGCCGTCTTGCGTTTGCCTCGGCATTGTCCAGTAGCGCGTTCAAGGTCCCGCCGCTGCTGCGCCGCGCGACGACCAACTCGTCCATCATGTCGACGGCGACGACAAGCACCGCGACCACCACGTCGAGCAGCTCCGCGTCCGGCGCGGGCTTTGGCGACGACAAGAAGATCAAGAAGGCGGCCGGCAAGCGGAGCGGCGTGGTGAGTCGCGCGATGCCGATCAACGAGGGCCAGGCGCGCCTCAAGGAGAGCGAGCGCCGTCGCGAGGAGAAGAAGATGAAGAGCGCGGAGAAGAGACGGGGGATGATGGCAGGATTGCTGGGCCGTGGCACGTTTGCATGATTTTGGGAGGGACTGCATTTTCGGAGTTTAAAGGATTAGGGTTAACCTTGGGTATCGCTGGCGTTAGGGTATGGATGGCTTGTGGCGTTTTGGCATTGTCATTCTTTTAACACATTTCTCATACAATTAGACTCGATTGATGTTGAATCAACATTACAAGAGACACGGTTCCATTTGATACTGGCAAAAAAAGGATCCAAGAAATGGTGAAGCTCCGACCAAATACACGCGTCAATGCAAAGCAAGATCGACGTTGGAAATTGGCTACCTGCTTAGTGGCGAATAAGCGAGACCGTTACAACAAGGAACAACAGATCCCGTGGTCTAGTTGGTTATGGCATCTCGTTAACACCGAGAAGGTCCCCGGTTCGAGCCCGGGCGGGATCACGCTTTTTTTGCTGCCCAAATCAATTCACTTTTTCCTTTTTCCTTTTCCCGAACAATTCCGTGTGCTTGGCTGTTGCAGATGAGGAAAATACGTCTCTTGCTTCTACCTTTTTTTTTTCTGACCTTGAATGTTTCATAAACGCAACCAACCTACTTAAGACGTAACTTTTCCGCACTACCCTCTAAAACCTCCTCAGTGTAAAAAAAAGAAAAAAAAAGACTAAGTTGAAAAAAAAAAAAAAATTCAGTAGAGTAGCAAAAAATATAACTTGCCCTCGATGAGGTTCGAACTCATGACCTTGAGATGTCCCGGCCTGTTGGCTAGGTCATACGAAACCAGCACCTTGACGGTGATTTTTGTTGTATGAGACTCACGCGATAACCAGCTACGCCACGAAGGCTTGTTACTTGATGGAGTTGCTGATGCGGGATCAGCTCCATTTTTACTTCCGGCGTTTTTATTTACCTTCATAAAGGTCTCGCGGGCATCGGAGCAGGTTTTTTGTGGCCAGCAAGCCCTGCCTTTGTGGATCACCAAGAACATGAGAGGATCGAGACCAAACAGAACACGACGACGGCACAATTGGGGCTGAACATGTACTTTAGACAGGCAGCCTTTGTTAAAAATCGTCGAGTCGTCACTGTAAATGTCGGAGGTGTTTCAATTGGCCCAACCAAGCGTAGTTTGCGCCGTGCAGCCACCTCCATGTCACAGCGAAACCAACATAGCACGATATAGGGTAGTGAGGCAATTCAAAGTATTTTAATGCCGTCGCATAACTTGCTATTTTACGCACGTCTGCAAATCGAGAAAGCTTTTAGTCGTCTATGTCTATATATGTACAAGTATACTCTATTCTATCACACAACCCCCCCACGAGCGCACCCCTTACTGCAGCGCGCCCACGCCGCTCTTCATCCCCAGCAGGCGCTTTACGCTCAGCCAGAGCTCAAACATCTCTAGCTTGACCTCGACCCTGACCAGCGACGCCCACGCCCACACGACGCGCACCGCGTTGGCCGGCCAGAGCAGCGACCCGCCGCGCGCGCGCACCTCGTCGAGCTGCTCGTAGAAGACGGTGCGGGTGCAGTAGCGGGCGAGGATCAGAAAGGTGCGGGCGGGCCCCTGGCGGGTGTGCAGGTTCTCGTCGAGGCTGCGCGTCAGGTCGTTGGTCTTGAGGATGAGCAGGATGATGCGGGGCACGCGGCCGAGCAGGCGGACCAGGTCGACGATGAGCCCCTCCTGCAGCGAGGTGGACATGGCGGCCTCCTCGTCGCCGGTGCGCGCGCGCAGCACCGACCCCTGCGTGGCGAGCACGCGGTAGTCGCGTCCCGTGATGGCGGACGCGAAGAGCGGGAAGTCCTCGTCGGTGACGCCGGCGACCTCTCGCGCGTACCGCCGCATGCGGTCCATGTCGCCGTCGATGACGGCGAGCCACATCTTGGCGTACGAGCGCCGCAGCGCGAGCGGGATCTCACGGTACAGCCCGTGGTCGTAGAGGATGACGTCGAAGTTGGGGCGGCGGCGGCGGAGGCGGAGCAGCTCGAGGATGCCGCGGCCGGCCGGCGCGCTGTCGTTCTTGCGGATCGCGAGGTTGCCGCCGTGCGGGTCGCAGTGCAGCGGCGCGCCGTCGCCAAAGATCATCTCGTTGAAGATCCGCGCCAGCGCGGCCGACACCTCGTCGCGGTCGATGCCGTGCGCGTCCAGGTACGCGAGGTCGTCCGGACGGTGGCCCGCCTCGCACGCCATGACGATGATGCGGCGGCGCGCCCACACCACCTCGGGCACGACGAGCGGCAGGTGCGGGATTCGGGCGAAGTGGTCGCGCATCGAGCGCGCGTTGACGGCCTCCTCCTGGAAGTCGAGCTCGCGCGGTAGCGACACCTCCATCTCGGATGATAGCCACTCAAGGTCGTACTCGGGGAAGAAGCGCTTCAGCGTGCGGAACGTGTACCGCGTCAGCGCGAGGTCCAGCGGCGCCCACGCCTGCAGCTCCGGGTGCTGCACCTTGACGGCGACCTCCTGCCCAGTGGCGCGGATCGTCGCCAGATGCACCTGCGCGAGCGAGGCTGCACCGATGGGCTCGTGCGAGAAGGCGGAGAAGTAGGCCATCAGGTCCTCGCCGGTGTCGGACTTGTACATTTCTTCGATCGCCTCGTACGACGAGACGGGGCACTTGTCCTGCAGCGGGATGAAGGTGGTGGTCCACTCGGAGGGCAAGAGGTAGTTCATGGCACTCTGCGAAGAGGGGTTAGTTATGCTTGCGGGATGGGTAGTGGTTGGCCGGGGAATCGCATACAAGGTGCTGTCCGAGCTTGATGAATATGCCGCCATTCTTTTCGAGCACCTTCAAGGTGCGCTCGGCGCAGCGCTTGTGGCATGCCTTGAGGACGACCTCCTTTTCGTCATCGCTTTCCATCAGCGCTCTCTGGTTGAGCGTGGTGCGGTAGCTAGCATCGCCGTTAGTATGTAGTTCGTTGGCTTGCGAATCCCGTGGTTTATTTTCCGGCGTACTCGTTGATGCAGATGGCGAGGCCGGCGACGACGCGACCGCTGCGCTCTGCAGCCTCGTAGGCGCCCTTGATGTCGTCGATGAAGGCTAGCGCGGTGACGCCGCCGACGGCCGCGCTGGTCGACGCGAACAAGAGAGCCCTGCGCGGCCGGCGCGGCGGCGACTGTTGCGACGAGCCATTCTTGCCTGAGGCTGAGGCGAAGCGACGGGCGGCGCCAAACCGCGCAGTCGTCGGCTTGACAAACGGCGGCAGCTGGCTCTTGCAGGTCATACAGGTCCATTGGCGAGGACCAAGCCGTCTTGAGAAGACGGCGAGGGAGGAGCTGCTCATCGCGGTCGGTCTCTGGGGTGGTGCCTCGTCGTCCCTGTTTGTCGGGGCTTCTTCGGGGGGGCGTTACAAGGAGGCGTTGGGGCCAGAGGCTATCATCCTATAAGCGATAGTCTGAATTTGACAAGTGATCACAAATGATGATGAATTGGTAGTGTTCCTGCTTCACTGAAAAGAGTAGGACAATTACTATTTGCGTTGCGGAATGTGAGGAGAAATAGAGAGGTATTGAGTGTCGCGACAACTCAACAATTTTTTTTTGGTAGCGTCAGCACCGTGATTCGCCGAGGGGTCGTTCCCCGTCTCCGTCCCCGTCGGCTTTGGCATGGCTCTACCTCACTAATAAGCCGCTAATTAATTTCCAGTGCTGGTGGTGTTCGTCTTGTCCTTTCAGCACCTTCCATCATGTTAAGCTTGGTGTCGTAAATAACTGCACGGAAAATGCCACCATTGAATTATTGTATTCTCATTCAATTTTGACTTTATGCATCACTGCAGCAAGTTGAACAGCAGAATAACCCGGCATTGACCGGGAACGGTACCTGTATTTACCTCTTTACACGTGACGGCGCGACAAGCCAACGCGTCCGTTTCGCCAAAAACACTTGAGACACGCCCGTTGTCACCATTTAACGGCTCCCGCCCCGCGCTCTATCCATCCATGCCATCCCATTGCCGTTGCACTCCATCTTCATCAACCTCCATAATCATCCCACTGTCCATCTAGCACCTTTATTTTATGCCCGAAGACAAGACCGCGAACACCATCCCAGAGAACATGCTATCCCTGGCCCCAACGCCCATCTTCGCCACCAGCTGGGACCACCACCGCCCGACCGTCCCGTCCCCCCTCTCGTCCTCGCCTCTGCACGCCTCCTCGCCCCTCGGGACGCAAGATGACTGTGACGATGACGCATTCTCGCTACGCCAGACGCAGTCATCGCCGATCCGACCGGCGCCAACGTTCAAGTACGCCGCGCGCGCGTCGGCCGCGTGCGCCAACCCTCTGCTACGCCGCCGCCGCGAGGACGCGCAGCAGCAGCGACGCGCCAACTTTCTGCGCACCGTGCGCGAAAAGGCCGAGGACAAGGCTTGGCAGCGGCGAGACATCGAGGGACAGGTAAATTCTCTCCGCTAATTATGATTCCTTTCTAGCTTGGCTAACTGGGGGGTTGGGTAGTTTCTCAAGACCAACTGGATCGCCGACATGGACCGCCTGTCGCACGACGCACCGGAGCTCTCCGAGGCGGACATAGAAGACGCCTCGAGCTTCCAACCCGAGATGAAGGCGTGGCAGTACGGAGACGTGGATGAGGACATGGATGCTGATGCGGACGGCATGGTGGACGAGTATGCCCAAGATGCCGAGCTCGAGGCCATGTTTGCATCGTATCAGCAGCAGCATCAACAACAGCAGGTGCGCTCGCCGGCGACGCGCCCGATATCACCGTCCTTGTCCGATGATGAGTACGACGATATTTTTGAAGAGCTGCTCTCGGCAAAGGATATTGACGAGGTCATGCAGACGCACCAACGAGCAGACTTGGCAGATGAAATGGACATGGAATAACTGTGATATATATAGCACATAGCTTGGACGATGTACGGGGCGTTCTGGCTATTTCGCGTTTTTCTACTTTTGATTTCTTGGGCGTCCGTTGGCGCAACGGCTTGGCGTTTTGGAAGCCACGGCAGTGGCACATTTTTCTTGGCTGCAACATTACATAGTTATCATATCTTTCCACGAAACTTGTACATATGGGTATCTAGGACACAGCATGCTCAAATGAGCAAGGACACGAAGAAGAGACTCCTTGGTCGTGTCAATAAATACTTTCATTTTCTTGCCCCCCCTGTACTACTGCGGGTTACATTGTTCGTCGGCGCCGGCAAAGGCTTCTTGTGCTGTGTCAAGGTCTCCCACCAGATCCGAGGGCGGCGAGCCCAGCTCCTGCATCTATTTGCCGCTAAGTTAGCAAGCCATCCCCTAAGTTTTTAAACCCGAAGTGAGATTTCATACCTTTTGCATCCGGTCCACAATGTACTCCCTGTCCGCGGCGTTCGAGTCCGTGTAGGTGCTTGCCTCGAAGCAGGCCACGATCTCGTCGACCAGCGCGTGCTGGTCCGTGTAGCGCTTGAGGTCCTCGGCGGGCGTCTTGTCGCGGTTCGCGGCGAGCCAGGCGGGAAACTTGTCGTGCAGCTCCTTCATCGGCTCGTAGAGGATCTCCTTGTTGGTCAGCTGCTCCATCATGCCCATCAGCATCTTGGAGAACTCCTCCTCGCCGCCCTCGCCGCCGGGGCCGCCGCCGGCCGCCATCTGCTTGAGCAGCTCGGACATGAAGTCGTCGGAGCCGCCCTCGGCGGCGGCCGCGGTGGCCTGTTCGCCCGAGGTCTGCATGCGCTCCATGGTGCGCCGGATCGTGTCCTGGAAGGACTCCTCGGCGGCCGGCGCGCCGCTGCCCGGAGCGGCGTCACCGTCGGCACCGGCGGCCATGCCCTTGAACATGCTCTCAAACTCGGCTTGCATTTCTGGCTGTTATCGTGGCGGTGCATGTTAGCAATTTCGTGTCCTCTTGAAAAGAACGTTGCCTTTGAGGGTTCTGGCGACGGAGCTATACGTACCGATTTTTCGAGCTCGCCGAGCAAATTTGCCATACCTGCCTGCAGCTGCTTGGCAAAATCTTCTTCCGTCATGTCTTCAGGGTTGACAGCGCCCTCGACCTTTGCGCCGGTTTCGGGCGCGGGAGCACCGGTGACCGGAGCAGCAGCCGCAGCAGGGGCAGCGGCCGGGGTGGCTGGCGTATCTGCGGACTTTTTCGCGTCTAGCTTCACAGTAGAAAAGTCATCCAGCATATCTGTGCGCCGAATGTTAGTGCCATGGTTCCTCGTCGGTGAAGGAAGGTGAGCCGGGAGCTTACCGTCCAAGTCATCTAGGTCATCCTCATCCGGATCCGGGACATCGGCGACGGCCGCCGCTGGCGCGGCATGCGTGGAAGCGGCGGGAACCTCTGCAGCTTTTGTCTCGACATCTTGCTTCTCGGCCTTGGCCGGCGCCGCACCGGTAGGGTCCATGGTGAGGGCGGATATGTGTGCAGATGTTGTATCACAAGCTTGACTTGCGAGTTAACCCCACATTCAACGAGGAATAGGACTGACGAGCGCTTCCTGCCGAATGTCTAGTTTCCTTTGTCTGCTAAAGAAACGGATAACGGGCGCCCTAGAAGATAAAATGCGTCGTATTTGAGACTTGCGTGTGGCTTAAGTATGCCGGAATATGGATGGTTTAGCAAGAGGGTTTTGCGGGAGCAGCTATTGGGTGGTTGAGCCGGAGCCGAGGGAACGCACTAGAAAGGCGAGGTTACCAGCGATGATTTACCCAAAGTAAGGCAAGCTGCGCCCCACGTCGGGGCAGCTGGCCAACAGGGCAAAGCACTGGAAAGTTACAGGGCAGTTACAGGCAGTTACAGTGAGTTACAAGGAGCATTCCACCTGCAAAATGTTCCGAAGCGCTGGGGCTGGTGCTTGTGGCGGTGCGGCCCCTCCTGTTAGGCTGTTACAACAAGTTACCCCAAACGGTTGGCTAACCAAAAGTGAAGCGCATCATTCACTTGGCATCCAGACCTGAATCCCTTCGTCACGACCTTTCGACTCGGATTACGCAATCCTCCATCGGCACCGCCTGCCCTTCCTCGCCCATAGAACCGTGTGCACATTTTCTGCACTCGCACATACATTTTCTCTTCGAACTCGGCGCATCGTCTTGCGCAGCTGGACATCGTTTGTCGCGGCGTGTGACGTTTTCTTCACGACCCATCATCTTTGTTTTCCTCTTCACCTGACCCAACGAGATACCCGAACTACGACTGCCTCGTGCGCTGCGAATACAAAAACATGGCTCTGTGTCAGAATAGATTACAAGAGGAGCGGTAAGGACCGGATTTGGCACTCTTGCAGCGACCGCGCGCTCCTGCTAACACGCACGCGATGCAGCAAGCAATGGCGACGAGATCACCCGTTTGGCTTCTACGCGCGGCCGATGCGGACGAAGGAGGGCGTCTTGGACCTGAAAAACTGGGAGTGCGGCGTACCAGGAAAGGAGAAGACAATTTGGGAAGGTGGCATGTTCAAACTGACTATGTCTTTCCCTGACGGTGAGGCTGAGCGCGAGACGGCTGTGCAACGAGGCGAGACTGACAAATTGCGCGTGTGCATATTTAGAGTACCCCACGAAGCCCCCAAAGTGTAAGTCGCTGACTGCTGCAGACAGTGCTGGGTAAATGATAGCTGACCAGACATGGATAGGCAAATTTGTGCCGCCGCTGTTCCATCCCAACGTGTACCCCTCTGGCACGGTCTGCCTGTCGATTCTCAACGAGGAGGAGGCATGGAAGCCGGCCATTACGGTCAAGCAAATCATGATGGGCATCCAGGACCTACTCAACGACCCGAACCCCGAGTCGCCAGCGCAAGCGGAGGCGTACAACCTGTTCAAGCGCGACCGAGTCGAGTACGAGAAGCGCGTGCGCCGCGTGGTGCGTGAGAACCCCGCGCCCTGAACGGGGGACGTGGATATGGGGAACAGAGGTGTGCAACTTTTTTTTTTGCTTGAAAGAAAAAAAACACACAAGACTGAAACATGAGACAAAATACCAGGCGTTATACGGGTGCTCTGTGGCGGAACGAATAAATGCATGATTCGAAGGAGCTTGGAGGGAGGAACAGCAGGATGGGAACGGGCTCAGGAAGGGTTGAAGGGGTGATAACTTGTAAAGAGGTAGCCATTCATTTCTGAGAATGACCTGAACGTTTGTTGAGAGAGAGAGTACGGTTTTGCATATTAATGTTTGCTGAGGCGGTGATGTGCTGTGGTCGTGGGTTACTTGACGGTAGTACAAGACCCAGCGGTGACCAGCGGACCCCGGATGGCGGGAAGTCTTGAACCTCTGGAGGCTAGTAGATTGAATCAGATTTGGCAGAAACCGGTACCGGACCAGGACTGTGCATTTTAGCTACGTCGAGAGCTAAAAATGTAAAGGCTGTGACATGGGGTGATTGTGTTACTATGTAGCAAATGGTACCTGGATGCAGTGTGGTGGTGAGTGACCTAGTGAGGACTCAATCCGAAGTCGGCCGTTTGCAGTGGACATGCTGCTACTGCGCTTCAGACAAGAGTTGCTGCAGGACAGGCTGAGTACAACGCCCTTCAGCTCCATATCTGCGTATGTTAGGTTAGTGGAAAATCTAGGTTAAAAAAAACTGTTTTAAAAAAGGGCCGCAAACATGTAGGGCGCAAATCTCTTATCTATGCCGAGTCAGATGTAGTCAGTCCCCTGAGCGCAGCCTGCACCCAGCGGCAAGCGGCCGGCGGCCACCTGGAATGCAGCTATGACTCTTCTTCCCGCACGCGGTTATCTCCCCTTCCCCACGCCGCCTTCGGTCACTGGTGGGAATCTTTTCTTAAACCTTTTTTTCCCCTTCATATCTTTGCTTGATCTCCCACTTCTTCCCAATCGATCAAACTCACACTTCCAACCTCAATCATGTGTGGCATTTTCGCTTGCTACCGGTCCGTCTTCCCTCTCTTTGACCTGCTAGTTATGGCTAGCAAGTGAGGGGCAATCTGCGTCGACCTTGTCTTGCCCCTCCATGGCTCTGCATATGGCGCAGCTTGTCACAAGCTTGGGCCGATTTGCTAACATCGCCGTCGTAGTCATCCCGACGTCCATAAATTCAAGCCTACGGCTCTGCGCCTGGCGAAACAGTGAGTCGACTCCCCTATGACTTTTCTTGGTCTTTCATTTGCAATTATAGTACGCTGACATGAACCAGAATCCGTCATCGCGGTCCCGATTGGAGTGAGTCGAGTCGCGGCACAGGGTCGCAACTGGCGCACCAAAAAATACCACGATGCTAACAATTCTACCCAGGCGGCAACGTCATCTCCAACAGCACCAGTATGCTCAATTGACTTTCCTGATATCCTGCAAACCTCAATACTGACCCTCTAGTTCTTTGCCATGAACGTCTCAGCATTGTCGGTGTCGGTACGTCGCGCGACTGAATTTTCTCCCCCACCTTGGCATCCCAGCTCACATGGAACCTCGCAGAGTCTGGCGCTCAGCCATTGACCAACGCCGACGACTCCATCGTCCTCGCCGTCAACGGAGAAATCTACAACCATCGTCTGATCCGCAAGAACCTCAAGGAGACGTACCACTTCAAGACGCACTCGGATTGCGAGGTCATCATTCCTCTGGTATGAAGCTGCTACCCCGCCACGGCAAGGGTGGCCCCTCTGCGCACGCGAGCTTGCCCACTAACAGCACCTGCGCTTCTAGTACATGGCCTACGACAACGATGCTCCCGCTCACCTCGATGGCATGTTCTCCTTTGTCCTCTACGACAAGAACCAGGACCGCGTCATCGCTGCCCGCGACCCTATCGGCATCACCACCTTTTACCAGGGTTGGTCCTGGAGCGAGCCCGACGCCGTCTACTTCGCCTCCGAGCTCAAGTGCCTGGCCTCCGTCTGCGACAAGATCGTCGCCTTCCCTCCCGGCCACGTCTACGACTCTAAGACTGGCGAGACGACAAGATACTTCAAGCCCACGTGGTGGGACCCCACCAACGTGCCTTCGACGCCCGTCGACTACATGGCCATCCGTCATGGTCTGGAAAAGGCCGTCCGTAAGCGCCTCATGGCCGAGGTTCCCTACGGTGTGCTGCTCTCTGGTGGCCTGGATTCCAGCCTGGTAGCCTCCATTGCGCAGCGCGAGACGCTGCGCCTGAAGAAGCTTGCCATTGAGGCTGGTAAGGAGAAGGCTGGCACACAGAACGCTGACAAGGGCGAAGGTCTCGTCGGTATTGATGACGAGGACCAACTTGACACTGTTACCTACTTGCCGCAGCTCAACTCGTTTTCCATTGGTCTGCCTGGCTCGCCCGACAACGAGGCTGCCCTCAAGGTCGCCGAGTTCCTCGGTACCAAGCACCACGTCATGACCTTCACCATTGAAGACGGCCTTAACGCCCTGTCCGATGTCATCTACCACCTTGAGACCTTTGATGTGACGACGATCCGTGCCTCGACCCCGATGTACCTGCTGTCGCGCAAGATCAAGGCTATGGGCGTCAAGATGGTCCTCAGCGGCGAGGGCAGCGACGAGATCTTCGGCGGCTACCTGTACTTCCACGCGGCGCCGGACAAGAAGGCGTTCCACGAGGAGACGGTGCGCCGTGTCAAGAACTTGCACCTGGCTGACTGCCTGCGTGCCAACAAGTCGACCTCTGCCTGGGGTCTGGAGGCCCGTGTGCCGTTTTTGGACAAGGAGGTGAGATATGCATTGTCGCGTCCACAGCGGTTGTGCGAGCTAACCGAGATAGTTTTTGGAAACTACCATGAACATTGACCCGGCGGACAAGATGATCAACAAGGAGCGCATGGAAAAATACATTCTGCGCAAGGCCTTTGACACGTCGGACGAGCCGGACAACACGCCGTACCTGCCCGAGTCGATCCTGTGGCGCCAGAAGGAGCAGTTCTCGGACGGCGTGGGCTACGGATGGATCGATGCGCTCAAGGACACGGCCGAGCAGAAGGTCACGGATGATATGATGAAGAACCCCAAGGCGGAATGGGGTACCGATGTGCCTGACACCAAGGAGGGGTATGTGGCCATATGAAGATGATGCAAGGCGCACGAGTTGCTAACGTGATGCTAGATACTGGTACCGTATGATGTTTGACGAGCACTTCCCCCCTCGCTGTGCGTCTACAGTTATGCGCTGGACGCCGACTTGGTCTAAGCAGTCGGACCCCAGTGGCCGGTACGTATCTGGGAGGCTCTGACGTTGTCTCTAGCGCTAAGACGTTTGTTGATCGCTAACTTGCTTACAGAGCCATTTCCACCCACAACCAAAAGTACAACGATGCGGCATAGATGTGTCGGAACACAGGAGTTTCATACCCGGGACAAAGAGGGTCGACTGCTTGCGTAAGACGGATAAAAGTGAAAATTTAGAATAAGATCTGGTTAGCTGGATAGCATGGTTGACAATGGAATGTTCTGGCTTTTGATATTCAGCGTCTATATGTGAGAGTTGCATCAATAGAGGTGGTAGGTTAGCCATTGGTTGAGGCAAGTTCAGACTGGGGTAACTAGGCACTTTACTGCGTGTGGGTAAGTAATAGCATGAAGCTCGGAGTATAGCATGATGCACGTCCTTGACGTCTAATGAAAGAATTATTGTTGAGGCACAAAGGAGCGTGTGACTTGCCTCCAAGAGGGGTTCTGTAGTCACGAGGCCTCTCCTAGTTCTTGGACGCGCTGTTGGGATGCGCGGGGTGGTGGGCAGCCCGCCATGGCGTTGCTCACAAGCCCGGCTAACATGTTGTTCATTGAAGGGTATTGTGTCCCGATGGCATAAAGAGATGGAAGGAATGGGCAATGTCAAGGGCCTTTCCGGTAGTGTCCGATGATAGAATAAAAGGCCCATCTGCCGGCGAATTAAAACCCCCCCCACGTGGAGAGGGATGCGTGCATGGAGGGGAAGGGAAAGTGGTGATGGTTACCCGTAATAATATGGTAATGAACAATTTCACAGTATTTCTGGAGATCTTAGGCTTATTATTGATTTGTCCAGGGGTCCTGTGTCACTCTCTGGGTGAGACTTGGGTTAGACGGTGGGGTACTGACCAGGTATCTTCCAAGTATCTCCGGCACTAGTGGGAAGCTCAATTGCTTGCTCATGGAACTGACAACTGCGCCGTGGTTCCGTGGTTACGTGGCTGAGGCTGCTTGTGAGGCGGCTGCTCGGCTGATGTCGGGGCTGCTCTGGTTTGGGTAAGCCGGTACCTCTATGGTACATGCTCAGGCACATGCACCTGCTGGTTGCTGGTGCAGTTCCACAGACAAGGTCAACCAATCACAGAAGCTGTCAGCCCCCCCATTGGCTTTGCTGCTAACTGGCGGCATCCCCAACGTTTAGCACGCCTAGGCCAAGGCTGTGCCAAATTTGCTTCGCCTGTTTGCTTTCCTTCCCTCTTCACCTCCCACAACACCATCACCATCCAGACAACCCTCTTCTTCGTACCAACTCGTACATCCTCACATATCAGCCATCATGTCTGTTCCCGCCTTCTCCGACATCGCCAAGCCGGCCAACGATGTATGTTTCTCTTCTTTTCCAACTCGAAAACCCCCTTTGCCCGTTGTCCCGGTGTTACCCGTTTGTTGCGTTGAGGACAGCGTTTTTCCCTACCGGCGCAGTGATGCTCTTCTGCGCGCAGCTTGCGCCCAACACTCCAATCAACTCGCGCCATTTCAATATGCACGCATCAAAGAACAATGCGTGAAAGAATCAGAATGCTAACCTGCGTCTCCTCTACAGCTCCTGAACAAGGACTTCTACCACCTCTCGGCCAGCACCTTTGAGTTCAAAGACACCGCCCCCAACGGCGTTGCCTTCAAGGTCACCGGCAAGTCCAGCCACGACAAGCACACCTCTGCTGCCGTAAGTTGCCATCCTCGCACCTTGCTTTGCCGCACAAATCGGCATACTGATAGTCGTTTAGATTGAGGGAAAATACACCGACAAGCCCACCGGTACGGTTCCACTACCCGACGTTTCAAAATTTCGCGCGCAACACGGACGAGAGTACCTCGATGGCCCTCGCGCCTCGACCGACTTGAAGCCATGCGTTGCGCAACAACGTCACCAGGCCTATCTGTGCAACAATTGACCTACTAACACTGCTTATCAGGCCTCACCCTTACCCAGACCTGGAACACCGCCAACGTTCTCGACACCAAGCTCGAGGTCAACGACACCCTCGCCAAGGGCCTGAAGCTTGAGGGTCTCTTCAACTTCCTCCCCGCCACCGCCGCCAAGGGCGCCAAGTTCAACCTGCTCTTCAAGCAGCCCGGCTTCCACGGCCGCGCCTTCTTCGACCTCCTCAAGGGCCCCACTGCCAACATTGACGCCGTTGTTGGCCACGAGGGCTTCCTCGCCGGTGCCTCGGCCGGCTACGATGTCAACAAGGCCGCCATCACCAGCTACTCTGCCGCCGTCGGCTACACCGCGCCCCAGTACAGCGCCGCTGTCACCGCCACCGACAACCTGAGCATCTTCGCCGCCTCGTACTACCACAAGGTCAACTCCCAGGTCGAGGCCGGCGCCAAGGCCACCTGGAACTCCAAGACCGGCAATGCCGTCGGCCTCGAGGTCGCCTCCAAGTACCGTATCGACCCCGTCTCCTTTGCCAAGGTCAAGCTCAACGACCGCGGTATTGCCGCCGTCGGCTACAACGTCCTCCTCCGCGAGGGTGTCACCCTCGGTCTCGGTGGCTCCTTTGATACCCAGAAGCTCGACCAGGCTACCCACAAGGTATGAGCACTTGAAAATTGCGACGACGAAAATGGTTACTAACAAATTTGGCAGCTCGGTGCTAGCTTCACCTTCTCGGGTTAAATTGCCCTTGATGAATTATCAGGCTTCTCCGGCCTCCTGTACTACCCTACTAGATGTGTGCATTTTGCGGATGTAGATGTAGAGTTGATACAAGAAAATATTTAATGATGTCCTTGGATGGATGATTTCTACCCTTTTTCGGTCAGAATCATGATTTATGAATCTCAGGTGATGATTTACTCTTTGGTCCATGATTGTGATTCACCGTCTATAAGTCTATGTACAGATGAAGCCAATGTCATGCTCTACTAAACCACCGACCAGCCTCGCCACCATACATGTACGCATCTACCTCCAGGGTGGGCCCGATGTCGGCCGGAAAAGGAAGACGAAGTCAATACTCCTTCGTCTTCCGCCGCCCCCTCACCGCGTTCCAGTACCACACCGGCACCAGCACCGTGGCGCCCAGTATGCCCAGCACGATGGCAAAGTGCGCGCCGAGACTCGCCTGCGGCTCAAACTCGACACCCTCCTCGTCCAGCGCCCTCCCGCCCGCCCGCTGCCGCCTCCGCGCCCACCGCCGCGCGTCCTCGTGCTCGTGCGTGCGCCGGTGCGCCTCCTTGTCAAAGTGCGGCGGCACCTCGTCCTCCTCCCTGCGAGCGCGCCCCCCCGGGTCCTCCCGCGCGGCCTCGTAGTTTGTGTAGTGCGCGGAGGAGCCGTCGTGCGCGTGCTGTTGCCGCTTCTCGGCGTGCGCGCCCCAGCCGCCGTTGCGGTAGAACGAGGGTGGCGGGCCGCGGAAGGTGCCCCGGCGCTTGGACAGGCCGGAGGCGGGACGGCCGCCGGCGGGGTGGGCGGAGGAGGAGTGGTAGGAGCCGTGCTGGGGGTGGTGGTGGTGGTGGTGGTGGGAGTGGTGGGTGGCGGTGGTGGAGGGGAGGACGTCCCGGTCGTAGGCGGCGCGGCGGGAGGGGTCGGAGAGGAGCGTGTAGGACTCGGAGAGTAGGGAGAAGGTGTGCGCGGCGGAGGGGTCGTTGCGGTTGGCGTCGGGGTGGTGCGCCTTGCTGAGGCGGTAGAAGGATCTGCCGGCGAGCGAGTTTTGTTAGGTCGGGAAGAGGAGCAGGGGCCAGGGGCGGTGGTTCCGACGGGTGAGGTCCTGCCGGAGGCTGGCGGTGCGGTGAAAGGACCGGCGCTGCTGCTGTGGTGGGATGGCTGCTGCCGCTGCGGGGGACTTTGTCGCCGCCCGGAGACAGGCCGAGGCCGCGACGTGGCAGGTCACGTAGCAGCGTGCGGCGCCCATGTTGACGGCGCGGGTCCGGTGCGGCGGCGGCGGCGGCGAGGCGGTCGTCTTGGATGACGATGCCGTGGTGGTGGAGGAGCGCAGGAACAGCCGCGGGCAAGGCGCTGCGCGCACCAACGCAACCATTGCTGGTGGGTGTCTGTTGCTTATCTCGCTATTCCTGGAGGCTGTATTGTCATTGGGGAGAAAGGAGAGAGGCGGAGAAGGTGCTGGTCAAGGGAATGAATTTTGGAGAGGAGATGAAAGTTGGTTGAGGCCGTTGGTCAGTGAAAGAATGGGCTTGCTGGGGATGTCGTCGATGTCATTTTTTATGGGGCGCCGTGGCACACCGAGGAGCTCGGAGCCGAACAGTTATCGAACGGCGTAGATGGAATCTCGATCATCTGTATGGGTAAGTATTTCTTTGGGCCAATCATTCGAAGAGTATTTTTCAGAATTTTGCAGGTTCTTGTTTCCCTCATCGTTGGCGCAAACCGATACGTGACAGTACACTGGCCTGTTCCGCGCCGATATATGCGAGCCGCCGACATCGCCGAGTTGACCTTGATAGCGCAGAGGCGGGGGAGAGCTCATTCTCTGATTCATGTTGGAGATGAGTATATTATTGTGTATAGATTAAACGAAATAAAAAATACATCTATATTACGTTGCACGTAATAGGTGTTGTGCCTTCTCAACGCGGCGGTATACTTGTGAATGTGCCCTCCGGCAGATGGATGAATCATCATGAAAGGAGATATCAACGGTAAATCACACATATGGCGCCTCGGCTTCATCAATCACCTCCTGCGGCCACACCTGCGCCAGCTTACTCCGCCGAAAGTGCGCCAGCAGCGCCTGCCTGGGCCGCTCCAGCAGCGCCATCAGGTCCGGCATGTCCGCCGCGTGCCGGCGCCGGAGATGCATCGCAATGGCCAGCCCCTCGACGACGCAGCGAAACTTGACCCACCACGCCGGGTACTCGACCAGCTTCGCGTGCCAGCAGGCCAGCAGCAGCAGCGCGCGCGGATCCCTCTCCCGTAGCAGCCTCTTCATCTCCTCGCCCATCTCCATCGGAAAGGCAAACAGCCTCGCCCCGCCCTCCACCGTCACCACGTCATCCGTGACCTGCGAGAGGTACGCCACCGCGCCGCGGTACGCACCGCCCTCCTCGCCGACGAGGTCGAAGACGGCGTAGAAGAGCGGCGGGAGCGCGTGCGGACGGACCGGCGACTGCGCGGAGGGCAGGTGCGCGGCGGCGGCGGCGTCGCGGTAAAAGTCGCGAAACACGCTGTCCGGCCGGCTGGGGTCGGCGACGGCCCAGACGATGTCCTTACCCTGGTTCATGCGCAGCCAGGCGAGGTCGAGGTCGGTGCCGGCGCGGAGGGGCCAGACCTCGCGCGGGTCGAGCGAGTCGACGTTGGCGAAGCACGAGGTGGCGAGCATCGAGGCGCCCATCCAGAGGGCGTCGCGCTCGGTGGGGGAGAGGGAGCGCCGGCGGGGGAGGAGCTCGGCGAGCGTCTGATGGAACATGGTGGCGCTGTGGTACATGTGCAGGGCCATGGTGGCGCCGTCGGAAGGCCGGCGCGGCGATCCGGGCGCGACGGCGTCGTTGTGGGCTTCCTGCAGCTGTGCGAAGCCAATGTAGATGTGGTAGAGGTATTTGTGCTGAGAGGGGGGGGGGTGCGCGGTGGTCAGCTTTCTTTTTCCTCTGTGAGAGGGGACAGCAGGGGTTACGGAAGAGGTGGACTTGCAGCGTTGGCTAGCATCATGCACCGGCTCTTGTGACCTTCGGCTTCTCCCGGGCCAAAGGTCAGGATCGTGTCGTGCACGAAGCGGCTGACGAGCGCCTTGTCGTTGGGCCGCAGCACGTAGCTGCCCGTGCTCCCGGCGATGGGCAGCGCCGGGGGCAGGACCTGCACCATGGCCGGCTCCGGCTGCGGCGCTTGCAACCGGCCCGGCTCGAGGACCAAGACGTTTTCGTACGCCGGCCGCAGCACCGGCGCCTGGGCCGAGTAGGTGCACCAGAGACCGGTAGAGGTGCATCGGCTGCAGGTCGGTTTTGATTCGTCGCACTAACAGTAAAGGGCAGTCAGTATCAGTACATGTACATGCATATGCATGTATGTAGTAACTGCGCAGGTGAAGGTGTATATCCTGACCTACCTTGACGCCGCGGAGCTTACAGTTTACGCATCCGAGTCGCGACTTACGATGCGGCTTGCGCTGTCGGACGGCGACGGTTGTTGACGTGGCCGCCTTGTTGGCGCCGGCGGGCCGTTGGGGCATTCCGATGGTGCCGTGATAGTAGCGATTTAGCTGATAGGTGGCGGTAGTAGACTTGTTGCAACGGTAGCCGAGTTCATGTTAGCCTCGTAAGTGGCAGGAGGTGCTGGGAGGAAGTAAAGTATATGAGAGAAGGACGGCTTGATCGGAAGACAGGGAGGGGACGGGACCAGCTGGGCTGCCAAGGAAGCGGCTGAGATGTGACGAGTGAGATGGATGGATCATGGATGGCGATGCTCGGGCCTTGCTTCAATTGACAACCCACTAGTTACAGCCTTGACAACTCACAGAGGGGAGCACGTTTCCACCAAGTCGATCGCCGGTGAATGCGGAAGCCAAATAACCATACTGGAACCAGCGAGTAATAATAGTCACAAGGCCCGGCCAACGCTAGCTACATAGACTCGCGCAGCTCCGTGGTTGGCTGACAGTACGAGGCTGACAAGGGGTCGACAAGGAACAAGAGTCGAAAGCAGAGCGGACGATAGCCAATGATAAACTACTCGTAGTTTCTCGTCTAGCTTGCGGATCACTCGGCTAATAACGACGCTGTTGCAAGATCCCACAAGGGCTGAATCAAGGACAAGGCGTCATGCATACTACCTACCTATTCGCACCCCGCCATGTAAGCCGCCCAGTTGCGCAGAGTCTTCATGTTATCTTGTGGCGGATAAGCTTGCCCAAGTAATCCAGGCCCTGTGCTAAAAAGAAGAAGAGAAAAGAGGCCCTGGAATCGCCCTTGAATACTGAAAAAACTGTGAGCAGCAGAAGAGCAGAAATCCTGCATACCAGGAGGGGCATCAGGAAGGGCATCAGGAAGGGCATCGGGAAGGGCATCAGACGCAGATCCTCTCCGTCGTGTCTAGCACCTCTGAATAGACACCGTCGCGGCTGAACTGGACTTTTGTCCGGCTTAGGTAGACAACAGCGTCGCAGGCCGCTCGCCGCACTCTGGCGTCCCTGGCAAAGTCTTGGGTCAGCCTCGAGACACAGAACTTCCATGTGTTGAGTTCCTCAACCTCCGCAGGCCAATTGCCGGGCGTCAGCTACCGCAGAAGAATCAGTGCCGTCGCGGTTCCGCAGGTTTCGGAAGGGTAGCGCACGACAAGAGGGAATCGGGACGACGGCGGAGAGTGAGAGATAGACAGAGGAGTGAATAGCGACCAGGTCACTTACTGGCCTGTTTCCCACGATCACGCATGGCAGCAGCAATAGTGCTGACAACGACCAGAACCCCTCCGAGTGGCCGTACCTGTTTGAACAACGGTCAAGGCACTCCCCCGCATATTGCACGAGGCCACGTCGTCGCTTCTTCGCCTCGCAAAGTCAGTGGCAGGCGTACCACTCCTGAACCTCGTCAGCAGAAGACGCCTTGGCCTCGACGAGCACCGATGACGAAGACTGCGAGTCCAAAGAACTTCATGTTTGCAAGAAAAGAGACTCGAAATGTTGGACCACAGACGGCTATAAGAAGCGGGATAAGGCAGGTTGGCAAGGTGACTGGGGAGTAAGCTCTGCGGGCGAGCGATTGGGGTGATAATCAACCATTAATAATACTTGTAGATTATAAAGGACATTCCGGCAATGTTGTACAGTACGGCGGAAGGGAATCATGTCCGAATCCACACCTCCATCACTTCATGCGCGAGCTCGGAAGTACATTACTCTTCGAGAGGCTACGCGATGCAGTGCATATTTGTACTACCTGTACTCGTTGAAGAAGAAGAATTATTTCAACCAGTGACAGAATCCGGAAATCAAGACGGCGGCAAACAACCCAGTGGAGGAGAGGTCGGCCAGTCTACCGATGCTCCGGCGACGAACCGCCTAGAAGCACTCCATCTTGCCATTGACGTTGCAAATGTAGTCGTCTATTCCGTCCCATAAGTTAGATTTCCCAACCCGATACTTCTTGAATTTAACACTTGTCCGAACGAGGGACTCACTTAAGTCAATCGTCGTGGTCCGGGCTCCCGCCGCCCTCGCAGTCCGCCTGCAGCGCCGGCTCGTCGTCGGGGTACTTGAGCGAGAGCAGCAGCTCCACGCCGACGCACGTACCGAGGAAGTTGTCGCACCTGGCCGAGACGCCGCGAGCGCGGCAAGGAGAGGCGTTGATGCCGCGCATGACTTTCTGACGATGATGGGGGAAAAGTCGTGGGCCAAAGTTGCGGCAGAAAAGGAAAAAGGATTGGGCGCCAGTTGGGGAAGAAGGACGAAAAAAAAAAAGGGTTCTTAAGGGAAGAAAGGGGAAGTGCTCCCGCAAGAAAGCAAAACGGTAAGACAGCGCCACCGGTCGGACCCGAGATCGGTTTTCGCTGTACGAGCAAGGCAAATGATAGAAACCTGCCGGCTTGTCCGAACCGGAACCCGACTTTGCCATACCGCCCTGCTCATCGAAGCGTCCCTCGTTCGCATTGATCCCCGGTCATCGCAGTGTTAGGCCACGTCTCTCTCGAACCTCACTCAGGCAGCCCGCGCCTCTGCTACAATACCCGCCGGTACACCGCGAATAAAGAGCGAATATCAGTTAATTATCAATAAGACTGGCAAGGAGCCATCGGGGTACACCGCAGCCCGACAGTCACACCGTCGCGCAGCGTCCATACCCTCAGTCGGCTTGCCAGCGTCATCTAGATACATTTCCTCTAATTTTCTTCATGTCCCTCATCAAACATTATTCCCCTTTCACTTCCCCCATCAACGCATTTGCTATCGCGGACTTCCTTCATCGTTTTACTTCATAGTGCTGCGGCTGAGCCCGTAAGTGAGAACCTTCAAGGAGTCCTGGCCTCACCGGAAGAAAATAAAGTAGCCGGAAAAGGGCGGCCGACGACAGCTATCGCATTTGTAAAGGGGCTTAGTCCTTGTTGAAAAGACCGTTTCAGTGTTCGTCGTGTCGGAGGCACGAGGCAGCGGAACGACAGGTATCTCGTCACCACGGGAATAGCTCCTCTGGTGGGGTTTGCTGCGGTGTGCTTTTCACATCGATGCTTGGCCCTTATCGGATGAGCAGCCTTGTGCGGCCATGAACGTTTTACATAGCTCGACAGGTTGGCGGGTCTCGTCGACGCTGGCGGTAGCTTGGCAAAAGATTGGTTCTTCACCCGTTAAGAAAGCTTTAGTTCTCACAAAACGCAAGACATGCGCGTCCTGGATCGTCTGGTCGCTCAGTCGTAGCCCCCTCCAACTTGACTGTGGAACGCCGTGCTGACACTCTTCTCATCGTCATCGTAACGACGCCCACCATAACGGTTGCCAGGTGGCATGCGCGAGCCGGTGCTCTCGACGTACTGTCGCAGTCGATCGCTTTGCGTGTACGAGATGGCGCGCATGCCGGTGACGGCATCCTGTAGACCCGCGCCGAGACTAACGCCGCCCTGGCCCACGCCGCGGCTGCCGATGATGCTGGACGACGCATCCGTCGTTTCCGAGTTCGCTACACTCTCCCCGGCAACACTCTCAGCGGCACGCGTGCGGCTCTTTCCACCGCGACCGCCCTGGGTGCCGACGCCAGGCAGACCAGGCCAATGCTCGGGGGCAAAGTTGGAGAACATCGGAGGGAACGCCGTGTTGAGTGCTGCGCCGCCAAAGGTCGACCCCTGGATGGAAGAGACGTCGTCTGCGACGTAGGACATCATGGAACCAGAGTCAAAGTCGCGCATCGTGCCCGGCCCGCCGTTGAAGCGTCCATTGTGGTTCTGGTAACTGCCCACTGGAAGCTGGTTGGCGGGCTTCTGCCGGTGCGATCGGGGCTTGCTAAACTGAAGAAGGCACTGCTGAAAGTTGGTCAGGGGGCCCTCGACGAAGCAGCGACGGTCACGGAAGTGAGTGAGCAAGTTGTACCAGAGTTCATGCTTAGAAAGCACCCTGGGGTTGCCGAGAATAACCACACCGTACTTGGCACGCGTGAGGGCGACGTTGAGGCGGCGAGGATCCGACAAGAAACCGATGCCCTGGTTTTCGTTCGAACGCACGCAGGACAGCACGATAAAGTCCTTTTCACGGCCTTGGAAGGCGTCGACGGAAGCAACTTCAACACTCTTGTAGTACTCCTTCTTGGCGGTGCCTGCGTTTTGCATAGTCGTAACAATGTAGCTTCGCTGGCCCTCGTACGGTGTAATGACACCGATCTCGGATGGCTTGACACCTGCCTTGAAGAATCGCGTCACAATCTTCTCAACGTTGGAAGCTTCTGTTCGGTTCAGGTACGAAGTACCGCTCGTGGAAATTTCCTCATTGCCAATGTTGGACCAGAACATCATGGGCATCTCCGCCACAGGCCAGGGGAAGTCGACGTCCTTTCGGATACGCTGTTCCTGAGTGACGCCGTTCTGCAGACTGCCGTCGTAAAACATGTTGGACGGGAACTCCGACAGGCAAGGATGCATGCGGTACTGAGTGTTGAGGAGAATGGGCTGGAGGCGAAGCTGCATGAGACGCTCAAACAAAGACTGGCTGAGGCCGGCCTTGGCGGCTTTCTTGTTCATGATGACGGGGCCAAGCTGTTTGTGGTCGCCGACAAGAACGACTTGTTTGCAGCCCAACATAAGGGGAATGATGCATTCAGGTTCTGCAGACTGCGTCGACTCGTCAATCAGGACACTACGGAACTTGAGCTTGGACAGACGAGGGTCGCCGGCGCCAACACAGGTGCAGCAAACGACGTCAGCGTTGTTAAGAATCTCTCGCTCGGCCGCCTTGGTCAACTGCCTGAACTTCTTCTCATCTTGGCTGGACAATTCACCAGTCTCGCTCTTGAGCTGCGACAACTTGGCAAAGTCAGTGTTGTGCTCCGACATTCGCACCTGCTCGTGAAGCGCAAGGAAGCTGACGGAAGACTCGACATCTTCGCGAGACTTGGCCGTGAGTCGAACGACCTTGAGGCCAGTGCGGTGAATGCGCTCGCAAAGCTGGTCAACGGCAACGTTGGAAGGCGCGCAAACGAGAACCTGATTCCCGCTCATCTTGGACAAGTGATAGATGATGGTGGCAGATGTCACCGTCTTACCAGTACCAGGAGGACCCTGAATAAGACTGAGTGGCTTCTGGAGAACCGAACGGATCGCGTCGACCTGGCTTTGGTTCAAATCCGGCAGACCTGGTGCAGACCACTTCTTAGGCAGGTTGGACTTCATGGGCTGCAGCTGAACATCGTGACCAAGTAGTGTGTGGAAGATGAAGCCAGAGACGCTCATGTCGTCGACGGCAAAGGTCTTCATGGCCAGTTGCATGCGGTCGTAAGAAGTGGCCTTCCAGACGTAGTCGGCTGAGAAGTTAGTGGACAGGTCCGTAGGAACGGATCTGTCATTTCCAGTCTTGCGCAGCTCCAGACAAACCTCGTCTGACTGACTGTTGGGAATCTTCATGACGTAGCCCACGCCTTGCCAAGATTCTCTGAGTCCACCGTTGTAACGAAGTAGCATTTCATCGCCGACCGCAAGCTTGACTTCTCCGGACTCAATCTTGCGCAGATTGAAGGTGGCAAGGTGCTTGTTGTTCAGACCTTGCGACCATTCGACGGTCAGATTATCCTCGGACTGTGCCTCCTTGAGCTTTTTGTCATAATCGGACTCCATCTTTACAAGCGGCCCAAAAATGTTTTGGTAGTGGAACGCATCATCGTATTTCAACTGCACTGGGTCGGGGTCGTCGTCAACGGTCTGGCTCTTGTCGAGATCGGAAATGGTGGCGTTGGGCTCTAGCTTCCACATCTCCTCAAGACGCGCAATTGTGTTGGGAGACATGTGGCGCGCACGCAGCTGCTCAGCTTCGGAGGGGGCGCTGACGAGCCAGTCGAGGAATGCGCGCTCTTTGATCAATGGCTCCCAGCGAGAGGGATCCCAGTTCATATCCTTGTTTGAGGCCGACGCCGCGCAAGGCTGGCGGCACAGCAACACAACTACGGAGTCAGACTTTGCAGGAATGAATCCAAGCAAAAAGGAGTTTTTGGTGCCACAGCTATAACATTCGAGAATAGTATCGCCGAGGGCGGACTCGGGGTGAAGCTGAACTTCCTTGTGGCGCGCTCGGACAAGATGGTTGATGATGTGGGAAGAGGTGCTATTGCCGCGGGCGCTGCAAAACCATTTGTTGCAGATCAAACACTTGACGACGGAAGCTGGAGCGTGAATACCGCAGTACCTGTGATCTGTGAGCTTGTGCCAACGCATACGGCGGCTGGCAAAGGGCCACTTACGCGCATGCGTATGCGGGGAGCTCCTTCTCCTCCTCGGCGTTATTGAGATTCAACCCGACCATTTCGTCAACTGGAATACTGCCCAGACTATCGTTGTCGTTGTCGTCGTCAAAGGCCTCGGTCTGGTTGTCATCGTCGTCGTCGCGTCGACGGCCGCCGTGGTCGCCATGCTTGCCATAGAGGAGGCGCTCGTCGGCGTCGAGCGTAGACAGGCCGTCATTTCCAGCGTTGATGGCCGCAGCTGAGTCGGAAATGAGGTGATTGCCTACATGGGTGAAGGCACCCTCCATGTTGGTTGTAGTCGCGGTCGGGAGGTCGCGATAGTAGGTTTTCTTTCACTAGCCACAGTCAGCACGAACAGCAACACTACAACGAGACAAAAAGCGAAAACAGAAGAGGAAAGTCGAATGAACACGTGAGCCAGTATTTTTAAGACTCACAAAGTACCAGTTACTTCCAGAAAAATTCTAGTGGCACGAAGGTGGTGCTAGGAAGGGCTGTGAAAGAAAGGCTGTCGAATCGTTTGCGGAAGCGATTCACATCATCGCGGGCAAGTGGCGGCGGAAAGACGAAAATGAGCCTGTGGTGGCGTGGTGGCGTGTGCGCAAGTAGGAGCGGCGCTCGGAGGGCAATAGGATCTTTGCACAAGCTGCGAGAGACAAAAGACAAACTTGATTTTCCCTGTGAGTAAGAGTCAGAGAAACTCTGCGGATGCGCCAACCCGCCTTCTTTCCTTGGTTCCGTCCACCAAGGCTACTTTGGTGGGACAATTTGCGTACATACACGTGATAAGCGGGAGCGCTATCGATAGCGCCTAAAAGTCTAAAGTTTTGGTTAGCAACTTCGTTTTTTGGAACTTGGCTTTTTACAGACCAGAAATTTCAAGGTATAGAGGCCGCGAAAAATCTGCCAAGATGATGATTGTAAGTGATTGACGATTTGACCTAAGAAATCTAGGACATTGCTAATCTGTCACGACACAGCGTAAGCAAGCCAGGCAACGGAGGGACTATCTCTACCGGCGTGCCGTCCTACTACGAGATGCCGAAATTAGCGAAAAAAGAGCCAAGATGAGATCGTCGCTTGCGTCTGGCAGGCCTCTTGATCCCACTATTGCAAACGATAAATCCTTACGAAAAGACTACCAGTATGACGAGTCGGCGGATAAGACGACGGCCGAGGAGCTGGACCTGGATGACGAATATGCCCAGCTCTCTGGCATTGTCGACCCGCGCATCCTTGTGACGACGTCGCGCGACCCGTCAGCAAGGCTGGCCGCATTTGCGAAAGAGATTCGCCTTCTGCTACCGACCGCGATCCGCCTGAACCGCGGCAACCTCATCCTGCCAGAGCTCGTGCGCTCCGCCAAGTCCTCTGGCCTGTCGGACGTGATTCTGCTGCACGAGCACCGCGGCACGCCGACGGCGCTGACGCTGTCGCACTTTCCTCACGGCCCGACCGTATCATTTTCGCTCCACAACGTCGTCCTGCGACACGACATCCCCGGCAGCGTGCGCGGCACCGTCAGCGAGTCGTACCCGCACCTCATCTTTGACGGGTTCACGACACCGCTAGGCAAGCGCATCGTCAAGGTCCTGAAGCATGTGTTCCCACCGAGGGAGCCGATCACGAGCAAGAATAAAATGGGCAGTCGCGTGGTGACGTTCAAGAACATTGACGATAGCATCGAGGTACGGCATCACGTGTTTGTGCGGACCGGGTACGACAGCGTGGAGCTGGCAGAGGTCGGCCCGCGGATGACGATGCGGCCGTTTGAGATTCGCGCGGGCACGCTGGAGAACAAGGATGGTGACGTGGAGTGGCATCTGTCGCAGTACACGCGGACGGCGAAGAAGAAGAATTATCTATGAGCGGGGTAGATAAACTAGGAACGACTGTTGATACAATACCCGAGGTCGAGAGAAGTGAATGATCTGCCTGCGATTTCTCGGAATTCCGCTCTAGGCTGCCAGATGTCGATACGAGATGATCTACTCAGCGTGGGAATATGTATGCAGGGCATGATTGGTTCGTGAAAACCGTGTTGAAGAACGAACAGCACGGACCGAGCGGAAAAGCGACTTTGATTGGCGCTGTGAGGCATGGATGGCAGCCACTAGCATCAGGCACCGAGATATCAGAACGAGCAGAGGGAGAAGTGGATGCACAATGACGACATTTCATTTATGCAAGATGGATAGATGGCGATTGTGGTGTAGGGGAGCTACTGTATATACGGATTAAATATTTGTAAAATAATTGGCTTGCTGCGACTCGAACTATTGGAGATGCTCTTGGTTGTCACGGTGCCTGGCAGGCCATCTACAAGTGGCTATTCAGGTGCAAGAAATGAAACCCCCCCAAAAAAGAGATCAAAACGGAAAAGGCATAGAAAAACAGAGATAGATATAGACTGCACTCTATCCAAAGATAAAATACCGTCATCGGATGGAAAAGCGAGACTACTGTAGAGAGGCTGTGCTGATGTATCCGTTCAGAGTTGAGAATTGGTCAGCCTTGACCTCCGCTCCGTCACAGCCTCGTTGGGATGATGGCGCGTACTCGGATTTGCTGTGGCGCAGGCAGGGCAACTTGGGGAATGCGAAACTGGGCTGCAAGAAGCTGCATCTCGGGGTGCCCTGTAAGTAAGCAGGAAAACCTGGCAGCTTGCGTGTCGGATGGAAAGTGGCCTATTTTTGGCTTTTGAGCCCGTCTCCTCTAAACTTTTTTAGCGGGAACTTGTTTCTCGGCAGCGGAACTGCATTCTGTGTGTTCTGTTTCAGTGGGAATGCGGGACGCTAGGTAGGCCGATCAGGCAGCCTTGAATGTCTGTTTTATTTTGACTTGGCTTTGAATTGACCTACTTTTGGGGCTGCTGATGACGGGGGGCTGACTTGAGATGCAAACGGGTGGCTTTGAGGGAAGGTACATACCTACCTACGAAGAGCAGTATTTGTAGCAATGCATTCCCATCCGTTGAAGCTCTAGCTAAGCTTGCACTTGATTTCATCTGATTTTGACTCTAATATTCTTCCACTTCCAGCTTACTTTCGCTGCCCATACCAACAACAAGTAACTAATCGAATCTAGCTTGGGTCTGGTTCGTCATCACCAAAAGCAGAAGCAGCAAAGATACACACCAAACCCACCACAGCCTCTGCGGAAGGAAGGGTACCTACCTATTCGTACATACATTTCCTTTCACCCACTTCCGCCTCTCCCGCCGCCTCATCTTTCTTTCTTCCATCTTCCTCCATTCCTGGCTTCTTCATTCTTCATCACCCTGATTGACTTGATTCGCACCGGCCCTTCCGAATCGCCCTCAATTGCGCATCTCCCCGGGCCGCCAACTCTGCGTTGTTTTAATTTGTCATCTCCGCCAGCCCGCCCGTCACCATGTCCTACGGCCAACCGAACCCCTACCAACAGGCGCCTGCGCAAGAGGCCGGTCAAGCCTATGGCCAGGTACGTGTTTTTATCTTTACCTCGTTCCGTCATCGTCGCCGCTGGTGCATTGCGGTTTGCGCAGCCGTGGTTGCAGCTCAGACAACTTTCGCTCGGCACTGGCGCAGCCCCGGCTTTAGTAGCAGGTGCGAATAGCATCAATGCAAACCAGACTTGACGCGCCGACCACCCCTCCAACCACGATCTAAAAGCTAACTCTTGTCCTCCTCCCTAGCCTAACCCGTACTCCCAAGAAAACTATGAGCTCCAAGACCACCCGCAGACATCCTCGTCCAGCACGCAGCCGCTGTCGCAGCAGGACTTCCTCGCGCGCGTGCAGTCGCTCCGCAACGACATTACGCGGCTGACCGGCGACATCGAGACCATCGGGCAGCTGCACCAGCGCGCCCTCGGCGCCGCCGACCCGCAGGCCGATCGCCAGCTCGAGCAGTACGTCGCCCAGACGCAGGTCCGCAATACGGCCATCAAGGACGGCATCAAGGGCCTCGAGCGCGACCTCGCCCGCACCACCGACGCCTCGCGCAAGACCAAGCAGACCCAGCTGCAGTCCTTGAAGACCTTCTTCAAGTCGGAGCTCGACTCGTACCAGAGCATCGAGCGCGAGTACCGCCAAAAGTACAGGGAGCAGATCGCCCGCCAGTACCGCATCGTCAACCCGGACGCCTCGGAGCAAGAGGTCCAGCAGGCTGCCGAGACCGATTGGGGTAATGAGGGCGTCTTTCAGACTGCTGTAAGTTTTTATGTCCTCGTTCTGCTCGATTTTTAGCTGTCATTGCCGTCAACTTTGGCATTGTTTCCCTGCTTGCGCAAGCTTGCAGAAGCCCTCCGTCACATCCGTGACAGAAGTCGCAAAAGCACAGACACCCAGAACGCGCACAAAGACAAGCTCTAGAGCTAAAAACTCATTGACAGCTCCGCACGAACCGCTCCGGCCACGCCTCCTCCGTCCTCGGCAACGTCCGCGCCCGCCACAGCGAGCTCCAGCGCATCGAGCAGACCCTCGCCGAGCTCGCCGTCCTCTACCAGGAGCTCGCCACCATGGTCGAGCAGCAGGAGTCCGTCATCGCTGACGCCGAGAACAAGGGCCAGGACGTCGTCGACAACCTCGAGTCGGGCAACCAGCAGGTCGCCCAGGCCAACAAGAGCGCCCGCAACCGCCGTAAGCTCAAGTGGTGGTGCTTCTTCATCGTCGTCCTCATCATCATCGCCGCCGTCCTCGGCATCGCCCTCGGCATCACCCTGACCAAGAATGCTACCAAGGCGTGAATGCGAAGAGGCGGAGGGCAGGGATGTCACGAATGATAGAAAAGCGCATATGTCGATCGGGGTGATCCTAGGAACGCTGTGGTCACGACTGCAGCTTCACAAACGACGAAAAAAAATTAGCGGAAATACTTGTATTTTTCTTACACGGGCGGGGGGTTACAACGTTAATGAGGAGGAAAGTAATCTACGCCGACAAGATATCAGACGAAGACATGTATTGTTGTCATGTGGTCTTATATAAAAATATGATCATGATTTATAAGGTTTCATTTACCCACTTCCCTCACCCTCTATATTCACGATATATCTTTGGAATATCAACCGCGCGTAAAGTTACTTTGCACGAGCAAAGCGCCAGACGATTAGTGAGAGAGAAGTTTTTCATTCATGGAAACAACACTGAAATAGCACCACACGAGATGATAGTGAAGAAAAGAGAGAGAAAAATTTGTACACAAGAAAGAGGCGCCTTTTTTTTCCCAGTTGCAAGAGCCAAGAAAGAAAAAAACGATGCAGCTCGCCCCTCTCTACAAATGACCTTCTTTGCCACGCCCCTAGAAACATTACAAGAAAAAAAAATCCTATGCGTCTTTTTTGCCCATTTTCCTTGTTCGTTTGTTTTTGAAAAGGAAAGCCATAATAAAAAACAAACAGACAACCCGTCGTCATGAGCTTATTACTCAACATCGGCCGCATCTGCTCGCAGCTCCCGTCACCATCGTACACACTTTCGCAGCCACCCTACTTTCGTTTTTTACTTGTTTCGTATTAATATAGCGCGGGATACAACCATCTTCACGGCTCACCATTGCCGCTCCTCTAAGCGCCCATGCGAAGGCCGCCGGCGCCCGCTGCCGACGCAGCAAGCTTGGCTGCCAGCTGCGGGTACTTTTCGGTCACCTTGACCTGTGTTCTCGTGGCCTCGGCGTAGGACAGGGCGTTGACGATCTCGCCCTCGGTGCGGGCAAGCTCGGCGGCGCGCTCAAAGTACTTCAGAGCCTTGGCGACCTGGTTCTGTTGTAGGAGAAGCTGAGCCATGGTGGCCACGGCAATGTCGCACTCGGGGTCGATAATGAGGGCCTTTTCGCACAGGTTCTCGGCCTCCTTGAAGTCCTGCTTCCACTGGAAAAGGGCGAGCGCCTTGTTGATCAGGGGCAGCACGTTCATGGACATGGGCTTCGTCTGCTTCTCCATCTCCACGGCAGTGTCAAACTTCTCGACGGCTTCGGAGTAGTTGCCCTGGTCGAGCAGCAGCTCGCCGTAGTAGTTATACACATCGGGAACCTTGGGGAAGTTCTTGATGCAGCGGCGGAAGGTAGCCATGGACGAGGCGATGGAGCCCATCTTGTACTGTGTCACACCAAGCTGAATGTGGGAGAAGATGAAGTCCTTGTCCAGATCGATGGACTTCTGGTAATCCTTCTGGGCCTCGGACAGGTCGCCCCGGATAAAGTTGGCCTGCGCGCGGTGGTAGAAGACGTCGGGATCGTTGGGTCCGAACTTGAGGGCTTCGGCAAATTGGTTGTCTGCCTGGGCGGCGTCGCCGAGCTCAAGGCTGATGCTGGCGTTCTTGATATAGCTCTGGGTCATGGTAGGGTCGAGCTCGATGCTCTTGTTCAAGTCGCTAGTGGCGGCAGCGTGGTCACCAAGCAGGGTGCGCATGGTCCCGCGGCAGTTATAGGCGAGAGCCTCGTGGTCGCCGAGGTCAGCAAGCTCGAGGGCCTTTTCGAAAGCAAGACGAGCCTGCTCATATCCTGCCGAGGTGCGCTTGTCGAGACCCTGGAGACCATGCTGCAGCTGGCCGAGACCAGTTTCGAGGGACAGCTCGACAGAGTCCTCAAGACCGGCGGGGCGAGGCTTGGAGCGGAAGCTTTGGAGGTAGTTGCCGACGAAGATGGGGCTGGGGAGCTTAGCAGTGCGGGAAGCCATCATCTCCTTGGCCTTGACTTCGGCAAATGTCTTGAGAAGACGCTCGACGGCCTGCGCGGTGGAATCGCTCTTGAAGTTATCAATGATGCACGAGGCGGTAAAGTCGAGGAGGGCCTCGGGGTACATCTTCTTGTGCTCGTAGGCGGTGGCGCGGCGGTTGATGGCCTTTACGTAGTCGGGGTCCATGGCGATGGCGGCGGTGGTGTCGTCGATGACGGTGTCCCATTCGCTCATGGCGCTGTGGCAGGCAGCGCGATTGGAGTAGAAGACGGGATCGGGCTTGCATAGAATGGCTTTGGTGTATAGCTCGATGGCCTTGTTGTACGCCTTATCGCCGTAAGCTTTGTTACCGGCCTGCTTGAGCTTGGCAGCGTACTCTTCGCGCTGCTGCTGGGTGAGGGTCTGGACAATGGTTTCGTCGACCTCGGGGAGCTCATCCTCGACCTGGACTGTGGGGACCTTGGGCTGGGATGAGGAAGGGGCGGAATTGGTCTCGGTGGCTTTGCGTTCGGCTTCCTTGCGCTTGCGACGCTCCTTTTTGCTGAGCTTGGGAGCTCCGTCGGTCTTTGGTTTCTATCGCAGACAGACGATGTTAGACGATGGCCAGGATGGAATTGGCTACTCAATGACGTCGGATAGCTTCTCGCGTGCGGGACGCCACTCACAGATTCCGAGTTGAGATAGTATACAGCACCGGCACCGGTCACGACAACGGCGACGCCGGCAATTGTGTAGACGACAGCCTTGTTCTCGGAAGCCCAAGACGTAATGCGATCCCAAGTGCTGGAGGGAGCGCTGACGGGCACGGCCACCGGACGGACGGGCGGGATGGACGGTAGGGGGTTCGACATGGCTGTGGAAGAGATAGAGTACAGGGTCGGGAAGGATTAAAGGAGTAAAAGGTATAAGAAAGGGTGAGTGCCAGAGAAGATAGAAGTCGCAAGAGAAACAAGCCCGTGATGCAGCGAGGAGCAGACGGGGAGGACCGATGCGAGAAAGGAGAGCTGTAGCAACAGAAGCTTCTGGGTCGCGCAGCAGAAAAAAAAAGGCGATTCCAGCCAAGAGGTGGTGTGTCGTAATTTTGCGCGGCTTGCAGCTTACCTGGGTAACTTTTTTCTGCCAGCCAACGGCGGAACCGCCTTAGTCATTTCCCAGTGGGTGGTCTCGCCGGAAACGCCCTGGGGAACGGGCAGATTCATGGATTTGGTGCCGGTTTATAGGCCAGAAGCCCGCTGAAAACCACAAAAATAGTTGGGTCTCCCTGGCTGAGTTGCCTGAGGCATTGAGTCTGAGGTGCTGGCTATAACTGTCTGATGGAGGTATATGTCTTTTTATTTCGGTAAATTATTCTGTTATCAGGTTTATTTGTCTTTTGTGAAATCCTGTATTTAGCATTCAGGACTAGGCTCTTGTGCAATTGCCAGACACACCTAATAAACCATGACAGCAATAGACATGTATCACAGTACCTATACACATTCAACCTCTCACAGGCGTCATCGCATACGTCAGAGTATCGAACCAAATCTGCTCTTGTTTCTAAAAGTATATCTCAAATATTTAGCAATCAATTATTTCCATCTCATTTGCACAGCCATGGCACAATGTGCTTGTGCAGCTTATCCCGGCATCGAATCCTGGTGGATATCACCCAACACCAGCCTCGGGCAGGGTACAGGCGGGCTCCCTCTCCCGCTAAGAAAGTCGTCGTGTGCCGTCATACATTATCGTGGTGAGGTAGACATTGATTACAGGCATCATCCTTCGCGCTCTCACTCCCTCCGCCTCATACAAACGTGAAGACTTAGCGTAGCATTCACCATGCCTGGGACTGACGACTTTTACATCTTCACCTCGCTGCGCTATGACCCTAGTCTACAGCAGGTACCCAGCCGTGGCTTTCGACATGCCGCATGGAATTACAATCACGTATCTCCCTTCTACTGCCTAGACCATCACCGCGATCGCCTGCTCCGAGCAGCCACTCACTGGGGGTGGCAGTCTGCCGTCTACGCCCTCACCGGCGAGCAGGCCCTCACGAAGCTCGCCGACTCGGCCAACGAGTTCCTCGGCACGGCGCAGATGACGCCGGTGCGACTCCGAATCATCGTACACGCCCACGGCACATTTGAATTCCAGAAATTCGACACCCCGGACGCCGCATTGGAAAATCTATTTCCCTTGCGTTTGCCCGCACCAGGCGCCGCGCCGGAGAGCATGGAGGCGGTGCGATCCGTGGTGTTCGCCTTGCTCCGAGATGACGTCCCCGTCCCGTCGTCTGAATTTACACATCACAAAACGTCGAAACGAGACATGTACAACGAAGCACGGACGCGCGCCGGGATTAAGATGGGCGAGCGCAAGGAGGTGCTAATGGTCAATGCCCAAAGCGGCGAGATCATGGAGGGCAGCATCACCACGCCGTACTTTTGGAGAAACGGTCAGTGGATAACGCCGCCCGTCTCAGCCGAGTTCAGCTCCAGCCTGGGCAGCGGGGGCAACAACGGGACATCAAGGCGATATGCCCTCGAAAAGTAGGTGCTATTACAAGCTATTGGCGGGAGCTAGCTGACGGGATGATAGCAAACTCGCGGTAGAGGAGCCCATCAAGGCAGAGTCTCTGCTAGACGGCGAAGAATGCTGGATAAGCAATGGTGTGTCTGGATTCATCGCGGCGCAGGTACAGCTGAGCAAATAACTCGATAACTTTCGAGACACGGCATCTTGGGCCGTTTGTTGTCTTGGCGGGATGATGGAGGTGAACGTCTAACAGAAACCAATCAATAGTCTCTGGGGGAGACCAACGTGGCAAGGGCACGGGAAAAGGATTGTGGCGTTTTGACACAAGTGGAAGAAAAAGAAAGGAAAGGAAAAACGTCCTGTACACGTAGAATGGCCCCGCCGCCTGGTTGAAATAGTGTCTTGGAAATATGCATGTGAGAATAATTTGAATGATTGATAACTAGCGGAACTGAGGCTTGGAGGCCCCGGCCCAAGGGTTGCCTATCGAATCATAATAGTCAGGCCTGCTAATAATATTAATACTGGTAATAAGTGCCGTAGTTAGAGCACAAACTAACAACCTGTCGAATAAACCATCTCTTATATCAAGTGGGCCACCCGGCCCGGCTACACGTCCCTGCCACAAACGCAACGCGCCTGCATAACCATTCCGGAGGCCCCTCCGAGCTCTACAGCCTCCTCCTCTTCTTTTTTTTTTTCCTTGTCACGTTTCAATATAAATCCTACATTTGAGGCAGTTTGGCAGGCAGGACCTTGCTGTACGACAGCATGCCCGGCACCCAGGCAGAGGCCGCTTTGAGGACAGGCCAGGAGGACTACCGCGCAAAGCGCTACAAGCACGCGTTGGAACAGTTTACAAGGGTATGTCCTGTCCATCCGCCCGGCCCATGAGGGCGCTCGTGAGCGCCATACCACTCTGAAGCTTCCCTCCCCGCAATCTGATCGGATCTAATATCCATTTGTCTCTATAGGCCATGCGCTTGTGCAAATGCAACCGCGGCTTGAAGCGAGATCGTTGCGCCTGCAAGAATTTTGAGGCGGTGGTAGAAAAGAATGGTTCCATCTTTCACGAGGCCATGTACACTTGCACTTGTCCTGTCGGCAAGACATTTAACAAATGCGACAACCCTGTCCATATCAAGGCGTTGGACTACCGGGCAGCCACGTTTGAGTCGCTCAAGGAGCTCGATCGTGCCAGACGAGATGCGGAATGGATACTGGAGCTTGCTCCTCGCTTCCCCGATGTATGTGTGCGCCAATGCCCGATAAAAAAAAAAGAAAGCTGACAATTACAGGGATATCTAAGGCTAGGCAAAATTGCTCGACTTCAGAAGAAAGACGAATTCGCCTGGAAAGTATACAGTGCTGGCGTCGATGCAGGCAGTGTTAGTCGCATGACCAACAGCCCAAAATTCCAAGTTGGTCCGCCTTTGACACATCGCTATAAAGCGCCATGTTAACTTAGCCCTGTGCAGCAATTGTATAGTGCTCGAAGCAAGCTTCATCTTCGGTTCTGTCGCAAAGACCCCGTCTTCCTACCGTCAGAACTGTTTATCTGGATTCTCTCATACTGCAATCTGAGGCAGAGAGTGTAAGTATCAGCGCAACAACAATATGTACTACGTTGAATCGTATTGACAAAAAAAACCAAGACGGTGTCAAAGAGTCTCCAAGCAGTGGCAGCGGACAATCACGTCACGCGACTTTGCCAGTCTGTGGAAAGACCTCGACTTCACAGGCCCTTCAACGCCCCGACGGCCACCGCGCATAGACTTTTTGAAGAAACTCGTCGCCAGCGCTGGGCGCGATGTGCGAAGAATAGTGATTGAAGAAAAGAACCACCGGTTCCAACTCTCCCAAGCCAAGCTCTTCGCACTGTTGATGGGCGCCTCGCGGCTGGAGCATCTCGAACTAAGCTTTCCGGATCACACTCTTAAAATACCACCTACCGCCGGCCTTTGTAAAACCCTCAAAACGCTATCCTTACGGCTGTTCACAGCAGAGCCAAAGAAGAGTATTGTCGGCCTGGATTATATATCCGTTTCGGCATATCCATTTGAGCTGTTAAACCCCGTGGCAGAGACAATAGAAACGCTTCATCTCTCTGGACTTCCTATGAGCTGGTTCCGAGAGCAGGATGTGCCTTTGATGCCGAAACTAAAAAACTTGCACTTGCAGATGCGCCCCGGATCAACAGCCATGTGTCCGATTGTAAGTTGAAGCAGGGTATTTGCCTCGTATGTCGTTACTCATGCTAATATTTACTTCTTAGCTACATGTTGGCACAAAAACGCCTGCTTTAGAACAACTATGGCTGCAAGACACGCTACCCGACCGTTCTAACGATTGGGAAGATCAATGGAGCAAGCTTTGGCCAAACTTCAAGGGGCTCGTTGTCGCTGGGGGCAACTCTAGCACAGCCGCTCGCTTTGCCACTACCCTCATCATTTGCCTCTTTTCATCGCTGAACCATGGCCACAAGCTGGAGTATATCGATCTGGATCTGCCGTGGAGCCCCAACCCGGATGCCATCGCCATAGAGCCCCTCACTCTTAACCCAGGCCCAGCGATTCAGAAGCTCTGGAACATGACTGGCACTCCGCTCGACCCCGAGAACAACTGGCGGAACGAGTACAAAAGCCTCAAGGCAATCAGGCTGGCCAACGCCGTGCTGGACCCGGAGAGCCTGCAGCAGGTGGCCCAGGACCAGGCAGCCGCCGGCCAACTTGACACGCTGGACATCGTGTTTCCGCCAGATTCCCTCGCCTCCCCGGCCGGCGCCGCTAGCTCGGCCCATCTCGCAAAGTACGCTTGGCTCGCCGGGGCGCCAGGACTCCGCTGCATGGCCCTTTCGCACTTTCGGTTCCGCTCGTTCCCCCGCACGCCGGAGGACCTCCCCTTGCCGACGTTCCTCGCGACGTTTCCGGAACTCGAGACGCTCGAGATTCGATCTGATCATTACGAGGAACCGGAAATGTGCTCCGTGATTTCGGCCATCATCAAGGAAACAAAGACAATCAAGGTCATATACCAGAACCAGATACGAGGTGCCCTGATGGACGGGCTCGGAGCGGCGGCGGCAAAGCACGGTGTCAGCGTGGTGTTTGGCGAGCGGCCGAGGGAATGGCCTGTTCGGGTCACGTCGTCGTAGAGAAGCGCCTATCGAAAATAAATATATATGCAATCAATCCCGGCCCCCAATCATGCTCATCGCATTTCTATGCAGTCGATATTAACCCATGCCAACAGAACTCCGTCCGTAAGTAAATCGCAATCCGTCTAAATGGTCTCTACGCCCTGCCGACCTTGAATGAAAGAACCTGCGTATGTGTTAGTCCCGACATGCCATGGACACAATTCAACCCGAGCTCAGACACTCACATCATTCTTGCCGACCGCCACGATGTCGTCCTCGGACACCCTCAGGCCGCCCACGCCCTCCACGTACGCGACCGGCGCATCGCCCATGATCTTGCGCGCCACGTCCCCCACCGTCGAGCCTTTCTTGACCAGCACGCAGTCCTTGAAGACGTGCTTCGTGTCGTTTGCGCCCGTCACGAACGTCGACACGCTGCGCACCGGGAACACGGGCACCAGGCCGAGCAGCTCCGCCGCCTTGGACAGCACCTGCACTACGCCCGTCGACCCGAAGCGGTACAGCACCATGTCACGCAGGTTCTCGATGCGGTTCCTGTTCTTCTCGTCCAGCGGCCGCAGCCCGCCACCCTCCGGGTCGCCCTGCTCCACCAGGTCCTCGCGCGTGTCCACGAACTCGCCGCCCTCCACGTATTTGATGTAGTTTTGCTTGGCCATCTTGCGCAGGAAAATCTCCGAGATGGCAGAGCACAGCACGATGCTGGCCGGGTCCTGCATCTTGGCAATCTTGGCAATGTTCTTGTCGGCGTCCGGGTGGTCAATCTTGTTGAGCGCGATGACGGTGGGGAACTTCTCGTCGATGAAGGCGTTGACGACGCGCTCGACGGTGGCGTCGGACCAGTCCTCGAGGGGCTCGCGGAGGGCGAGGCGGTCGAGCGCGCGGGCGACGACGACGGGCGTGGAGCCGTAGCCGGAGAACTGCAGCTGCAGCGTCTCGGCGGCGGTGGCCTTGGTGGCGAGGTGCCGGCGGCGCAGGGACCCCCACTTCTGGACAAGGTTGCCGAGGATCCAGGCGACGACCTCGCTGCGCAGCCAGGCGATGTCGACCGAGGGGTCGTAGCCGCGCGTGGCCTTGCCCTCGGCGTCGACGGTGCCGGAGGCGTCGACGACGTGGATGAGCGCGTCCGCGTGCCGCAGGTCGTCGAGGAACTTGTTGCCGAGACCTTTGCCCTGGTGCGCGCCGGGGACGAGCCCGGCGACGTCGAGGAGCTCGATGGGCACGGAGCGCCGGCCGGCGGCGCACGCGCCGTAGTTGGGCTTGCACCGGTCGGAGACGTTGAAGCGCGCGCAGGCGCAGTCTACTTGCAGGTAGCCGATCGCTCGTTGCGGGTCGATGGTCGTGAAGCTGGAGGGCCAGTGTTAGAAGAAATCGGCCAAAGGCTGGGGAGGCGACGGAGGAGGACAGGATATGGGTAACGTCACATGGACGTTTGGTTGGAGGGGCGCTCACGGGAAGTTGCCTGACAGGATTGTGTGGTTAGACCTATATTGAGCCACGCAAAGAAGGGATTGCGCGGATAAATAAGTAACATACCAACTTTGGAACTCGCATCAGTCAGGCTGTTGAGCGTGCTGCTCTTGCCCGCCGAAGGCTTTCCCACCAGCCCAATGAGGGGATCGCGAGGCATGGCGGGGTATCTGGAGATGCAAACGGGAGGGGAATGTCGGGCGGGCACGGAGCCGAGGATTACACACGGTAGTCCTGTATCGTCGTTTGTAGTTTCATGTAAGATATGCTCCCAATCACAGGCAGTCGCGCGGCGCGACAAGGTCTAATGTCAAAAACGCTGCTCATGGAGCACAAATAAAAATTTCGATGCGACCAACATGGCAGCTCTATTTTCGGCATGACGTACTGGGTTTTGGTGGGGCAGCGCGGAAGCTCCGCCTTACGGACAGGACCCTTCCGGGAGACATTAGCAAATCAATATCAGCGGCTTAATTCTTTCAACTGAGAAAAGGGGCATCTTTTGGAATTCAGCGAATCTCCTTCTCATCCGTGCGCTGCTCAGGCCGCCCAGCATGTCGGCCAGTCCTCAGTTGTCCATAGAGTCCCTGCCAGCCTGGGCCACCCTGCAGGATGTGAAGCTTCAGCAGGTGGGCATGCGCCACATCGACGGCAAGGGCTACGGACTCGTGGCAGAGGGCGATCTGAGTGCTTCAGAAAATCTAGATGATTCTTTGGAAATTATGAGAGTCCCTGCGGACCTTGTGTTGTCGGGAGCAGCCGTTGAAGAGTACGCCAAGGTCGATCACAACTTCAAACAGCTCATGGAGGCAGTTGGCCGAAAGGTATACGACAGCTTTGCCTACATGTAATCGACTTAATCTAGACTAATTCTTCACAGTCGACCCGACTAGACATTATGATTTACCTATTGGTGCACATAGTCTCAGGCAGGCATGCCGGGGACAAGACGAGACGCTGTGTGTCAAGTCCGTGGAGTGAATACATCAAGTTTCTTCCAAGAGACATCCCCGTCCCCACGCTATGGACAGAAACTCATCAGCTGCTACTCAGAGGAACTTCATTAGAGGTATGCTGTATTACCCAAAAGGACCCGGCAGTGCGTGGTATGACCTCTGACCCCTTTCTCACTACAGGACGCCCTGGAAGCCAAAGTTGCCGCACTAGAAAGTGAATTCGACACGCTGCGGGACACATCCGCAACACTGACGTTTTGGAACCAGCTACTCTGGGAGGCCGACGGAGCCAAGCTGTCCGACTGGCTCCTCGTCGACGCCTGGTACCGGTCCCGCTGTCTGGAGCTCCCGCACGCCGGCGAGGCCATGGTTCCCGCGCTCGACATGGTGAACCACTCCGGTGGCGGCAGCGCCATGGCGTACTACGAGGAAGAGACCGGCGGTGACGTGTCGCTGCGCATCCGACCAGGCGCCCATGTCCCCGCAGGAAGCGAAGTCACCATCTCCTACGGCGACAGCAAGTCGGCGGCCGAGATGCTCTTCAGTTATGGCTTCATCGACACGACGACAACGAAGCGGCAGCTGACGCTTCGCCTCAACGACTTCCCGGACGATCCGCTCGCCTTGGCTAAGCGGCGCGTCTTTGGCAGCGCAGCCCGCGTCGTCACGATACGCCAGGGAGACGGCGACACCGCGCCAATGTGGGAAAGCGGCTTCGTGCATCTCATGTGCCTGAACGAGGAGGACGGGCTCGAGTTTCGCGTGCTGCAGGACGACGCGGGCGGCAGGACGCTGCGCCTGTTCTGGCAGGAGGAGGACGTGACGGCGCGCGCGCACGAGTTTGATACGCTCCTCCGGGACCATCCGCTCGCGGCGCTCTTCCGGCTCCGGGCCGTCACGGTGGTGCAGGAGCGAGCGGCGAGCCAGCTGGAGAAGCTCGCGGCCGCTCCCAGTGGTGCGCAGCTCGAGGCCCTGGTGGTCGCAGAGGTTATCGACCAGGCTCACGTAGACTTGGTGGGCTCCCTCCGGGATATTGAGCATTCTATACTCCAGGACGCGGTGGCGGAATTCGAAGAAGAGGTACGTATTCGCATGTTTGAATCCTGTTATTCCACCGCAAATTACAGACAAAGGCTTTCTTCTCCATTTTATTTCGCACTCCTATGATCATATTGCTGTGCCATTTTTTGTCTTGCTGCTATTGGCTTGACCTGACCTACCCTCTTCTTTGTATAACTGACGTCTGATGCCCCTTGAACTAGAGATCCCAGCTTGTCGAGAACGAAACTGTGGTGGCGTACTTGAGGTCGATGGAAGATGGTCAGAATCAACCGGAACAGTACGACGCAACCGCGCCAGCGGACGACGGAGACAATGATGACGACTTCAGCTAGGGGCTTCTGGTTCCGCATGCCTATCTCACTTTGTACATATAGATGAATGGAGATATTTCGTTGAAGGATGCCAGCAGCTAAACAGATTCGTGTCCATTGAGTCCAAGACAGTACCATTTTTAGTGGAATAAAGGAGGGAGATAAAGAAGATAGAGAGGATGACGAAGATAGAGAGGATGACGAAGATAGAGAGGATTTAGAAGATAGAAAAGATTAAGAAGACAGGGAATCGCTACGAAGATAGAGAGGAGAAGATGAAGAGGATTTAGAAGATAGAAAAGATTAAGAAGACAGGGAATCGCTGTCCTGTTGGCCTGTAACTAGAATAGCCTTGATCTGTGAATAAAGCTGCCTATTCTCCCTCTCCCATGGGCTGCCGCCGGGAAACACCACAATCCGAAGCCTATTTAGCAACGGCCCCAGAGGTTTGTTGAAAGGTGTAAAGTAATCCGATACAACACCAAGGAATCTGCGTTGGGCTGCAATTGTGCCAGCTTTCAGCGAGGCCAAGTTGCCGTCATCTTGATAGTTCCAGTCGTCAAATCGAGTAGGCCCAATTTCCTTGGCAGTACCATTGTAGTGAATGCAGATCCAGAATAGCACCCAAAAGAAGGACTCCAGATCGTGCATAAATGAATGCTCCTGGCCCTCGAGGGCCCCAATGGCCATGAATGCTCTTGTCCCCGTCTTGCCCTTCGCGCCAGATGCCTCGGTTCTTTGTACCTTGATTGCAAGATCGAGATCAATTAATAAGACGTCCTTCTCATCCTCCCCCATAACCAAGTTGTTAATAGAGACGTCTCGATGAAGGATGCCAGCATCCAAAAGAGATTCATGTCCATTACTACACTTTTCAAGTGCCATAAGTAAAGCTTGCCTGGTAGTAGCTTTATAGACGGGCTTCCCATAGTCGCGAAGAATAACTCTCCGGTGCATTCGATTTTGCACTGGCTCTGTAGCTTCCGAAGCTGAACGCTTGGTTGGTGATTCTGGAAAGCCGGCTTCACTCGACGGTCGTTTGCGAGCCGCGCTGCTACTGCGACTTTGTTGTTGCGTTCTTTCAGTTGCCCTTGGTCTTCGCCCTGGACGAGGATTGTCTTCAACTGCTAACCCATGTCGAACATTTGCTAAGATGTCATCGTCTGTGTCGTCGACCTGAACAGTTTCGTGATGGTAGTATCGTGCAACATTGACCACCCTATTTTTCGTCGCTTCTTGAAGCATTTCGCCTTCCTCAGCTCGCATAGTGTAATGCCATGAGTCTTTCACCACAAGAGGGGTTGCTGGGTCCTTATTCGAGTAGGCTAGCCAACATGTAGTAGCTCGGCCGGCAATGCAGCGGCTTCGGCTGATAACTCTTGTGATGAAGATACGCTCCGACTCACCAAGTCGGTAAATATCGATATACCGTTGACCGTTCTTCTCTATAATCGTAGGGTCAAACCCAAGGTCTTTTTTAGACATCCTTAGAAGGCCTAGGATAGAGAACACAAATCGATAGCCGTCCTTGTTGACATCGAATTTTTCGGATGCAATGCCGCCTAACCGGTCAAAACACCCAAATCCTCATGAGAGATCCGCAGAGCGTAAATCCCAATACAAATCGCTGTGTGTCTTGTGAAGCTAGTACTTCTCTAGCGTACCTGCCAAGATTAAGCCACGCCTTCGCTGTAGTATCCGCTGTAGGATTACTCTTCAACTCTCCCGGTACGAGGATTTGAGACCAATGGCATCTACTGTTCTCTGTGGCTTTAGGATCGCTCACGAAACCAATGTCCAATGTGCGCTCTCCGGTGGAGCCCTGTATTGGCGTACTCGGCTGGGCGAGGAGTCGGCGGCTACTCTGGGGAGGATGCAGGTCTTCGGCCTTAACCAGCAGTTTCGTTATTATTGCCTTCAACCAGGCCAAGACTGCATCTTGATTCGTATTTGTTGGCCAGTCTTTCCATCCGTCCTGGAAGATTGGTTCGGAATCCTTTGAGCATCTGTCAAAGACAGTTTTTGCGAGTGAGCTAACTCCACCGACGCCTTTAAAGTAGGCATCATGGAAATCAGATAGACCGACGTGCAGAGGCCCGAGTTCCAACTGAAGGACTCGGTCGACATATTTTCGGTCAGAGGTGTTGTCAAAGCTTCCTGTATTGTGCCTCCACGGTGTTTGTTGGAATGAGGATATGACTGATAGAGATCGCGGAGGGGGTGTGGATTCAACGGCAACGGCGTCAACGAGGTCCCAATCAAGGTATCTTGTGCGTCTTTTGAGCGTGCGGCTTTCAGTAGAGGCTTTATACGGTCAAAGTCGAAGTCGTCCGACGAAACGCCGGCAAGCAAATGGGTAATGCTGTCACCAATGGTGCCACGGCCGGACGGTAGCAGGTCAGCCGCTGGGAGACTTCGAAGAGCTGAAAGTAGAGCCCCTGCAGTAACATCTTATTGTACACGAAGGTTAGCGAAAGTCATATTTTGACCTTTGCTATAGCTAATCTGGCATTGCAGGGCTATCGCTTTGTCGAGCAACAGCAGGTGTAGTAAGTACAGATGAAGCGCAATGAGCGGACCAAGGCTCGCCTTGGTTTAACTCAGCATCGACTAACGCCCCATACAAGGCGCTGAATCTAACAAGGCCCTCTCCAATAGGGTTTTTTCTTCGATCAGTTTCGCTCTCTCGTCAAATGTCGACATGGTTGACAACGAGGTTGTTGCTGGCAGTTATTCGGACGCGTGAATCTGAGTAGTGGCTTGTGACTAAACGGGTCTAGGCACGTGACTGCCTGCCGTGTCGTGCTGTATGATCCATAGGTATCACCAATCACATTTTTGGTGTATGATGGGTAGCTCAACTATCTTGTCTCTTTTTATGTCTTCTATCTCTTCTCTAGAAGATCTTAATGATGAAACGGTTAGAGAGATTAAGAGCACACAAGGGCCATAGCTTCTTCTCTCTTTACTATCTTTACTATCTTTACTATCTCTTCTAGCTCTTTTATTCACTCTATTTTATTTTATTTTATCATCTTCCTTCTTCTCTTTTATTTTTTTTATTCGATTACTTTTCACTATCAAAAAATCCTTCTCTGCTAATAATGTTGTACAAAACTGCGCCGGCCTACCTAGTCTCCACGGCAAGAGCCGCTGCAGCTCACAGTCTCATTTTGCGAGCCAGTCTGCCGAACAAGGATCCTAGTTCCATTTCGCAGAATAATAAAGAGTAGTGCCATTGGCACGATACATTTTTGCTATTGACACGATATCGCGTGCTAATAATGAAACTCATAATGAATGCCCAGAACGTCAATGTATGTACGCATCGACCACATTGTGCTTGTCTCCAATAGTTATGGCCCTGGTGACTTGTCGCGGCGCTTGGGGCGCTGCAGATGGCTTGGGGATACCTGCCAGCCAGCAGGTCGTTTGTAGGAGCTTGGCATGACCAATATCGATTCAGAAGAGCAGGAATGCCCCCACCACACTGATTCGTGATAATAGAGACCAAACTTAATAAATTGCCATGGAATCTGGGGACAGATGGATGGCTTGGCGGCAAGCCGGGGAAGCGAATCATGCTCCTGTAAATGTAATTTTGATCGGTATATCCTTATTCGTCACCAATTAAAACCATTCCCTCAAAAAGATCTAGCCAATCCTGTAGTCTCTTTTTTTTTCGAACGTTGACAAATCCCAAGACTCCGTAGAAAGTTGATCCCTTTCTCCAGCCCAAGCATACATGTCTGCTTCGACAACTTATCCGGTATCTAGAGTAACGGAAACGGGAGTTGCTCTGTACGTTTCTGCTTCCAAATCGTCGAACGTTTTACGCTGAGATGGATTCTCAAACACGAGTAAGAGTCCATCGATTGAGGATGATTTTTCGTCACTTGGGATGGCCCCGGGATAGTCACAGCCGCGTACTAGGTATCGTGCGTGGCCGTCGACTTTTCCGGGACGAGCGAGGGCTTCTACGGCCGCGGTGTTGTAGGCATCTCCTGTTATAGCCCATGCCAGCAACGGGCATGAGCGCAAGGTTCCGTAGATGAAGAGCGGTCGTGTCTTGGGTGTTCTGACATTTTCGATGCGATTTTTGTGCGTGCATGTAGGAGGGAAAACGAGCGGACACGCAACACGGCTTAGGTTGTAGTAAGTGGATTACGAAATGTCAACCCGGCTACCGCGCTACGAATTTAGATAGACGATGTACATCAACTAGAATTCGCCGTAAACCTTAAGGATGAATACGAAGTATGGTAAGGCTATGATCCTGAGTTTTTAGGAGGCTGAGTTTCCTGCAACTATTGTACAATTTGCTAGCGTCTACGTACTAGAGGGCTATGCGCAGCACCTTGACTGGCGAGTGGCAGCGTGTTCCGTGTAGGTGCAAACACAACAAATTCTTGACCTTGAGCTTGTGATCTACAATACGTCCGCGTAGCATTGACTGCTGCAACTTTGCAGTCGGGAGTCCCATTAATTGAGAGGTGCTTGCTTGCTGGCTGGGAGAGAGGCAGTGGTTAGTGTGTTGAGAGTGAACATTGAGAGTCACCATGGCCGTCAATGCAGGTCATAGAACCGAGAGCTTAATCCAGCTCCAAGTAGGAAACCGTAGCAAAGTCTGGGGAAGCGCCAGTTCGGATGGCTTCGGAAGTGGTCAACGCCGCTCTTTAGGATGTGGTGTGATGGCGCAGGGCACGGAGCTAGATGTGTCTGGAACGAGGAGCTGAAAGCAGCGATTCTGTGTGAAGAATCCGATCAATCTCCGATGGTGTTTCCTGCCAATGGTCATTGTCGTGGTTGTGGTGAGAATTGGGCGATTCGGAACAACGAAGCGCCTTGGAAGGGCCAAGATGTTGCAGCGAGGGGGTGGGCGAGACGAATCGGCAGTAGTTACATCACCATCTGGGATTTCGCCAACCATTTTGGTCTGGGCTTCCCCAGACTACGAAGAGTAGAGTGTGTTGGATTCGGAATCGCGAGTCTCCAACTGCGTAGGCGTCCGAGACACGCAGTTGTCATCCCACTTTTGGGGTTGAGCAAGACGCCATCGGCAATGGCCCACCCCCGGAATTCCAGTTTTTTCAACGATTTGTGTGGCTGCCCATCATGTTCAAGCAGTCTAGTCTTGGGACTGGGTCGGGGTGATGAGTGGCTGGTGTGTTGGCCCAGTTGATTGGCTTCAAACTAGCACTGCCTGGGGGTGGTGACGGCAAGGAGCTGCTGGCTGGCTGGGCACTTGCTGAATGGTCACCGCTCTCACGCATCCTCGCAAAAGAAAAACGGAAGTCGACGTGTCGGGACGAACAGGAGGGCAGTTCTTGATGGCCGATGCGGTTTCGACGCTGAGTTGTTCAGCCTTGTTGGTGAGGCAAGAAAGGAGAAGAAGACGAGGAGAAGAAGACAAACAGGAACCTAGTTTTCCGTGAGGTCTTATTACCCCGGCTTGCCCCGGCGGGGCGGTAGTGGGTTTCGGCAGTTTGTCCAACCACAGAGGGCCGAGTCGTAAATATTCGAAATAATTTACTGGTAATACTGGTAAATACAGTATTAATGCCATACTAAGACCCGCACTGTACAGGGACGACCCAATCTTTCTTACCTTGGCCGGGGTACCGTTCTTGAACTTGTTCTTTCTTCCATGGTCATTACTCTCCACCAGAATTGTACCAGCACGATTCGTTAATTTTGGACATTATTCAACGACGAAGTGCATTTCATCCTCCTGCGCTAGTTTGTGTCAAAGTATCGTCGTCTTCTTCCTCGAGCTGGAGGGGCTGCCGTGCTAGATCATCAGCTTCCGCTTACCCGAGCCACACGACTCGCCCGTTTTCTTAGTCAACCCGCTCCCACTTGACCAACGCCTCAGCTTTCCGCTCACGGCAACCTGTTTGACGGCTTTTCTCAACCATACAAAGTCGAGCTGTAACATCACGGCCAATCTGAGGCGCCAGAGACGCATGAATTATTCCCCGCGCTGGTGCTGCACCAGGGAACTGGGATATTTCTGAAACCCAAAAAATCACCAGTGAAATTTAAAAACGCCTACCTGGTCGACGAACGCCACAGTCCCCTTTCCTCACCCAACAAAACAGAGAGCAAAGCCGTTTGCGCGAATTCAGGCCGCCAAAAATGCCTGGAATACTGCCCATGAAGGTCATCAAGGTCGGCACCAGCGCCCAGAGCCGCATCGCGCAGGCCTGCGACCGCTGCCGCAGCAAGAAGATTCGCTGCGATGGCGTCCGCCCGACCTGCTCACAGTGCGCCAACGTCGGATTCGAGTGCCGCACCAGCGACAAGCTCTCCCGCCGAGCCTTCCCCCGCGGCTACACCGAGTCCCTTGAAGAGCGCGTCCGCGCCCTCGAGACCGAGGTTCGCGAGCTCAAGGACCTGCTCGACGAAAAGGACGAAAAGATCGACATGTTGTCCGCCATGCACAAAGGCCCGGGACCCCGCCGCCTATCGACGACCTCGGCGTCGCCCCCGGTTCATCAGGACACAGGTGCGGCCAGTAGTGCGACCTCGAGGGAGTCAACTTTCGACAACGAGGACACATTCCGCGTTCAAGCATCGCCACTATTACTAGGCGTGGAGAATTCCGACGCCTACTTTATGGGCGCCTCCAGTGGCCGCACATTCATTAGTAGGTGTCTTGGCTACTGGTGGCTGACATGACATGTCCGCCGCTTTTTCATAACCTTAATCGAAATCGCTGACTTTTTCTTTTCAACAGCCGCCCTCAAACGTAAACTGCAACAAAGCGGCAAACCCTGCACCGAATTCAATCCCGAGGCTTTTCTGCATGTGCAAGGCTGCCCGCCTCTCACGCCTAACCCACCCGAGGCTTCCCTCAGGATACCACCTCGCCTCTTCACTGACCGATGCGTCAACGTCTACTTTCAGGAATGGGCCTCCCTCTTCCCCGCCCTTCACAAGCCCACCTTTTTGCGCGTCTACGAGGAGTTCGTTGCCGATCCCGAAAAGGTCAAGTGCAATTACAAGATCGCCCAGCTCTACCTCGTCTTTAGCCTTGCCGGTCTGTCGTCCTCAAACCCTGACCTGGAACAGCTGGCAGCATGTGAGCGCCAGTGGACCGGCGCCTTGGAAGCGGTATTGCTGGAGAACACCATGAGCGCCCTCCAGTGCCTCGTGCTTGCGCTACTGTACTGCTCTCTCACTGCCGATTATAGACGCCTGCAGCATTACAAGTCCATAGCCGTCGGCCTAGCCTATCGCCTCGGACTTCACCAAAGCCAAAAGCGATTTTCTTTTGGTGCACTGACACTTGAAACGCGGAAAAAGGTCTTCTGGACGCTTTATACTGTAGATTGGTAGGCATCCCTGCACAGCAGCCTTCTCTAAGTACTGCGACTGACATTCTTGCAGCTTCTCTGCCGCCACGCTCGGCCTCCCTAAACTCCTGCGTGAAGACGACCTACAGGTCGAATACCCCTCTGACACAGATGACGAGTACGTCACCGAAAAGGGCTTCCAGCCTACTCTTCCCGGCGAGCATACTCGCTTGTCGAGTGCTTTGGCCCTCTTCCGCGCCACCCGCATCCTGGCCAAGGTTCTTGAGAAGAACTACCCGTCTGCTACCACCTACGACCTCTCGTTACAGCAAATGAATGCGCTGGAGAGTGAGTTGGATGGTTGGTACGATGCACTACCGGCGCACCTACGGCTGAGGTTTGCGCAAGACAAGCCGTCCACTGATGTTACCGGAAGCCGATCACCTCTTTTGGTAAGCCCCTGACGGATCATTAACAGACTAAGCCCTACTAACGCAACCTAGGCTCTTGCATACTACTTTATCCGCACCCTCATCTACCGACCTGCCATTGGCTCTGGCTTGGGTTACAAGGCGGCGCCGGCGCTCATGTCCATTGCGGACTCTAGCAAACACATCATCCAAATTTCCGAGCTTCTAGAGGAGCGCAACCTATCGTTCTCTTTTTGTCTGAACAAGGGGGATCTGCTTACTATCAGCGCGCTGGCGCTGCTGTACCAAGTCGTGGACCTCAAGGCAGAGAGCAAGCTTGCCCAAGAAAATCAGCGTCTCGTCAACTCCGTGGTGAGCACTGTTGATCGATTACGCTCACCTGGCTGCGTTGATCTGCGACGAATCGCGGGCACTCTTGTGACTGTGGAGGGAGCTTCACTGCCATCTCCCGCTTCTTCATTGTCCAGTCCGCGCCGCGACTCAACATCCATTCTGCCCACAGCAGAGCAGCCCAGACGACGAAAGAGCTCCGGTGATAAGAAACAGAAACAACTACAACCACAACACGTCCCTACCCTGCAGGACAAATCGAGACGTTTGACGATGCCGGTACTGGCCTCGCCCGACCCTGAACTCGAACTGGCGCGCAGCCGCGGCTCCTTTGACAGCGTCCAGTCAGACCGTTTCGCCCGGACAGAAGACTACATGTGCATGTCTCAGCTGCCGACCGGCAGCCAACACGCGAATCCACCTCTACTGGCAACCCGGCCGAACCTTGACTACCTCTCCCTCCATACGACGCCCGACAACGGATCACGATCACAGTCGCCGCCCAGCGCCAAGGCCCTACCACCGCAGCCGCAGCTGCCGCTGGACCACCAGGCGCAGGTGCACCTGGCCAACATGATGAGCAACACGCAGTTTTCGAGCAAGGCGGTCGCCGGCGTCAGCAACAACGAGTGGGAGGCGCTGCTGGGGTCGATGGACAGCGGCCTGGACAACGTCTACAACGCCATCTACGGGGGCGCGACGGTCGTGCACGGGGAGCCGCCGGCGATGCTCGCAGCGGCGGGCAAGGCGAGCAGCGAGTGGTCGCCGGACTCGTGGGACCTGAGCAGCTTCAGCCTCGGCGACTTCACGGCGTCGGAGGCGCCGCAGAGCGTGCTGAGCTTGAGCGACGAGAGCCTGAGCTCGGGCGAGGAGGTCTCGCCGCCGGCGGTGGGTCAGCAGCAGCAACGGCTGGGAGGGGGGTATCAAAAGCAGATGCAGGCCGCGGGGGCCGAGCACTTTAATATGGATGCGATTGACGGTTATTTGATTTAACTGGCACGTTTGCGGCTTGTTTTACGGATTACAACGAATGCTGATTTTGTTTTCTGGGGAGACGGTGTTAAGGCAAGGTAGCGACTGGGTTGATTTTCTTGGGTATGGATGGGCTGGCTGTTGGAGTTGGGATGCATTTTCTTGTATCTATTCATGTCGTATTTATTATCTATCAATGTTTACAACAATGTCGATATTCCTGTTCAAAGCTGCATGTCAATCGAACTGCGCAGGTTGTGCCAACCGGACAATAACGTAAAGTCCGGAGCCAGCGGGTGAATGTCGCCGGCCATGTCTCAACTACGTACGTGTCTTGAGCCACACTACTCCAGGTGTCAAGTCAATGACGGCTAGAATTTTACCACACAGAGCAACGCCCATTTTTTCATCCGCTCCTTCCTTTTAGTTCCAGACCGCAAGCGTGGAATCGGCCGCAATGAAGCTCCGCCTCGGAGTGCGGGCGGAGTTGGTGGGGTCCCGGGACCCTTGGGCTGCGCTATCTCCGGCAGGCGACGGGGACGTACGTCAGGCGGTCCTCATGTTATAATGCGCACATGAATCTTGCCATCTACATCTCAACGTAGCGCTTTCGGCTCACACTCTCCTTTCACATTTTGTAGAAGTCCATGGACGACATGGATCCCGACTCGCTCCTTGACAACCTCCCAGACGGTACGCTCCGCCGCCCAGTTCCCTAGGGGCCAACCTCGGCCAACAGGAGAGCCGACGGGACAGGCGTAACCCAAACCCGGCGATGGAGACGTAAAAGAGGACCTGGCTGACTTGTCACTCGCAGCGCCGTTCGCGGCCGCCATCCCCTCCGCCAGGGACCCCGCGCGCCTCCTGCCGCAGACCATCGCCCACCGGGGCTACGCCGCTCGCTGGCCCGAGAACACGCTCGAAGCCATGCGCGCCGCCGTACTTTCCGCCGGCGCCCACGCGATCGAGACGGACGTCCACCTCACCCGCGACGGCGTCGTCGTCATGTCCCACGTTTGTTCTCCCTTCGCTGAAACGCTGCTTCGGCGTGGACAAGAAGGTGGCCGAATGCGACTGGGCGTACATCCAGACCCTCAGGACGGTGAGGGCGCCGCACCTCGGCATGCCGCGCCTCAGCGACGTGTTGGAGCTGCTGCGGACGGAGGAGGGGATGGAGAAGGCGTGGTGCATCCTCGACATCAAGGTCAGCCCAAACTCGGCGCGCACAAGCACAAGCAATGCAAGATTACTGAACCTGGCTAGATTGACGACGACGCGGACAAGCTGCTCTCCAGCGTGAAGCGCGTCCTCGACTCCGTCAAGGGCCCCGTCCCTTGGGAGCAGCGCATCCTCCTCGGCTGCTGGAACGTACGTCTCCCCCTCCCAACCCCCCCCCCCACGTACATCACCGCCGCCCGGCGCATCCTGCCCTCCTTCCCCCTCGCGCACATCTCCTGGTCCCGTTCCTACACCCGCCACTTTTCCGCCGCCATGCCCAACGTCGGCCACAGCCTGCACTTCGCCAACCTCTCCGGCCCCGGCGGCCGACGCTTCCTGCGCGACGCGGCGGGCCGCACGGCGCCGCTGCTCACGTGGACGGTGAACCGGGAGAGCTGGATGCGGTGGCTGCTGGAGCGCGGCGGGGTGGTGGACGGGGTGGTCACGGACGATCCGGCGCGGTTCCGGGCGGTCTGCACCCGGTGGGAGGATGAGATGGAGGCGGGGGGCGCGGCGGCGAGGGCGAGGGGGGTGTCGGGGTGGTGGTGCGGGTGGGCGGATCTGCTGGAGGGGGTCAAGTTTGCGCTGCTGTGGGTGGTGCTGCAGGTCGTGGCGAGGTATTCGCGCAGGCTCGATACGTTGCCGGAGGTGATGAGGCGGAAGAGAGACTAGAGCTTATAAAGTTGGGACGTGGATGGTGTTTGGCGGGCAATGATAGACTTGGTACGGCATGGCGTTTGGCATGGTCTCTTTACTTGGATAGTCATAGTACTTCATACGGAAGCAAAGTACAAGATTCTTTGGCGTAGATTGGCACGGACGATGCGGGATCCGATATGATGGATAACATTACCCGAAGTGGCGGTACTTCATCATCATGTACATAAATATCTGTCATCTTGATGGATGAAGATGCCCATACCTCGTCGCCGTCGCTATGCAATGCTTCTTCAGACAGAGGCAAGCGTTTTCGATGGTCTCGGAATGGAACGTGGAATCAAAGGCATAAGAGGGACGAAGCAGCATTTGGTAAATGATGGTCGGATTGAAATGTGAAATAGCAAGCCCATTGGATCACAGGCCCTCAATAAAACGCCATGTACGCCCTCTCCCACGGAAAGACAACCCCCTATAATGCGATGATTCCCTGCGTTGCCCCCTTTGAAATGAAGACATTGTTGCTCCGATTTGCTAATAAAGATGAGAGTATATGAATGATACAACCTAACAGATCTTCTTCCTCTCCCATACCATTCCCCCTTGCCTTGTTTCTCTCTCTTGTGCGTCCCGCGACTCCCGCAGACACCCGAATACATCAAGACGCAAACTAAACGCAGGACTATTATTCTGTTAGATATCAATATCAATATCTAGATCCAACGACCCAATCACGTCGTCGTCCATCAGCGGCTTGTGGATCGTCGGCAGGCCCTTGCCGTCCTCCGCCTGCTTCCGGTCCTGCAGCTTCACCAAGTGCGGCAGCAACTTGGCAGCTCCATTCACCGGCGCTGCCGCCGCACTCGTCGTCGGCGTGCTGACCCCGCTCCCCGGCTTGCTCCCCGCCTCCGGGCCCGATTCGTTGACGTCGTGCACAAACTTGGCCTTTGTGCGCAGCCGCCGCGACGGGTCCTCCTGGACCATCTCCCCGCGGCTCAGCGACATCTCAATCTCCCGCGCCCTCGCCTTCTCACGCAGCTGCGCCCGACGCACCGCCTCCTGGTTCAGCCTGCGGTTCTCCTTGTTGCGCGCCGCGAGGCGGTCCTGCTCCGTCGACATCTTGGCCGCGCCGCCGTCGTACGCCGAGGACGACTTGGACAGGCCAAGGCTCGTCTTGAAGGCGAGCCGCTGCGTGCCCAGCTTGTCCAGCTCCTCCTGCAGCGTGGACATGCGCTCCTCGTCGCCGGCGACGGTGGCCTCTTCGAGCAGCCGCGCGACGCGCTCGCGCTCGGCCGGGTCGAAGCGCTTGCGCAGCTCATTACGACGGGCCAGGCGCGCCTTGATCTCCTCGTTGGTCCAGTTGTGCGTGAGGAGGCCGTTGATCTGGTCGACCTTGCTGTTCAGGGCGACTTTGAGCGGCGTCTTGACGTTTTCGTTGTGGCAAGTTATTTGGTAGCGGTTCATTTCATTCTGCAAGAGTTGTTAGAAAGGGCTGGCTGATGGTGCCACATGCTACGCCATCGTACCTCTGTGAATTTGCCACTGGAGGCAGCGATGAAAGGGAATTCCTTAATAGCCTTTCCGTGCCCAGCCTTGACATATTGATCCGTCACAAAGGTGCCGTTGGGACCACTCAGCGCATAAGGTCTCCCGGTGGTAAAGCCTGCATCGTTTTAGCCTCCAAACCGTCGGTAAAAACGCCCACGCCGCGCACGTACCCTTGATGATGGCCATTCTATACTGCTCCACGCCCGTCTCTGGATGAGGACCCAGGGCGATGCGGATGAAGCAGCCCGTGATGGCCGACTCGAACCCAGGCGTGAAGCATACCTGGGCAAACTCGTTACGTCCCAGACGCACCCTCTCAAAGTCGCGCAGCTCCGGCTTCGGCTCGTCCTTCTTCTCCTCCTTGTCCGGCGTGCGGGAGCCGCCGCGCCGATAACCGTCCTCGCTCGCCTCGTCGTCCAAGTCGCGCCGCGGCGAGTAGGCGTCCCGGCGCCGCTCATGGTCCTCCCTGCGCTTCTGCCTGTCCGCCCTCGCGCGGCGCAGCGCGTCCATGGCCGTGCCGCCACCAGCCCCGTGCCGCGACGATTTTCCGCGGGTGGCCGCGGAGTCCTCGTCGTCCTCGTCGCCATCCAGGTCGGCGCTGTCGGCGCTGCGCTTCTTGCCGGCCTTGCGTTCGTCATTTTGCGTGTCTGTGACCATCTGCCGCAGCAGGCGGTTCTGCCGCAGTCGCTCGATCTCGTTGGCGCGGTCGGCCAGGATCTGCTCGCGCTTCAACTCGGGCATCGCCATGATCTCCGCCTTCTCCGCCTCGTCGCGAAACTTGCCGTCGACGGGGTACTTTTCTTCGTCGCTGCCGCCGCGAGCACCGCCGCTGCCGCGCGCCCTCGGCTGCTCATCGTCCGAGTCTGATTCATCCATGGGCGCCGAATCTAGCGAGTTGGGCGAGCCCGGCCCTGAGAAGCTGTTCCCTGCAGGTTAGCACGCGCGATTCAGCGCGCGGCCATCGTATTTCACTATGCGAAATAGATGGCCATATTCAGAAGAGTAGCTACTCACGCTTCGCCTTCTTCCTCTGATTCGCCATCCGCATCGTGCCTGGAATTCTTCGTCTTGGAGCCTCTCTTTGCTGGCGACGCGGAGCGTCTGCGGTCGTCGACGACCGACCCCTCCGAATCGGAGTCGCCGCCGGCAAGATCAAAGAGATCAGCCTCGAAATCAGCCATTGTATGTGTCGGTTGCGCAGTGGACTAATTTCCCCAGCTGCAGGATCGATTTTCGTGGCGAGTCGAAGCCGGACTTTTAATTCGTAGGTTGCAAGCGTGGGATTGCGTTTCGCTTTGCCGTCTATTATTAGGAATGTGGTGAAGAATACATTAAAAGAGGGAAAGCCGTCGGTGAAAGGATCGAGGAGGCGAAGAAGAGAAAAGGAATGGGAAAAGTGTGAGAGGTTTTTCACGGCCAGGGGCGAGTAAGAAAGGCACCTGGTTTTTAAGTTGGGTGATTGAACAGCGCAGTGCAGGACTGGCTTCCTGGTGTCGCGCCGCGCAGCCACAACACGTGTGGCTCTAACTTGGTGGCACAGCAGCGGAAGACGGCAACAGTGTTTTTCCGGGTTGCACGAACAAATTGGTTGACGCTAACAATCTATCCGGACCCACATCTGTAAGTCGGGTCGCAGGTGTGCTTCGGAGCTCCACCGGGAGCCATCAAATAGCTTGAACATCGCCGAGCTCGATCAGGCCATCCCACGACTTCAACCCTTTGCCCTCCCAAGCCAATTCCGACAACCGACAGACTACTCACAAAACCAACCACCATGTCCGCCGTCGCACAACGCATATCCCGACCCGCGCGTCGCCTCTGCACACGCCTGCCTCCATCCTCCTCCCGCACATTCACCAGCGCCGCGCCCACCCTCCTCGCCACAGCGACCTCCCCATCCTCCTCCTCCTCCTCCTCCAGCACCAGCAAGCCTCGCAAGCCGCTCACCCCCGAGCAGCGCGCCTTCCTCTCCTCCGCTCTCCGCGTCAACCAGGCCGGCGAACTCGCCGCCGTCCTCATCTACTCCGCCCAAACCCCGCCCCTCGTGCGCGCCCACCCGCACCTCCGCCCGCTCATGCAACACATGCACGACCAAGAAGCCGGCCACCTCGCCACCTTCGAGTCCCTCCTCGCCCGGCACCGCGTGCGCCCGACCGCGCTGTACCCGCTGTGGTCCGCGCTCGCCTCGGGCTTGGGGTGGACCACGGCGGTGCTGGGCCGGGAGGCGGCGATGGCGTGCACGGAGGCGGTGGAGACGGAGATTGGCGGGCACTACAACGAGCAGATCCGGACGCTGCTGGAGATGGTGGCCGGCTGGGAGGCCGAGGGGTGCGAGGTCGGCCCGGAGTTCAAGGAGCTGATTGGGACGCTGCGCAGGATCAGGGATGAGGAGCTGGAGCATTTGGATCATGCGGTCGAGCACGACGCGAAGAAGGCGGATCCGCACTGGCTGCTCACCGGCGTCATCCGCGCGGGCTGTCGCGGTGCCATCTGGGTCAGCGAGAGAGTTTGAGGACCTGTGATCCTCAGGACATATCACCTTGTACAAAAAGAAGAGGGAGTGGCATATGTAGGAAGAGAGCGTTGGGACATTTTCTTGTAACTGAATTTTCCATTGTCTAGAAAAGGAGTGTACGCTATATATAATGTATCACCACCATGTATCAGTATCTGCACCTCCTCCCTTCTAGTATTATTACCGTGTATATATAATCTTGAACAAGAGAAGAAGAAAGTGAATCGAATATTCCAATGTATCTCAGCAAAAAGCCGACAAAACGCCCACGCAATGCCAACGTAAAATCAAGCTAAAGAAATAAGTGAAAGTCTAAGTGTGTTAAAGACGAAGCATCGCAAATCTTCGTCTTGTGAGTGTGTGTCTTAGCGGTGGCTGACGTGTGCCGGCGGCATTAATTACTACCCGCGGTTAGTTTTCTCATCTCCTCGCACTTGTTTCATCATGGACTCACTAAATCGCCAGCGGAGCAACTCCATCCACCTGGTATCCCCAGTTGCCGTTGTGCTCTTCCGTAACGAGCCAATCGTAGGGGAACTCAACGAGATTGCCCTGGACCATCCTCAAAAGACCCTCGGCCTCGGTGCGAGAAGGCATGTCTTCAATGTTATTGGACCAGCGACGGCTTCCCTTAGTGGTCGCGCGACGCCGCCTCTTAACGGAGCCAAACTGAGCATGGGCAGCTGCGGCGGCGGTATCTCTGGTGGGCGCCTTCTCAAGGTTGGCAAAAGTTGTCGTCTTACGCTCAAGCGTTTCTGGGTTTGTAGATTGCTTCTCTACCTCAACGCCCACCTCGCGTTCTTGGTCTGCCGTCGCCACTGCTGCCTTCTCGTCAACAGCTTCCTCCGACTTCTCACCAGTGACAGCTTCGTCTGACGTCTCACCAATGGCGTCCGGGTTGTTATGCTGCTCGTCGAGATTCGCAGCCAGTTTCTCGGTATCCTCGCCGGTGATGCTCGCCAGTGCCTCCAGATCTGGCACAGAGATACCAATGGCACCACTGCTGGCCGTGCGTTTGATGCTGCCTCTAGCTTCGCTCATGGCTTCTGGCTCCTCCGAGGCTGTGCGAACCTCCATTGTCTCTTGGAATTTTTTGTTGTACGCAACAAAGTCGCGATAGTCGGACCATGTCTTGACCTCAGAATCTGGCATGCATCTGAAGACTTTGCGATAAAGCTTGGTGTTGTTGCGCGCCACCCTGTTCCAGATGTCATCGATAAACTCTGAAGCAATAGGATCCACCATGCAATCCTTTGTGATAGTTGCCATCTTAATTTCAGCAGTCATATACCGGAACGCACCCAGGGCATCCTCCTTAGCGTCGACTTCACTGGATTCGGGTAGCATAGTTAGCTGGGCTGGTCGTACATCGTCCACATCGGCAGCACGCTCGTCAAATGGCGGGAGAGGTGGAAGCTGCTTATCCTTAACGAGCTCCGACAAATGGCTCTCGCGATCCTGCGGATCCTTATGCTCAGGGTCTGCCAGGGTTCCTTTGCCCATGGAGTCGATGCTCCGGACCAAGAATTCGTGGCCATTAACAATGACAGAGTCTCTGCCTTGGCCGTGACCAGATTGCTCGGCATCTTTCCAATGATCCGCGCCAAAGCCGGAAACATCGTTGAGGCGACGCTCAGCCTGCGAGGCCGTCTCCCCATCTATCGTCTTGCCCTTGTTCTCTTGCTTGCCATCGTCGTCTGAGGACCACGCATCGGGGTCTACCGCCTTAGCCATACCAATGTCGAGGTCACTGTTAAAGCTTCGGATGTGTTGCATTCTAGGACGAGCTGGTAAGCTGGCTTCGTCCTTATCAAAGCCGCTCGCAGATCCAGCTCTGTTGCTGTAGATGTTGTCCATATGTTCCTCGAATGTCTCGTCGTTATCGTCACTCCCGCGCTCTTCCTCCTGGATTGCATCGGTATCAAGACCTAGGTGCTCCCGCATCAATCTCATGCGCAAGGTGTGTGCGAATCTGCCGACTTGGTACGGCTTGCCGCCCATGGTAGACCATATCATATCAGTATCGCGAACAATTGCCGCGACTTCGGAATCGCGATGGCCAACCATGGAGCGTTCGTTGATATTGGCAGAGCCGATGATGGCCACACGGTCATCCACGATCATACACTTGGCGTGAATGTACAACTGTTCAGTAACGACAGCATTCGTACTCATAATACCCCACTGACGAAGAGAAAAGAAGTCAATGTAGTCCTCGGGATCAATTCCAGCAGCACGCAGGCGGCCAAAGATGGAATTTTCGCCTCGGCAAATACTCCGCAGCTGGCACATGATGATCAGTCGTACACTTGTGCCTTCCTGCTCATCAACAGTATTTTGGAAGCCAGGCATGAGCGGGATAAGGATGATGCAGCGCCAGCTCTCTCCATTTTCGTGGGCTCGAACGATTCTGTGCACGATCGCGTCGCCGATCCTGTTGACAATGCGAGTGTTGTATGCTTCGGTACTAGAGATGAAGAACTGATTCTCGATGTAGACAAGATGTTCCGAGTCCTCAATCATCTTGACGTAGGCGGTCTGGATGCTGTGCTCCGTTTCCTCCAGGCCAAGGGACCAGTTGCTGGCAGACCTCAGCATTTGCACTTCACAGGTACCAGTCAATCCTAGCGACTCGAGCTCGGTGAAATTAGCCTCCGGTGGTGGCAGCAGGAATGGCAGTGGTCTGGTTGATTTACGACCACGGCGAAGATAGTTCCATCTCTGGACGAAATGACGCGTCAGGTCACGGGCGGGCTGCCCAACTACCTGCATTCCAATATCATGCCATGGCATTCGTGGGACTCTGGAGCGGTCGTACATTTCCTCGTAAGGCTCGCCAAGACGAAAGAAGTCTTGCACACGTGGGTTGGAGTAGTCCTTGCCAGGGAACAACTGGCAATGTTCCACATCCCTAGGCGCGTCGTCCATTTCAAAACCTGTCGGTTTATCGTCAACGATGGGGTGCTGTGGGCAATCCCATCTTCCAAAGCAAAGATCCACGCCACCGGTAAATGCAACGTCGTGGTCGACGATGCAAATCTTTTCGTGGTGAGCAAAGAAGAACTGGTTTTTCTTAAACTGATTGGGTGACCGTTGAACGAAGATGTTGGGGTGCAAGTTCAGCAGCGAGAACTTGGTGTACTCGGAATCGATGGGGATAGCCGCCTCAACGTTTCGGTAGATGATGACGAAAACTTTAACTCCTTCACTGGCCTTCTTCTGCAGGAGACGGTCGAGGCGCCACTTCTGACTGATAGCAGCAGGGCGTCTCAGGTACAGCTCGGGGCTGAGCCACCAGTCGTGAATGTAGATGACATCCTTGGCCATGTTAATGGCACGAGAGACGTTCCACATGTAATCGCGTCCGTCAACAAGCCACTGTGCGAACACGCCTTGTCGGACGGGGGCATAGCTCCCAAATCGCTTCGGGTGAGACCAGACGGTCTGCTTCAGCATTTCGTTGATAGACTCCTGGAACTGTCTCATAGCCGAGTGGTGTCTTGCAAAGAGGCGAAGCTTGCGCTCCCCATTTCGGAGAGTTAGCGTGTGTGACTTGGAAGAAGGAGTCTCCATGGTCAAGTCGAACTCGTCCTTCTTGGAGGTGATTCGTTTGACACCATGTCTCTTCGATGCGATACTAAATTTAGAGTCGACGAGATAGACGTCATAAATGTTCATGTTCTCGGCCGCCTCGACACAAACAATATAGCTCTGACGAACGAGGAACCATTTGCGGCTGTGGCGAGCAATAACTTTAGCAGGCGTCAACACACGGCGGAAATCGGGGCCCTTAGCAGATTGAATGTGTAGATAGCATTCCTTGCCGTGATAGCTGCGCTCAGCGGCAAGACGAATGCCGAGGGCAGAAAGTTCCAGAAACCGGCAAAGACGGTTGCTGTCGGCCCTGAACATGAGCCAGCGAATCAACTGGGAGAAGTACTGCTCCAAGGCTCGTCGCTGTTTCTCCATGTAACGCTGGCGCGCAGCTTCGGGGCCGTCGTCGCTAGGGCCTTCGCCATTGTCGGCGAGGCCAGTCGAGCGGCGTCTCGCAAACAAGTTAACGATGGAACGTTTGCGGCGCGGGTGTGTATTGCCGCCACCGTCACTGCCGGAAGCTTCAGCATCGTCGCCGTGCAGGTCCTGACCTCCTTCCTCGGCAATCTGTTCTCCAGCGCTGGCCGCTGCAATCTCCTCGTCAATGAGCTTTCCCCCCTTGACTAGATTTCGCAGATAGGGGAACACGTAGTAAGGGAAGTTGGGCTGCTTGGGTCGATGGATCTGGCCCGGCAGATACATGTCGTTGTTTAGGGCGATCTTATAGCGGAAGTGAAGATTGTAGATGTCTTTCATAGAGCGAACAACCGTCCAGACCATTCGACTGGGGCCGCTCCCGTATTCTAGCTGAAGGGTGAAAGCGTGGTGGTACTCCTTTTCGTCTCCGGGTCCCGGTCTGCTGTCTGTTACTGTCAGTTTCAGCTGCTCCAGCAGAACTGGGATTCTCTTGTTCCCGTTCTCATCTCGCTGGATCATGCTGGCAAACATGAGAACGGCAGGAGCTCCGGCTCTAAGCTCGGCCATTAACTCGGTGGATTTGTAGTAGTCGATGCGATCGTCCTTCCTTTGACGCAAGAGCTTCAGAGTACTTTTGACCTGCTTCCACTTCTGGGCACCAAAGTTAGAGGCACGTTCCGAGTGGAAGAAGGGCCTGCGATGCATGATGGCATCACCGTCAGAGACACCGCCACCGCCGAAAACAGTAATCCGACGATGGTGACCATGACGACGACCCACAACAGCCGAGCTTTCCAGAGCTTCAATGTCGGTTTCGTGTTGCGCGATTCCGGTGTTAACTAACGAATGGCCGCGTCTAACAAAGGGACGTCGCCTGCGCCGCCGAGTAGTCTCGCCCTCGGAGAGGGCATGGTCGTATACGGATGTGTCTGGCATGCTCGCACGGCGTCTCAAGAACCTGTAGCTCAGCGCATCGCCGTCGCTGGGAAATCGGAAAGGGGAGGCGGGAGCTGATCCGTCGCCCTTGACAAAGCGGCGCATCCTGCGCTTCTTTTTCCTGAGAGGTCTCGCAGTCTGTGTCTCGTCTGCCTCCTCTTCTACGTCGGCATCAGCTTCGCCGTCCATGTCTGCATCCGTTCCTTCGTCTTCTTCGTGCAAAGTGTCTGACACTCGGCTAGCAAAACGGCTGGCTGTGGGGGACGCTGCGGCCGATTGCGAGTTGTCGAGGTCGAGCGAAGGAGGAGGGTGTGTAGATTGGAGAGAGGTTGGCGTAAGAGACTTGAGCTTGGACATGATGGAGGCGCTCCTCGACTTTGCGGCTTCGGGATTCTCGGCAGAGTTGTGTCGGGAGTGCGATGGTTGGACAGCTGGGGGATCGAATCGGGCAAACTGAACACGAGCGCTCGGGGTGCCAGGAGTGCTTGGGGAGGCTTGACCGGCAGGGTGTCCGAAAGACTTTATGCTGTTTGACTCTGCGACATTTTGTGGAGGGAGACTAGCAGAGAGAGTCGTAGGATCGCTTGACGCCGCCTCATTTTCTCCAAGGTTTATTTTGTCGACTGCGGCTCTATCCAGGCCTGGCTCCGGGGCCGAGGCGGCAAGGCTGCCTCCAACCACGGGCGGCACGTAAGGTTCGTCATTCGTGGGGGACTTTTGTGGCGAGCGGGAAAATGGCGATACGGAATCATCGCGAGCCATGTTTGGCAGCGGATACGCAGCGATCGCGCGGGGGAGTTCGGGTTCGGCGAGGGCTAGTTCGGTTTAGGGGTGGTATTCGTTCTGTCAGGGCAATGCTATCATGCTGTGTCAGTCCAGAGAAGTATGAAATATGCCGAGAAAGGACGTACAGGTCGTAACGCTTCGCAGCGTTGCGGGTCGGAAGGCCGCAGCAGGTGCGCGATGGCAGCCAGGGACTGCGGGTGTCCGCCAAGGGCAACTACCGAGAGCGCCAATATCGTGATGTGTATATGGCTGCTTGTGGTAGCACATGTGATGGGTTAAGCAAAGCGGTGAGCGAGCAATGTAGTGAGGAAGCCGATACACGTGCGTGGAGGCTACGCGGACAGTTGGTCAAGAAGGTAATCTACTCGGTGAGGTTAACGTTAACGAATGACCCTGAAAGCTGGGGTGCGATTGCAGTGCCCAAAGTTATAGGGGTGTGGCGTTGCGGTGGCTTGTGAGTGGTCTTCTTGGGCTTGGTACGTGGCTGGGGTTGATGCTGGGGTCAACTCTGAACGAGATGGCAAGCAACTTGAAACAAATCGCCACCCAATTACCATACGTGGCTGTTCAGGAATATTTTACTTCAATGCATTATTGACGTGGCCGACTGTTGCTGCAAGGTTTTTGTGCGCCGCTTTTGAGTTGTAGTGTACAGCCGGCGTGTTGCTGGCTGACGACAAAGTAAAACTCGCTGCATCCGTAGTGTTGGGAATAATAAGAAAAAAGAAACAATTAAATAAGAACAGAAGGAAGGGGGATAACAGGAATCGAAAGAGGAAAGAAACCGGAAACATATTGGTCGAAAATAAAGAAAGAATTAGAAAATAATACTTGAAACTAATTCTTGGAAAACAGTAGTCGGAAAAATAATACAAGAAACAATTCAGAAGTGTCGCATATTACCAATAATCTACGGCACATCACTCTATGCAGGCCACGCTACAAACGGCCTTACCATTCCTTAATACTAGTACGCCTCGCCAACAAACTTGGTCAAGGGTAAAGACGAGGAAAGTTTAAAAAAAAATGATCCAAGAATAGTTCCCTAATATCGTGCGTGGTTAACCAATGTGCACCGCTTTGTTTCAGCCATAGCGTACAGCAAGTCCCATAAGGCTGCAGCTGCTACTGTACGCCCGCTGCAGTTCTTCGCCCAGACGGGCAATATGAATCACTGCGAGTCTGGCCGCCATCGAGGACACCAGATGTGCCTATATTCAGGTGGCGGCATCGCAGCAATCGAATCTGGGTTCGATTTCACATCAGCCCCCACGGTCCGTCCGGTAGTTGGCTGTTCCCACCTGCTCATGCAGACCACCACAGCCGGGCAGCACATATGCGAACACGATAACGATCATTCGAGAGCCCAAGAGCTGCTAAGCCGTTATCCGTCATGTCCGGGACCCTAGGACATTGTATAAGTGGCAGACGGATGGCGGTTCTGCAAAGTGCCCCATCACGGACGGATCTGGGCGTCGCCGCGGGACGCGCGCTGTGACCCCCCAATGCCATCGATAGTTGACTACATCAAAGATGGGATGGGGATGGGGGCACATCGGAAATAGCGCGGCGACTGGCATCATCTCGTCATCTGTAACTTTACTTCACCATGAAGCTCAAGCAATTCCTACCCAACCATTGCCGTGGCCACCAAAGAGCGCAATCTACATGCGGGCCCAGACGTACGGTATAGGTTAAGTTGTACCTACCCAGGTAACGAGGATTTCCGCCCGCGACCAGCCGCCCGAGCCCTCACGCAGACCTGCAGCCCGACTGACCCTCCGGTTGAACGTCAAAAGGGTGAAGACATCTGCTTCGCAACCAGCGGCGCCCGAGCCAATCCTCGCAGCACGCCGTCGGCTTCTCGGCCGCCCCGGCCACGGCCACGACTTGCGTCTCAGCCAAGGGAAAGCGTCCGCAGAAACGAGGCCGATTCGGCATCCATCGCTGCGAGTTTGACATCCCTGCTTGGAGGAGGAAGTTTCTCTATCCGCAAGAGGTGTCATCGTTGCTACGTCGCCGGGCGATGGGTTGTCAGCAAACCTCACTCCCCGTCAGCAACCAAGTTAGACTTACTAGCCCCTACCCGGCACATGGTATCGACCATCTCACGCCATAGCCTTTCCCATCTCGTTGGAAAACACGTTGATCTGATTTAAAATACATTATACATTTTTATCGTATCACGCAAAACTAAACATTTTGCAGCGCTATGTACATGGAAACCCCCAAAAGAAAACTCGTGAGGCTAGGCTTACCCTAGACTGGATGCCACGGCGTGTTCTGTTGCTCTGATTGCGTCTTGTCCACGGACACGGAGTATTCCACTGACTTGACGATGCCTTCCTTGGGGAGGATGTTCTCCGCGCTGCCCGAGGACTGGCTGGAGCCCACCACCGTGCTCTTGTGGTTGGACGGATGCTTGACGTCCTCGAGGTGGTACGCGTTCTCGTTGTTGTTCCTCGTCCCGCCCGGTTGCTGCCTCGACAGCCTCGAGTTCTTGGAGGCCTCGGTCTCGCGACTGTTGGACTTGTACCGCCTGTAGCTGAGGTCTTTTGCCTTCTTGATGAACACGGGGGCGAGGAACGGCAGCGACGTGACCATGTTCTGCAAAAAGCTCGTGTTAGTTTGGTCTAGCCTAGCAAATCAGGGAGAAGGGGGGGGGGGGGGGGTCAACTTACACCGACGTTGAACTCAATGACGCCCCAGAGGACCAGCATGGTCGAGTTGCCGTCGCCAAAGGAGATGCGGTTGAGCTGGATCAGCCGCATGACCGAGCAAATGGTCGTGAACAATCCGAGCAGGAAGACGCCCACCAGGCCCGCCTTCTTCGCGTTGGGAATCTTGAGCGTCAGCAGCACCGGGATCGGCAGCACCGCCACCAGCACGTCCGACACGATCGTGATCAGCGAGTAGATGAGCGACGTCTGTGACAAGTTCACACACGTCGGGTGCGGATCCGCCACCTTGAGCTCCCACGAGAAGCTCACCGGCCTACACGCAAAGATGAGCGCGAACGCGCTCCCCAAGTGTCCCAGCAGCACCGCCGCGATGGCCACCCAGATGAGCACCCGGTAGCCGCGCTTGCTCGTCGCCTGCAGCAGCCGCAGGTAGCTGATCAGCAGCGCCACCTTGAACAGGCTCACGCCGAACTGGTAGATCGGGCGGCCGGCAAAGTTGACCTTTTTGTACGTCGCCGCGTCCGCCGGGTCGCGCGAGCGTAGTTTCAGCGGCAGGCCGAGGCCGTACTTGGTCTGCTCGATGGTGAGGATGGAGTAGATGAGGGCGAGGAGGAAGGAGGCGGCGGCGACGTAGTCGTCGGCCATGAGGCCGCGGCCGCGGAAGCTGAGCCACAGGCGGAAGCCGACGACGGCGAAGGAGACGACGGTGAGGACGATGCAGACGGCGACGATGGTCCGCCACTGGGAGATGGCGTCCACCTCGGGGGTGGCGTTGGAGACCCAGGTCATGGCGATATTTGCTTGTGCATGTATATGTATATGTGGCAATGCAAGGAGGAGGG